CCTTTTTGAATTATTGAGTTCAGGTTCTCCCAAGTAATTATTGTGATAAGTTGATGTTATCACTGGTATTACTACGCATCCTTAATTATAACTTTTAGTCATTAAGTCATCATCTGCTTATGTCACATAGGTATGGTGTGATCATTGTGGGAAACCCCAAGGCCCTGTCTAAGCAGCCTCTGTGGAACCACCTGTTGAACTACTACAAGGAGCAGAAGGTCCTGGTCGAAGGCCCCCTTAATAACCTGAGAGAGAGCCTCATGCAGTTCAGCAAGCCCCGCAAGCTAGTCAACACCATCAACCCTGTGAGTTTAGAGTGTGTGGGTGTTTGTTTGTTTTACATACACGGTAGATATAGAATGCTGAAATCAGGGTTTCTTAACTGGGTCATGAATATGTTATTTTCCGGTGGGGCATGTGAAGGATTTAGGATGCAATTCAACATTTACTCAAGCATCTAGGACAAGTAGTAGAACGAAAACAGGGTAATAAATCAGTGTACATGCAAGAAATAACGAGGCTTATCCTAAAAACACTGGAAATAGCATTTAGCTTGTCGTTTTGTTTTGCAGGGGGGTCGATTCATGAGCACGGCCATGTATGATGCCAGGGAGGCCCTCATTCCTGGATCTGTGTATGACCGCAGCAGCAATGGTGGGAAATGTTAAACAACACAGTCATTTTTATTTCAACTGTTACACAATTTCTTACTAATTTCAAAAGGACATGTACTGTATCTGCTTTGGTAGTTTTGAAAACAGATTGAATGTTCTTACTAAATTTTCTCAAATAGAAAAACAAGAGCCACATGTACTGTGGTGTGTGGCAAAACTAGCTCTGCTGCATACTGCCAAATCATTTTAAAGGAAGTTAAATTAACTTGTACTTCTTTCCACAACAGGGCGTACATCCAATATGTATTTCCAGACCCATGACCAGATTGGTATGATTGGCACAGGCCCCAGTCCCATGACTTCCCTGAACATCCCCATCCCCTTTAACCTCGTGATGCCCCCCATACCTCCACCTGGGTACATGGGACAGGTCAATGGACCCACATCAGGTGAGTAAGACATAGAACTGTAGAGCTAAGTGTGTTGTTCAGTTAAAGCTGCTATAAGACGCTTGTCTCTACAGTGATACGTGACATTTTACCTCCAGGCCGTGGTGGAGGTATGAAAGGCAAGGGAGGCAGTGGAGGAGGAGGAGGAGGAGGAGGAGGGACTCGAGGTGGCCGTCAAAGAAACCGCAGCAACCACAGCGGAGGCAATGGAGGAGCAGACCGCAGTCACATGAGTGGCAGCCAGGCCAGCCAGGACCTGGGCTCACAGCCCTTCTCCCAGGGACCTCTGACGCAGGGCTACATCAACATGAGCCAGCCATCACAGATGAGCCAGGCTGGGCTCTCCCAGCCCGAACTCTCACAGGTTTGTTGACTGTCAACTGTCATCCACTGTGAATAAATCTTATCAATGTAGTATTTAAGAGATTTTATGAAATGCTAAGTAGGTGAACTTTATGAAACAAGCTGTTTGTAGTCTGTTTATTTATAGCAATTAGTACCCAGTGCCAGGGCTGTTAACACACATATTCCAAGTGTTCGTCCAGGTTTCCTCTTCAAGTAGATTTCATCTTGTCTAAACTCACTTATTCCTGTTCTGCCTGGAAAGAAATGAAGGAATAACTGTTTACTGGCCTCTTTCACTTTATGTTTGTCCCATTATAGGACAGTTACCTAGGAGATGAGTTCAAGTCCCAGATTGATGTGGCTTTGTCCCAGGACTCCACCTACCAGGGGGAGCGGGCCTACCAACACGGTGTGACTGGACTGTCCCAGTACTAGACTGTAAGTAATTTACTGTTGAAGATGACTCATTGAAATTAAAGGAATAATTTGACATATTTTTTTTAAAAAAGTTATTCACTGAAAGAGAACATTAATACAACGTGTGATCAGGCTGCTGCAACAGTGAAATTTCCCTTTGTGAACAAAAAATAACTCTGTGTGTGTGTGTTAGCTTAGCATAAAGACTGGAAACATAGGGAAATGGCTACCCTTGCTCTGTCCAAAATTAATCAAATCTGTTTCCCTCCGTTTTCAGTTTGTGTGCTAAGCTAAGCTAATCGATTGCTAGACGTGCATGAGAGTGGTATTAATGTTCTAATCTAACTCTGCAAGAAAGGGAATAAGCACATTTCCTAAAGCATGGAACTATTGTAAAAGTAAATCTTTTATATTTGTCTTTGTCTTACAGGTTGCTGGAAAGGAGCTAGGCCTGTGTGAAGCTTAGTTCATTGGTATTTTAATCTGGGTAATAACAAAAAAGAACAAACATGGATACCCGTTTTCCACTGCTACAACCGAAGCACCACTGTGTGAAAGTAACAGGAGAGAGACCGTGAGAAACCAACCAATCACAAGAGTGAGAGCAAAGATGGGAATAGAGCTGGACAGGAAGCGAGCAAGAGAAGAGAGAGTGGGAGGCTGGTGGAGGAGAGAAGGCACTGCTGCTCTCACGCGAAGACATGGCGAAGGAGAAAAGCTGTCGTTGACAGAGCGGCGCAGTTAGAGAGGCGAGACCTTTGACAGGTCAAGGAAGGTGGAAGGTCCAAATGATTCTGGATGGGGGAAGGGGCAGGGGGTGACTGTGTCATCTTGTCCCTCTTGTGGCCCTGAACCCTCGTGGGCTCTCCAGGCGGTATGGTTGGGAATCTTGCTCCAAAAGTTGAGAAAGATGGAGAAGAGGTGTCTCTCACAAACGTCCTCCAAGCTAACTCAACAGGACATCTTCTGCGACTTGGAGCGAAACAGAGGGAGAGAGGAAACAAAAGGGGACACAACTCTTGAAGCAGTTGATATGGCAACTTTTTTAAACTCAAAGCTTGAATTGAGGCTCTGCATTTGGTCACAACTAAGCATCCAGGAGAGAAGAGTGTGAAAACACTGTCTGGCTATTTAAGTGAACTCAAAAGTGCTTGTGGTGTTGTGATTGAAAGGATTACATAGCCACGGATCATTCGCTTTTCTTTCTCAGCTTTGAGTTGGAAAGTTTTCTAAATAATGGCTGTTTTCATTGAGGTTCTCAGTGATGTAAGCTGCCATAGTTGGCCGTCTTTCTCAAGGTGGTCTGCAAAGAAGAAGTGGTGGAATTAAAAATATAAACGTAAAAAAAAAACATCTTTGTCTCCAGATCTGAGGAGTTGGGCTCCAAAGGTCTGAACGTAAGGAGACAATTTTGTTTTTGTTCTTCTAAATGTATCTTTTTAGTAGTGAAGCTGAACACCATAGCCAGCTTGTAACTGAATGAAGCTGTCGTTCTCTTCTGCTGAACCCTGAAGCCACTAAAGCTAGCGGATAGGGACCATCTTGAGCATATGTAGCGAAACGCATCAAATAAGCCAAATCAAGAAGGCAGTAATTTCCCAAAGACCCTTCTCCAAAAGTCAGACGTAAAATATCATGCATACAATGAGATTATTTATGTACACTTGAAGCACCTCAGTGTACAGTAAAGTGACGCAAGAGATCACTTTTATAAGAGAAATCATGAGCTTGAGTTTTCATCGAGTACCTGACACGACTACTCACTATGAAGAAGGATGAAAATTTCTAAGACCCCATGTTTGATCATAAATTTCAATGGGTTAGACTGGTGGAAAATGTTTTCACATTTTAGAAAGCCTACTGATTACAGATTGGGAGGTTACATGTTGTATATGCTGCGTGTGCACTGTGAAATTTGAAGACCTTTAAATTTATTAAGACACGATGATCCAAGTATAACGTTTATGTAAGTAGGACTCGAGTCCAGAGATTGCCATGTTTTGTTCCTTGTTTTTTTCTTTCTTTTGTCCTTTTTTTTGTCCTAAAGTCTTCAAAGAAAAGTGAAACTGTCAAAAATAGTTGTCATGTTGAGGACAGAGCAGTTAGTTTGTTCTGTGACTTAAGTAAACCTCTGTGTACTTTGTGTCTTGGTTTTAGTGATCTGTATGTGGTTTCTTGCTTTAGATGGACACTAAAGTTTCCATGCAGCAGTTTCTCATACTCTTCCGAGGTGTACTACCTCTACTTTCCTTTAACAACTTTTGTTTTAATGTCATCGAAATGCATGAATTGAACTTGTTTAATAACCTGTCACAAATGCTTGTTTGAGCAGTTGTTAAAAAGTGCTCAGACTTACAGAGAAAAGAAGCCCACCTCAAGAGTTTGTGTTTCTAATAAGCGATTTCCCATATTCTAAAATGATGAATTACTAACCAACCCAGGTCAGATTTTGGCTGGTGCCGGTGGTTCATCTTACTGTACAGGGAATCAAAATAATTTTTTAAATATAAATTGTCTGTAGATTATCTGTTTTGCTCTCTGAATGTATGTTGCATCTTATCTGGATAAGATCATCATTATTAACCAGATTCATAACCATTCATTTGACATTTTTAGTCTAACTTTAAAAATTGTGGTGCACTTAAAAAAAAAAAAAAAAAAAGAAAGAAAGAAAAGAACAAAATTACCAATAAATGACAACCACATCCTTTACCAGCACACACATAAAGTAGTTTTTACCCGCCTTATGACTAGAGGGTAACGTTTTGTTTTCGCATCTTCGTTTGGCTTATTGCTTTTTATAACAGGACTGAAATGAGAGGTTCTGTGTTGGCGACCTGACTGCGCCATTTTCTTTGACTTCCCGCTGATTGATGTTATTAATATAAAGTTATGCTCACAAAGATTATCCTGTTTTTGATAATGTTGGAAAATTAAACTTTGCTTCTTTTTGCTCCTTCAACTTGACTTCACTGTTTTGTCTTTTTTCCCCATTACTAATTTTGCAGATGGATTGACAGACTGATTTCCTCATTATTACTATACAAAGGCTCTCTTAAATCTAGACAGGAGGGCAGGTCTGATGATAGGAAACATTTTATTACAGCTGTGGTTTGTCTCCTAAGAAAGTCTTTTTAGGTCACGACTTTTCCTTCGGGACAGTATTTCATTAAGCCTTTCAACTGGCAGCGCTGAGCAGACCTATAAGATCCAGTCTACTGTATGCACACATGCACGCTCGTTTGGCTGCAGGCAGGTTGACACAGTTTCCCTGCCTCATGCAGCTGTAGCGGGGTGCTCGGAGCCTGTAGAGCCAGCAGGTGGTACCCTACCGTCGGCTGTGTCCTGACTGCTGAACGCGAGCAGACGGCTGGATGAAGAGCAGAGAGCTCTGACCACCGGGACGAGGTTGGCAAGAGAAAAGCGCTGCTGCTGCTGCTTCTTCTTCTCTGGACGTAGATGGACACACGCCGGACCGCTGTCACTTCACTCACCGAGGTCAGCAGCTCTGCCTCATCCAGGTTTTGACTCTCCGGGCTCCGCAGAGGTTATCTGTGGACTCCGGTGGCCCGGACAGGACGGTACGGACACTCTGCGCGGCTGCATTAGGCTGTGCGTGGCGCCTTGCGGTTAAACCCCCTCCCCTCCCCCCTGGAGAATAAAGCAGGAGTAAAGCATCTGGTAGCTCAGACTGGAAAAAAAAAAGAAGAGACCAGGACAGCAACGGCAGCTTCAGCGTGGAATAATTGTTGGATACACCACAGACTCTCCGTGGGTTTATACCGACATGGGGTGAGTGCGGCCGGGCTTGTGTTGCCTAGATGATTTAATTGGGCTTAAAGTGAAATTGAGAGCAAAGAGTTTGTTGGTAAATCATCGCTTTTTCTTATCAAATTTGAACCGAGGACAAATACTTGTTGGGTTAATGGACGCACTGCTTCAACTCTCTGTCCTCTTTTTGTAGAAAAGAAGCCTCGGTCACCTTGTAAGATGTTTCCTCACCACAGAGAAAGGTAAGGACATGTTGAGCCCAAGGGTGAACATTTGTTCCTATATGACATTTTGATTTCTTGTACTCGTGACCCCTCCACATAAGTAAGTAAAACCCCTGTGCTGTTGATTTAAGAAAGAGGGAATGTCAGACTTAACTTGAAGTTAAATAATTATAAAATTGAGTTTAAAAATGATTGCAAGAACAGGGACACAGATCAGTTCTCTGAAGAAGCAATATTGAGGTTTCTTTTTCACCCTCCCACTAACAGGAATTATTTAATTAGGATGCTTTTATTGCAGTTGTAACTAAAACATTACATGTACAGAGAATCATAGCAGGCATTAGAGCATGAAACTGCTCGTTTCTTTACACTTTAATATGTGTGTAATAACAAAGAGAAATCAGATATTGCCATACAAAGTTTTCTTGCATAAGTTCACAAATGTTTAAAAATGTTAAACATCTGCGAATAATAGATTTAGAAAGATTAGACCTGAGGGAGACCGGTTAAACCCAGTAGCCTAAAGCAGATTGTGGATACTGTTGTAATTGTGGTAGGAATTAGTGGGGTCATTCATCCTGAGGTCCAGCCCCGACCTCCATCCAATCACTACCAGGCTTTGTTATGCTTACAGACCCCCATTAAGCCCTGTAGGCCTCATCCATCTGCTGAGGATGAAGGTCGAGTAGCTGAACATCCTCGGGAAGTGCGAGGGCAGACCAGTTAACAGAACACACACAGAGAGAAACATGCACTGTTTTGCACCAGCGGAGTGTGTCTCAACGACAGTTTTCACACACAGGAAGGAGCGAGTGTTGACAGATACACTCAAACTTGCAGCCAACGATACTCTGTTCAAAGTGTCTTGACTGTGTAACACGTAACGCCACCATAGGAGGTTGCATGTTTGACTCCTTGTTGGTCAGGGGTGAAGCTGAACACGTCAGATGTCACACATTTAACAGGAGAGCACAGACGCCAAGCCTCAGGCAAGGTCGGAGCTCTGCAGTAATGGGATAATTTTACAGTTGAGTGTGTGGAACCTTTTTCCACTGCCCTTTGGGACTGCTCGATGGAGCGAGAGACGCCTTAATGTGCATCTTATTTGTTGTTCAGCGTCACAGTTGTTGATCTCATTGGTTGTAATATGGGCCTGTATAAACACGTGAGGTCAAAGTTCATGTATGAAGCTGTGATTTCCAAGGCAACAATCAAACAATTAGTCAGTTGTTAGTTTGCATGTATTTTGATGATAAATTAATTGTTTAAGTTAATTTCCAAGCAAAAATGTAGAACATAACTAGTTTTAAGCTTCTCAATTGTGCAGACAGACAAGAGAAGCAATTTGAAAAGGTCATCTTGTGTTTTAGGAAATTGAAGGAGGTTTGCAAAGTCTGACAACATTTTGGGTCAGGGTTCAAAATATTTGAACTTTTTTTTTTTTAACTGGGGTTATGGAGTTTGAAAGATGATGGCATTCAACAGGCAGGGAAGGTCTTTATATTTGAAGCTTGACTCGTACTAGGGAGTACAAGTTAGGATATCTCGACCTCAGGGGATTTTCAAATTCAGCAGGGTTCATCCTTTCAGGATCATGAGCACTGAGATATTTCAGTCTGGATCAAAGTGGGGGACTGACCAATCGACCAACCCTCACTGCCATTCCTAGAGCCTCAGGGATAGCAGTGTTGCTGCAGAATAAATTGTTGACAAGGTCACAGATCAATGCCTGTGTAAAAGAAAATCAACAGCTGAAAAGACTGGACTAACTATCTTACTGTCTATCCCATCATACCAAATACATACCAGACATCCAGGAATGAGATGTTTACTGTGAACATCCCTCTGAAATGTCTTTAAATCATGGCAGAAATCATGGCATTATAAACCCAATGCTGATGGGTGTTTTTTGGTGCAGACAATACAGACATCATTGATTAGACTCTCAAAAATAAAAGACACGACAACTGGACAGCTACTGTTAACCACTCTTATCTTAGCTGGTCGTCTCCAGCTGATCAAAATGTTGCTTTAAAGAGGTGCCAAGTTTAAGTATGAAATGGTAAAAACCAGGACACATCTTCTATGCGGTATTGTAAATTGCAGGGGCTTTTCCCAATAGAACTGTAGTATGTTGGCCATTCATTGTACATTTATATCTGACCCCATTAGTGACACACAAATCCAGTAATGGTCTCTCTATGTGTTTCTCACTATAGGAGATGATGATAAAAAAGAAACATTATATGGACTTGTACATACACTTTGTTTCAAGGACTGACTATGAAAGTGTTGATAGGACAGGCATTTTGACGGCCGACCCACTCCAGCCTGATAATAACCCGCGCTGCAATTCTCCTACTCATCTCACAGTAATCCTCCCTGTTGTCAGTGGCTCTCCTGCTGCAGCCACTGATACCCTGATCCAAGGTCTGACTGGGACAAGACAGCAGCCTGCTTGAAGATGGGAGCTCTGGCTATCTATGGGTATAAATTCAACTGTCATGTGAGAAGAACCTAACCCTTCACACAGTGTAATTAACCATCTGATGCCAGTGAAGAAGATGCCAAGTTGACATACAATTAATTCGTCATGCCAAAACAAGGAAGCAGCAGAACTTAAAGCCACATAAACTATTTTAAAGGATAACACCTTTGTAATTCCATAAGGTAGGGTGTCTTGCGCGAGACGGATTAAAACAAGAATGATAGTGCCACCAGCAGGTCACCAGCAGGTCAACATGTGTATTCAGCCTACTTTGGTTTATGAACAAATGCCTACAAGCTAAATGACATTCCCAATTAGCCTCTGCTGTACTTTGTGGTTCAGTGCTAATTAGCAGAATGCTAAACGCTAAAATGCCAAAGTAAAGATGGTGAACACGGTTACCATACCTGGTGCTAATGCTAATATTAGCAATTACCACAAAGCCCTGCTGTATGAAAGTACAGCCTCACCGGGGCTAGCATGGCTGTAGACTCCTTTTTTCTTTCTTTTTGTCTTGTCTTGGCTGTGTCTTGTTTTTGCATTTGCATTGGTTTAAATAGGAATTTGTATCAAGTAGGAAACATACTGATTTGACAGCTACACTGTGGCTTCAGTGACTTTCAGAGTGAACATTTGTTGCATATTTAGACTTGACACATAGCTTTTAGTTTTATATTTTGTCATATGTAGCCTTCTCTGCTTTTTTTCTGTTAAAGTGGAGGAATACAACATGCTGTAAATGTACTGCCTGGACTTCCTTTGACACCAGCTGAAGAGGAACAAGGGAGTTAAAAAGAGAGGAAGACCTTTAGCAGTGTTGCTCTTCATACCACATGACAGTGGCAACCCCAACAACAGTACCGACTTTGTTGCTTTGATATATTTACCTCGTATCCAGGATACATTTCGGCAAATACTGGCAGGAGCAGAGCAGAGGGTGGAGGGTGATTTGAACAGAGCTGTATGGTAATGGGTATTACTGGAAGACGTTGAACTCTTGACTCACAGTTAAGATGACATTCAGTCACTTTTAAACCCTTGTTAAGAGACCTGAAGTCTGTGAAAGGGTTTGCACTTTGACATTTCCTTCTAGTATCTCATCATCTTCCCTGTGCTTCCTCCTCCAGGGAGCAGCCAATCTTCAGCGCCCGGGCCCATGTTTTCCAGATCGACCCGACAACCAAGAGGAACTGGATTCCCGCCAGCAAACATGCTGTCACCGTGTCCTTCTTCTACGACGCCAACCGTAATGTGTACCGCATCATTAGTGTTGGGGGGACCAAGGTGAGGGGGAGGTAAAGGGTAATAATGCTGATCATGTTGATGGTAGACAAAGACAGCTATTTCTGAGGGATTTTCTAAAAGTGGTGTTATTCTGTGTGACTGCAGTGAAGACGGTGGCCTTGGCATCAAAAAAGGCTATTCACTATTTGTAACAAAGCCACTGGCCAAACAAAACGGGACAAACAGCAGCATCGCATTAATTTTCCTCTTTACCAACCATCCTCCACAGAAAATCTGAAAGTTTAAGAAAATATGTAGTGAACTAAAACCAGAGTGGGTGTCAAAAACTCAGCAGCCAGAGCGTCTTTCTCACAGGAGTAAGAGGCCACATCCATCACTGGGGCGTGGGGGGTTTATCTGATCTCTTCTTAGCACCTCTGGTCTGACCCACATTCCTGCCTCCCAGTAGGCTATCCGGGGTGGCAGTTGGTCGGTCAGCAGCCCAATCCTGCCAGGACTGGTGTCTGGCTCCAGAATAATCTTCACTGCTGTTGCCACCGTCCAACATGTTATGTCAAACATGTCACTGCAGAAATGGAGGCTGTAGAGTTCATGTAATCATTTGTTGGAGGGAAAAGAAGGGCGAAAAAGCTTTCTCCTAAGCTGCCGTTGCCCCGCAATTCTGGGATTTTAAATCAGTTCCATTATTGTACGGCTGGAGATGACGTAAAAAGGTTTATAAATAGGTCCGCTCTAATATTTTTTTCTCTCCTGTGCTCAGGGGGAAAGAGGTGGCTTTGGCCATTTCTGACTGAGGTCACGAACCTGGTGGATGTGCTGCGTTTGTGAATCTTTGTTGATGTCCTTCTCTTTGACAGAAAAATGATTTGGCTCTGCTTTGAATTTACTTTGAATAATAAGAGCTTGTGATGTGGCAGAACTCTGTTTTTTCATCATGTTCAAAACAGTCATTTTCAATAGAACAAACATGTCTCAAGGGGAAAGTGCCTGAAAATAGGTGATTGCCAAGAATCCCAGTGGAAAGTTAATGCATTACAAATGTCACAGTAAGCACAGATGTTTTCCTGAGTTCTTCACTCGTCCAGCAAACACGTGAAACATGAAATTATCCAAGTGTTGACAAGGTTTATGTCAGTGCTAAATAAAATAAATAAAAATGACAGAAAAGCACTAATAAAAAAATTAATAATTGAATGACTCCAGAAGGAGTATTTTATATTTTAAAAAGGCAAATGTTCATACAAAATTATAAAAAAAAGTAAAACGGTTTAAAATTTTGGTTTATTTTAAATACATAAAATATTTTAGGTAATTCAATCAATACAACTTTTGTCTGATGAGAATCAGGAATTTTGATTTCACACCCTTTCATATGTTGAAATGGAAAAAAGTGGCAAATCGGAGCAGAGACAGGCATTTCGCCAATTTTACATATTATTGGGCTTGTAAAAGCAGTATGATGTCTTCTGTGGATCTGAAAGAGCTTTGTCATGTCTGAGAAAATAGCCCTTGTGATGATGCCATGGACTCTGACACTACAAACTGAAAGGTTTCTCACAAACTGGGGTTGTGGAGTTTGCAAGATGTGGGCATTTAGGAGGCAGGAAGGGTCTAACAAAAAGATGGTATTTGTTGCACTAGACTCCAGTGTTTTAAGGACTTGAGGATATTTTGGTTTCTGTTACTCTGTGTGTCCCCTAGGTTTAGTCCAATACTAAATCACTGGAGTACCCCTTGAACTACAATCTACAAACTAAATTAAATATTCCACAGTTCATATACTTATTTACAGTCATCTATTTATTTGAATTTGTGCGTTTATTCTATTCCTGCACAAGAATCAATATCAGCTGCCTCAAATTTCTGTCGCCTGAAGGGACGATCATCTGTTACCTCTGCATTTGCAGGCGATCATCAACTGCACCATCACACCCAGCATGACATTTACCAAGACGTCACAGAAGTTTGGTCAGTGGGCCGACAGCAGGGCCAACACTGTGTATGGTCTTGGTTTTGCTACAGAGCAGCAGCTGCATCAGGTAAACTTACCCAAAGTCAGCAGAGATTAAAGTGCTGATAAATACTTCAGGAAATATATTTATTAAAACTTCTTACTTGTTGTTCATTGCCGGAGGCTGATTAGTGCTCCATTATTAATGTTTCATTACCTGAAATTGTTTGTCACTTGTCCTATTTTGAAAAGTTTGCAGATAAGTTTAAGGAGGTGAAAGATGCAGCTCGTCTGGCACGAGAAAAGTCGCAGGATAAAGAACTGGCCAACACTGCACTTACCATCGCTGCTCCTCAGGTGAGCTCTATCCTTACAGAAAATAATACATGAAAGTGGAGCAAGCCTCTGCAGGTATCAGGCAGGTAGTGGAAATGTGAAAACTTTATCAGGATCCACAGAAATATCCAGTGATGCTTTTTTGGGGGTTGTTCTCTTCATTTTAGGATTGAAGAGAACACTGTGAGCACAGGCCAAGGTTAGATGAATGCACTTCTGTTACTTTGCAGCAGTTCAGCTATTAGACATGGCTGCTGTGATTAAATCAAAGGAAGGATAGAGAGAGGAAAGAAAGGCAAAAGAAAGATGAGCTGGGTCACCTGTCTCGGAGGAAAGAGAAAGTGAGGAAAACTAGGACGGTGGTAAAATTATCCCCGTGCCGCTCAGCGGTGCACTGCATCCGCATTTCCTGCCCACTGCTACAGAGAAGCCTCTGACTCAAACACTGTAATGATGAAAATGTAATCAGCTCATGACTTTTTTGATCAATAGAGAATAATTACCCATCAGTTACATCTGCTTGGTCATGGGGAACGTGCCCATTTCCTTTTAATTCTACGGCTGAATAGATTCCAACTGATGTCTCTCACTCCACGTCTTTAACGATTTAATGAACACTTTGGAGAAGCCAAAGCTCCAGAAAATTGCCACCTGCGTCAAATAATAGCACTTTATTCTTGCTAAGTAAAGCTGCATAACTGCTATGATATTTTTGAAAAGGTCATTATGTATACGGTGAGTGTTGTGATGACACGTTTGTTTGTTTGTTTGTTTTTTTTCTCTACCTAATGGATTTCCTCTGAAGTTCTCACAGGTGAGTCGGTCATTGTTGTTTTGTCCTCTGACTCCAGAGAACAGTGTTATTTAGCACCACACAATACATTATCTTTGGGAGTACTTTAAAGCACAAGAAATATTTGTGCAAAAATCTGTCTTTTCCTTTCTGTCTGTCCCTGAATTTCAAATGCATTTTAACCTGCTGTGATGGGCTGATAGCTCTTAATTTTGCAGACCAAAACAGACACCACAACTATCTCAATAATCCAACTCACATCACTACGAGTCCATCAAGACCTGAGACAGTAAACTGCTGCAAAGCTTTACTTTTTTTTTAAACTTTCTTTATTGGACTTTGATGTGAGTGGGATTGTTAAGATCTGAAAGTAGTGCTCATGAAAGAAGCCACCTCTCTCTTCTCTAAATAATCCATCTGGCATTGAGATGCTGTGTGTGTTATTCGGAGAGTCCATTTACTTATGTGTTCCTCAGGACCTCTCGGATGAACTCCAGTCTCCACCGGTGATGTGTGTGAATGGGCCTGAAGACAAGCTGTTCCGCAGCCAGAGCGCGGACATTACCCTGTCTTCTGAGAAGGAGCGCATTAAAAAGATGCTTTCTGAAGGGTAACTGAGTTGTGTGCGCACACAAAAACACACACACACACACACACACATCAAGAGAATGACAAACACATTCTTCAATCTCACCTTCTTTTCAAACAGTTAAATACTGTGATAAGAATCCCTTTGTGAAAGAATCTTCTTTCAATCTGGTGATTGTGCGTCTACCCAACTTCTGTCTGTTCTGCTGCACACAAAGTTCAAACGTGATGTGACAGATTTGAAACAAGATGAGAAACTCCAAAGTCAGCTGTCACTTTATCCGGAGCTCACAAACGTGTGCAGAGCTGAGCTTATAGGTTCCTTATTGACCATGAAAATGGTCATTTTGAGCTTTCAGCTACATTTTATGGCCTCAATTATTGGATGAAATTGAGCAAACTTTCAGTGAAAGCTCCAGAATCTGTTCAGTAAATGGACCGTGTGGTGTCCGAACAATAATGCTGCAATGATGTGTTGAGAAGAAATCCGCTTGACACTGTCCTTGATCATAAAAGTTTATTATATCAAGGAATTCAGCATCAATTACAAGCTCTGCAGCAGCTTGGAGAGTGACCCAGCCCGATAACCACTCTGTCTCTCTGTACATCAAACACAGCTTATATAGGACATGTTTAGGTATCTGCTAAATAAGGGTCCAGTCCCTTCATAAACACTAATCTCTACTCCTCCTAACACTGGGTCAGAGGTCAAATTCCATAGGAGGGTTCACTCTTTACACACCCATCAATCATTACTCCCCCTTAAGAGTTCACTGAGCCTCTATCCAGCTGCTAGAGTGTTATTTTAAACTTTAATGGTCAAATGCACATATGTTATACACCACAACCGTGAGCTGATTTTTTAAAACTACTTTAATTATTTTTTACAGTATAACATCATTAAAGGAATAGTTTGACATTTGTGGAAACATACTTATTCGCTTTCCTGCAGAGAGTTAGATGGGAAGAACGATGGCACTCTCATGTCTGTGTGATAAATATGAAGCTACAGCCAGCAGCTGGTTAGCATAGCTTAGCATAAAGACTGGGAACAGGGGGAAACAGCTAGCCTGGCTCTGTCCAAAGGGAACAAAATCCACCTACCAGGGTTTCTAATTAAGATGTTACATCTTGTTTGTTTAGTCAGTACGAGTGTAAAAGTGACAGGTTTGTGGATTTGGTTACCTTTGGATGGAACCTTTATGCAAGACTAAGGTAGGTGTCTCCTGGCTCCAGCTTCATATTGAACGGACAGAAAGTGATCTTGATCTCTCTCTCTGCAAAAAAAAAAGAAAATAATTGTGTTTCCCAAAATTTCAACTTATGCCTTTAAAAGACAGACAATACATTTAGATTAGTTCAGGCCATGCTGCCATGTCTTCACTAGCAGCTTAATTGTAAAGGTATTAAAGTATTTTGTCAGAATAATAAAGCCCTTTTGAGACATTTACAACATTATTGTTAGTAAGTCATTTAGTGATAGTCATACAGTCAGCTTAACAAACAAATGAATCATTTTCAGGAAGGTGTTGTTTTAACATTGCAGTAAAATATATATTTTGCACACAGTAATTCTAATCAGCTAAACTCCACGATACAGATTCCATTTAATCTAGTACTATTGATTGTACTTGCGCAGGTAATCCATTACCTTTTAACTCCCACCTTCGCTGCAGCGTCATCATGGTTTTCAGGTTAGATACAGTTTGACGTCATTCAATTTGTCAAGCTCTCCAGGAACTGAAGAGGCCATTACTGAGGCGTTGACTCATACAAAACATCAAATAAGGCTTGTAAACATCTCTTCATTCAGCCCTTTGAGCCTCACATAATGCTTTTATGTCCTACAGTCCAATTATTACGACAGAAAGCTGCTCCTCAATGGTTACCATGGTGAACTGTAACCATTGGACAACCTTGAGCTTTCTAGATGCAGAGGGACAGAGCAAAGGTGAAGGATCAGGGATGAAGCGAGAAGCTGACTGATCTTTTCTGCAGATTGCACCAAAACTGATTGAAATTGATAACATTTAATGATTTCATATGTCTGTTATATAATTTGTAGAATGAAGTGACATGTTAACTGGAGGCCTGTTTATACAATGAAATAGTCCCAAGTAAGATTCAGATTTAAAGCGCACAGCTTATGATGCTTTATGCTCACAATGTTTTATCTGGAACAAAGGTCAGCAGGATAGTAACAGGATAGTAAGTGAAATACTAAACAAACATCTTGTCTTCTTTGTTCCCTGATGCTTACAAATGAAATCAAATGTGATGATCCAGATTAGTTGGGGACGTGTCAGTGCTAAAATTTCCTTAAAAAGGTAGACCTTCACTGTCACATTCAGTCTTTTGACAAAAGACTTCAAACCCTCCAGGATTAGAGGATTACTGTCGGAACAGTTTGGTCTTGTTGTGTGCTCTCTGGGCATTTTAATAAGGACCTTCACACTGGGCTGTAGGTGGGCTGCAGTTCTTCGTGTATCCTTCTTAATGCTGTTATAGCGGCTTGCTGTTTGTATTAAACAGGCCAACAGTGTGTCCTCATGTTCCAACCTCTGGACAGCAGCAAATTGCGGTTGTTACTCCGCAGCCAGCTATAGTATTCAATTAACATTTACCTTGTATTGCAATCTTTTACACAAGTTTTAACAGATGGCTTTTAAAAAACAAGGCAGCCAAAGGCAATCATTTCAAACTTAGGCAGGCTTTCATTCCAGTCAAGCACTACATAAGTCCGTTTCACCAGTATTTGTTCTTAATGCTTTGTATGTAAAGGAATTCTAATCAGTGAAATCTATCATTGTATTGTTTGGTTGGAATAAAAACCTGCCTATCTTTAGTTTACAATGTCAAATTTGAACTACACATAAAAACTTTATCTAAAAAGCAATGTTGTATCTACTTTAGCAAGAGAACATGATAATAGTTATTCTTCTCTCTGAACGGTCTTTTCGATCTACTGTATTCTATTTAAAACAATTGTAAATGTTTTTTGTAGCACTTTCAGGACTTCTCATCTATGTTGGCTTAAAATATGTATAATATTTATGTGCCACATAAGCCATATTATCACAAGGCTTATATGTACAGTATTATATGCATCATATAAAATATATCACTGGTTTACAGTTCTGTGTCTTTCAGGTCTATTTGTGAGATGAACCTGGAAGCCGAGCTTTTTACTCTGCAGGACAGCAACTCCAAATTGGTAGCAGCGCTGCACGAGGCTAATGCAAATGTGGAGCAGTGGAAGAAACAGCTGGCAGCGTATCAGGAGGAGACAGACAGACTCAGAGACCAGGTGAGCCTCTGCTGTATTTAGTCTGACACTCGGGTACGGAGGTGCTAGGTATAATTTTCCCTGAACACTGAATCGGTCAGTTAGCTAGTACAGCTTCATGTCAGCCATCTCCAAAACAACAAGCAAACAATGACCCTGAAATTACTCAGAACAAAACATTTGAATGTCAAAATCGCAACATGGCAGTACTGGCACTTATTTTTTACCACTTCAAGCTCTAATGTTGCTGCCCTCACATCCTCCTCATACACGCCTACTTGTAATTTTAAAAGTAATTGATTGTATCTCATCACAAATTAAATTAGCTTTACTTTGAAATAACCGCATGGTTGCTTAATCCAGGTTTTGTATATGCTTGGCAGCTCAAAGGTAAACCTAAAAAGAGCTTGGTGTCATACATTCAATTAGGGTGGAGTAGTCAAGTAGTTAAATTTTTTTTTATGTCAGGTTAGTTCATTTTAACTTTGCAATCCTATATAACCTGTCCTGTAAACATAATTAAGGGTGCCTAAGTAACTGAGAATCAGATTTACAAATCCAAAACTATTACTTTAACATTTTTGATTGCTATTGATTAGTTTTGATTGATATCAAATGGTTTAGAAAGCCCAGGTCCACCGTTCAAATCGTGTTTTAGCCTTGTGATAGACGATAGACGGTTGGAAGTACCAACCCTCTTGCCCAGTGCATGCTGTCCTAGATAAGCGGTTTAGGGGAGTGGCTGGATGGTTGATGGGTGGATTAGCTGTTGCATGAAAAGCTTTGTGGGAAAGTTGACCTCAAAGCTGCCTATTTCATGTATAACAGACATATTTACAGTGCTCCTAATACCACCACACAACTAGTTAATGAGAAGTTAAATCAGGTAATTCATTAGTTGTCCTTTTGCCTTCTTGTGCAGCCACGTCCTTGTTCATTCTGTAGTAACCTGCAGGGCAGAAGATGATGGTTAAGGTCGAACCTAATTATCAATACTGGAGCGGTGGAGCTCTGTAACAGCACTGAGATTATTGCTGAAGGAAAGCCTTTGCCCAAACAAGGGCAAGGCATGGATGGTGGGACTCGTTGCACGTCTTTCTGCGCTCTGCAGGCGTTTTTCCTCCAAGGCTTTAATCAAGGAGTTCTCTGCAGGTTGAACCATAAGGGAGTTGGGTCTAAATGCACTGGGCCTCAAGAGGGTTTTACACGTAAATGACCTTTTAGGTCCCCCCCTCACTCATCAATAAAAGGTATTTTCGCATTTGCTGTTAGCTGATTCCTCGGGGAACGACCTCGCCTCAGGCTGACAATTACAAAACTCTCTGATTCAAAGCTTTAATGACTTTGATCCCTTTCCATTATAGTCCGGGTTTACAGTATTGATCACCGCTTTTTTATTCTCTACCAATCATCTGGTATTTAGAAGCAGTTTTGTTCCACATCAACAAATAAATCCATACAAGTAAGAGAACTCTGTCTTTGGACTGAGCTTGTTCCCTCTATCTGAGAAAGGGGACCAGGTGGCTGAAAATGGTTCATATCTCAGGGGTGGTGTGAGAGGGAGAGGGGTTTGTAGGACAGCAATATCCTACTTTCACTGCCCCAGTTAGGAAAAAATGAAAAATCACCAGAGGGAGCTGGCATCCACTCGTTTTTCCACTCGTGCTTTCTACCGCTCCTCATAGTCTCAACCATACATGTATAAGAAGCAAAGGATTTGATTCCTGGTCACCCAATAATGGTGACATGACTCACTCATTTGCCTGTTGATGAATCCTAATTGTAGATGACGTTGTAGCATGTTTTAACTTATAGTGACAGTTAAATATTAAGTTATGATGTCCCTCACCATGTTTTGTGTGTGTACACTAAGATCACTGACGCTGTCTTCAAGAAGCTTTAAAGTAATTACAGAACAAACGCATTTATAATAATTATGTGAATGGTTTGCACATATTTGTATGACACGCTATTATTTAGATGTATTAGACATGGATCTCCACACTGCAGCAGGCCACATACAATTTAACATTCAGCTAATTGATAGACCAAAAGATAGTTACAAAGTGCGTAACAAACACAAGAGCAACTTATAGAATTAATAAAACACAAATGAGAGTTAACAGAAAATTAGTCTTGACGTTTTTAAAAGTTCAGCTGGGATTGGATGATCTAATAGTGAGATGTAAACAATTACCAACTTTGGTGGCATATACAGCAAATGCTCTACCCCCCTCATACCGTTTCCCCAACACTTGGTTAGTTAGGCCTGAGAGACTTTTAGTTACTATATGGGCGTAATTCAGAAATGTACTTTGGGTGGGAGATGGGTGCTGACTTTAAAGTTTATACAAATGACATACATTTTTAAGAAAATTGAATGCTGTGGGGATGTGGGAGAGACCAAATGTCCACTTAAAGATTTTTGTGTGAAGTCATGTCCCACATGCTGAACATGAACATTTAAATCTGTCTGTGTGTCTGTGTGTGTGTGTGTGTGTGTGTGTGTGTGTGTGCGCGATGGAAGGTGGCTGAATTAGAAGCCCATGGAGGCCAAGGCCCCAGTGATCTGCTGAAGGATGAGCTGACCCAGTCCCTTGAGGAGCTAGAGTCCCTGCTGAAGGCCAAAGATGAGGTTGGTACTTATTGTTCCCATTTTATCATCAGCTGGAGTCAGAGGTGGGAAGCTGCAATGTTCATCACAGGTGCTGATGAACAATTCAGCTACTCATACTCAAGTGAAGCTTTCACTCTCCTCCAGGAAATCCACATTTTGCAAAGCAAGAAAGCAGAGTACCACGAGATGGAGCACGAGAGGGATGAGGCCATCCACAGATTACGGGTAGGCGTGAGTTATTACGGAACAGTGATCTGCTTTGATAAATGAAGTAGTTATAGTGAAATAATCAGTGGTTGAATTTACAGAAGCATTAGGTTTTCTTTAAATTTCCCCCTCTTGTCGCCTTCCTTTGCCTCCTCTTCTCTGTAGGAGATTGAGATGCGTAATTCAGATCTGGAGCGACGCATCCAGAACTCAGAGCAGAACCTGAATAACTCTCTGGAGGAACGGGATCGCATGGACTCTGAAATCCAGAGGGCCATCGAAATTCTGGACATCAAGATCTTTGACCTTAATGACCTTCGCCAGAGCCTGGTTAAACTCATCGACAAATAAGAGGGGAATGGAACAGATGTGACATTTTGTCGCGGCAAGTGCAGCAAGGTGGAGTGAACAAAACAAGATGGAGCTGGTCCCTGTCTTCTTCAAACACAAGAACCACCTCGGCCGCAGTGAGGTTGCTCCATGTCTGTGTTTGCAGCAGTGGCTGTGCTGTACTCAACAATATTCTGTAGGTGTTGGCCCTAAGCAGCACCATACACGCGGTTTCACTTGTCCAGTGTAATGTAACGCTTCATGTGGCTTTCAAGGGTAACATTCAATGCAATAAACCAACCTTAAGGTAAGTGCTTCACAGTGCTAGAGATTTAGTATTGAGAATTGGTGCTTGTAGTTTTTCATAAGTATGAACAAACTGGCGATGCAGTGTCAAAATGATAAGAGGCCTTGTTTTGTTTTGTTTTGTTTTTTCAACTGACAGGTGATAATTCTTTACAACAAAGGGAGTCCATGCAAACAGGGAAAGGGGCAGTGTATTCAGTGGACAGTGAATGTAAATAAAAAAGTGCACAAGACAAAATTACTTTTAAGAGATTAGCCTATTTAACAGCCCGCATACAACATCATTATTATTGAATTACCAGTTAAAGTTTTACATGCACAGATGTAAGTGCGTATGGTCTCGTAGTTACCCACACATAATGTAGCAGCTGTAAAGTGTAAAGTGAAGGACAGAGTGTTTCTAGTTGGTGCTTTTCCACAGGAATAAGCAATGACATATATTCAAGGTCAGTAAAACAGTATGCTAATAGAGTTTTATATTTGTTTAAGGCATGAACACACTACTTCACCTTAAACATTAGATCTGAATATTGACACCAAAGATCAAATGTTAAGTCATTGATAAGGTCTGTCAGCAGCTTGTCTATTATCACATCTTCACTTGAGCTCGTACGAAACCTTTAAATCTAAGATAAGTTAACGTAATCCATAAGTACATTTTATTAGATAAGATACATTAATTGATTACATTTAGGATGAATAAGTATTTTCCACATGATATAAATCAATAATGCTACAGTCATTAAGTAAACAATAGAAATTTAAGTTGTCAGTATTACAGATAAGTTTAACTGGCGTTTCCCAGTCTTAATAATCGCCTTGCGCAACATCTCTTAACAAACCACTGACTTAGTAACTTATTGATGATAGATGCATTCAAGGAAATGAGAAACATTTTCTGCCTTCTGTCATTTTTCAGCACGTTACCTTTAGCTGTGGACGATATGCCATACGCCTTCACAGAGTCTTTTATCACACAGACTGTATTGTTCAACATAGTCTATAATGCTGTGTTTGTTTTCTTTTTTCAAGCCTTATTGTTCTATTTTAAGGATGGTTGTTGATAAATCATGCCAGGTACATGTCTCAGACTTTGAGCTGACATGACGGTTTGGGAATAAAAGCAAAGGATACAGTCACTAATGCTATGTACTTGTTTCTTGTTTTTATTAACTTTATTTGTAACATAGTATAAATCCACATGTTTCAGTAAGTTAATAAGTTTGATTTATATGAACCTTTACAATCAAGGAACATTCAAGAGTGATTCATTGACCAAACTACAAAATCCAAATTTTAAAGCCCATACTCTGATACTACTTCAGTCCAATTATTGCCTTTGTTTTATTTCTTTGTCACTTTCTTTGCCACTTAACCCTTACCCCAAATTGTTCCAGTGAGGAATGCTCAGAAAACCTGCTGAAACACAGGAGCTATTAAAGTCCAGGGCCTGTATTCATAAAGATTCTAAGAATCCTCTCAGAAAACTTTTACGTAGGAGTCTTAGTTTAAGAGCGATCAGGGACTGATCTGAGAGCAACTCTGAGCAAGGAAAAGACAAAAACTTTCATCTTAGTGAGGAGGCGGGGTTGACCCTGTTGCTACGTAAGACACAATCTTTTGAAGACTGTGATTGGTTGGTTGTCCAAGAAGGAAAAAAAGAGTGATTTTAAGTATAGGTTCTATTCTAAGCCTTCACTTTGGAAATTACATGCGTAATATTTCCTATTTGACCGTTCTCATACACACACACACATTATATATGTGTATATAAATCCTGTTTTTTATTTACCATGTTGTTATTTTCCTATAAGGTATTTGATTGGCTTAGATTGACAAAAATTGTTCTAGTCTTTCCAATTACACTGATTGCTGGCATGTCTATTTAAGTGGCGGTTTGAATGTTGGTTTTAATGTATCAAACATGGAATCAAAACCAAGAAGGGCGAGAAAGCCCAACTGGACAGAGGAACAGTGTTTTCTGTTAGCCCAGTTAGTGGATGAACAACAAGGCCATTCTAAAAGGAAAATTCAGGCCGGGTGTCACAGCACGGGGCAAGAGGCAGACGTGGGAGCGTATAGCACAAACTATTAACGGTTCATTCCCCCTGCTTGTGCGCACCAGGGAAGACTGCTATATTCATAAATGCGTTTTTTTAAGCCTGCAAGGTGGGAATGTCCAGTGGAAACGACATGAACTGCGACACAATAAGAGGTTCTGAAAGTGCTGTAATTGTTTGTGTGATCACTCTGCTTACAGAAGGTTGTGACAGTAATGTAGTGATTACTTTCATTTCTGGCGCTATGGCATTCCTGCGCTGCGTCAGAGATGTCAGTGCGTCTCTAATAAGATCAGTCACAAACATGATCCCTGCACGATCTAATCTATAGCATCTGATTAACTCACTGTCATCCATTGTCTGCAACACATTTCTTCTCCCTCTTCGTCTTTCTGCCTCTACTAAAGAAACTCTTAAGCCTCTTAAAAGTTCTCGTCTGTGCTCCTAACAATTTTGACCTTAAGACCTCTTTTAAGGGTTAAGATACTTTCTTAATTACTTTTTTCTTTACTAGGATTTTTTCTTTAATATAAAGAGTTAACGTCCACATTTCTAAGAATTTTCTTAGAATTTTGTCACTAGGAGCTACTCTTTGCATTAAGATTTTTTATGAATACAGGCTCAGGAGTTTATAGCTGAATAAATAATATTTCATTGAGGTGAAAAGGTGCCACAATCACATTTAAAGAGGTTACTTCCCCAAACAAAAGAGGAGGGAAGACTAATCATGTCTGCATGCGTGCTGACTCAGCAGGGATGTTGCTACACAGACTGCCTAAGAGCCTTACGGCTTTATAATCTGTTATATATATATTTTTTTAAATTGTCCCCTGCCACCTAAATTTTGTTTCCTTTTACATAAATAAAATAATTTCCACCATACATTGGTGCAGAAAAAATTACCAGAATGCAGGAAATTCATTTTCATATAATTAATCATTGAAGATTTCTTAAAAATAGTGTTAAATTCTGTCTTGTCTCAATCTCGTGAACTAACTGTATCCTCACACCCGTAGTAAACACATGTAGCCACTGGATCCACAGAACATATCCACTCGCCTGAATTTGACTCGATGAAGTCACAGGTACCTGTAAGTAAAAAAGCATCTATTAATCAATCCTGTTACAATGTTTTATTGGCAATACTGATTATTTATTCAAGCTGTCTACCTAATCTTCTTCTTGGGTCTGAGGTCAGTGGTGTGTCCACACTTCTTCTTACGGCAGTTGACAGCTCGTGGATGTAAACGAGCGTAGCACCTGCGATGAGAGGAACAGACCCTCCAATCAAAACAAACATCATACATGTTGTGAATGTCTTCATTCTTTTTTTTATTCTTTTATAAGCACACAACTCATACAGATCAGTTTGTTCAGTCTTTCTTCTTCCAACTTTTACTATTGTGAAAAAAGGCAGTAGTCCCTGTTTCATTTGACTATAGTTTAAAAGGCTCAATGGTTGAGTGAAGGCCTTAATGACCCACTGACCGTACAAACCACTTCTACAAATCTACAATGTGATTTATATGGTTAGTTGTCAGTTTTTTTGAGCCTTTAACAATATTTTTGGGAATTGGGAAAAGTCTAACAAATCTCACTCTTTTAACACATTTTGATATGTAATGTATAAACTTTTCTTTGGCCGGAAGCTCTGGACTATTCTCCTCTCCTATTTGTCTTTGAGAATGAGCTCAATCTCATCAATAAGACTGTGTTGTTAAACATACTTGCGGCAGATCATCTTGTTACAGTTGTACTTTTGAGCCAGCAGTTTCAGAGAGGGCTCAATGACGCCCCCTCTCAGACGCAGGACAAGGTGGAGAGTGGACTCTGGGGAAGGAAAGAACCAGGCAAGTAATCAACAAAAAGCCTGCCTATAATATTAGTTCAATTAGCAGTGGGAGTTAAAGCTATACCCTTCTGGATGTTATAGTCTGACAGGGTGCGTCCATCCTCCAGCTGTTTCCCAGCAAAGATGAGACGTTGCTGATCAGGGGGGATACCTCGAAAAAATGACAGTCACAACTGTGAGCTGGTGCTTGTGCCAGGCATGGAAAGTTATGCAACGTTTACAGCTGCCAATTAAAGAGCAAACCAGCGGACGGTGGGGTGTTACCAATACTTGTAAGTCTATAATAAGTTTTTAATTGATGAGAGGTTATATATTGTAGATATTAACGCACCCTTTATTTCATGTACAACTACTATGTAACTGCTCTTCTGTGAAGTCAATATTTGTAATAAAGTAAACTTCCTGCATTTTAATTGGTGTGGTGAGTTTAAAAAGCTTTGGGAGACCAATAAGATCTTAAGAGATTTTCTGTGTAAATATCTCCCTGGAACATGAGCTGCTTCTTTACCAGAAAATAAAAACTTGAAAGAGTAGCCTACATGTTTATTGGTGTGTATTTTACAAACAAAGCCACACATTACAGACTATCAGATAACTGATGGGATCATGGTGCTTGGTTCAACAATCTGGCGCAGTGTATGAACAAATAATAATAAAATATACAATCACAGGTAAAATCAGTTTTTATGACAGCTGGGTAATTGATTTAAGTGTCCCTCCCATGCAATAGATGATAGTAGTAGTAATGAACTATGGGACCATAAAGTTATTGTAGTTATTTTCCCCTCACATCTGTTCACACTAAAGAGTACCTACCTTCTTTGTCTTGGATTTTGGCTTTGACATTCTCAATAGTGTAAGTGGACTCCACCTCGAGGGTGATGGTTTTACCCGTGAGTGTTTTCACAAAAATCTGCATCTTTGCTCACTAGAAAGAAGCCAGAAAATGCGACAGTCAGACAAAGATGGACCACCAAATGCATAGAAATCACACTAAAAGCCAACTGAGACAAACTTTTGAAACACACTGATAGGACTTTTCATTTACTTTCAAAAACAAGTTACTTCCTTAATATTTAACTATGAAAGTACCTATATTACAGTAGTTTAGACAGTAAGTCACCATTTTCAACAGTTTGCCAGCAGATTAACAACGACATTAAACAACATAAAAGAAAACAAATAAGCTACATATATATAAATAGCCTACCAATTGTACACAGAGTTAACTACAACAGTTAAACAATGTTTTATCTAATATTATCAGCATTTTCCCAAAATGACCTTTCCTTATGAAATCTGCTCTTACGCTGAGGGTTCGATACCATTCACCAGCAGATAGATGACAGAGGAACCTGGTAAGCCCAGTCCTGTGCTTCAGAAGGGAAACAAGCTCATCCATTTTTATATAAGGTACAAGGTACATGACTGTTTGTTTTAAGATGACGACATGCCATGGTATAGGTACACTTATTATATCTTGGGGCGTTGTTCAACCTAACGAGAGACATGTTGTGACAAGTCCTTGGCCACAACATGACTAAGGACTTCATAATACAACACAAGGTTGTATAACAAAAAGAAAATTTGTAGTCCCCTCATGCTACAGGCACAGAACTTAACAGAAAATTAAATGTGTATAAAAATAACAATATCTACAGTTTGCCTATTAATATACAAAGGCAATAGCCTACTATACATACACATATGAGCCTACACCTCGATTATTCTGCGGTGCATTTTTTTAGAAATTGGGTCTGGGGTGAATGTAAATACAGCAACAAGATGATGGTTTCATTTTCATATAATAAAAGTCTGAAACTGTGTCCATCTTGACTGCGTTTGAGCACCAAGCATCCATGGAAACACATAGTCCGCCTCCTCTCATCTTGCATTGACTAGTGCTTGATAAGGGATATTGATGATGGGTCAGTCTCTTATTTCCGTTGCTTGGCCAACGTGTGTCCCATTTTGTCCAGACCTGACCTTTAGTAACAGCCTTAAGTTCAAGCTGGGTCAGCGTTTCTATTCAGGTGTTGCATAAATGATGGCCTACCATTGCGCATTTTATTTTGTGTATTTCAGATCATGTCTCATAACAGGGATGAATATGGAAAGTTTTTGTTTTCTAGAAAAAGTCATTGTGCATTATGGAGGGGGGATATGTTTTATGGCTGGTGGAATAATTTGTATCCCACTATAACTTTTTCTGGGAAAATGGAAATGTCTCCATATTCATCCCTGTTATTAGACATCATGTGAAATATACACAAAATAAAATACATGATGCTAGGCCATCATCTGTTGTTTATAAAGGGGGATACATATTTTGGTAGACTGTATGTCCAGCCTTGTAGCACAAGTACTGTCAACGCTTTCTGTGTATGAAAAGTGCTTTTTAAATGCTATTATTAAATGATTATGATAATAATTTACCCTTTAAGGAGAGGGATTCTTAACAATTTCCAGTAATATCCAAATGCTATCAAAACGTGGATTACAAGGACAAAATATTGTCTACTATGCTGCATTCAGTTCAGTGTACATTTAGAGTGAAGTAGATGTAATTGAGCAATGTGTTAAACTCATTACAGTAATCTTTATTTTTTTACAACCTGTCTGTCACAGTTGGCCAAGTGAACGACTCTGTAGTCACTTATAACTAATCTTCAGACTATGGCGAAATTAATGTTTGCTTTATGAGGGGAAATACATTGTCGTCTTGTTTAGACATTCTCAATTCAGTGCATTGAATAATACTAAGTTCGATAACACGTTACATTGGCCTCCAACAGAATAAAAGCATTTATTTTGATATATGAGCCGTGTGTTAACTTGCTTTGTAAAACCTCGCTGATAAAACAACAATACTAAAACGACAGATTAAACACTCCACGTGTTATATACAGTGGGTACGGAAAGTATTCAGACCCCTTTAAATTTGTCACTCTTTGTTTCATTGCAGCCATTTTCCAAAAATCAAAAAAGTTCATTTTATTTCTCAGTAATGTACACTCAGCACCCCATCTTGACAGAAAAAAACAGAAATGTAGAATTTTTTGCAAATGTATTAAAAAAGAAAAACTGAAATATCACATGGTCATAAGTATTCAGACCCTTTGCCGTGACACTCATATTTAACTCAGGTGCTGTCTATTTCTTCTGATCATCCTTGAGATGGTTCTACACCTTCATTTGAGTCCAGCGGTGTTTGATTATACTGATTGGACTTGATTAGGAAAGCCACACACCTGTCTATATAAGACCTTACAGCTCACAGTGCATGTCAGAGCAAATGAGAATCATGAGGTCAAAGGAACTGCCTGAAGAGCTCAGAGACAGAATTGTGGCAAGGCGCAAGGCACAGATCTGGCCAAGGTTACAAAAAAAATTTCTGCTGCACTTAAGGTTCCTAAGAGCACAGTGGCCTCCATAATCCTCAAATGGAAGACGTTTGGGATGACCAGAACCCTTCCTAGAGCTGGCCGTCCGGCCAAACTGAGCTATCGGGGGAGAAGAGCCTTGGTGAGAGAGGTAAAGAAGAACCCAAAGGTCACTGTGGCTGAGCTCCAGAGATGCAGTCGGGAGATGGGAGAAAGTTGTAGTAAGTCAACCATCACTGCAGCAATCCACCAGTCGGGGCTTTATGGCAGAGTGGCCCGACGGAAGCCTCTCCTCAGTGCAAGACACATGAAAGCCCGCATGGAGTTAGCTAAAAAACACCTGAAGGACTCCAAGATGGTGATAAATAAGATCCTCTGGTCTGATGAGACCAAGATAGAACTTTTTGGCCTTAATTCTAAGCGGTATGTGTGGAGAAAACCAGGCACTGCTCATCACCTGTCCAATACAGTCTCAACAGTGAAGCATGGTGGTGGCAGCATCATGCTGTGGGGGTGTTTTTCAGCTGCAGGGACAGGACGACTGGTTGCAATCGAGGGAAAGATGAATGCGGCCAAGTACAGGGATATCCTGGACGAAAACCTTTTCCAGAGTGCTCTGGACCTCAGACTGGGCCGAAGGTTTACCTTCCAACAAGACAATGACCCTAAGCACACCGCTAAAATAACGAAGGAGTGGCTTCACAACAACTCCGTGGCTGTTCTTGAATGGCCCAGCCAGAGCCCTGACTTAAACCCAATTGAGCATCTCTGGAGAGACCTGAAAATGGCTGTCCACCAACGTTTACCATCCAACCTGACAGAACTGGAGAGGATCTGCAAGGAGGAATGGCAGAGGATACCCAAATCCAGATGTGAAAAACTTGTTGCATCTTTCCCAACACGACTCATGGCTGTATTAGATCAAAAGGGTGCTTCTACTAAATACTGAGCAAAGGGTCTGAATACTTATGACCATGTGATATTTCAGTTTTTCTTTTTTAATAAATTTGCAAAAATTTCTACATTTCTGTTTTTTTCTGTCAAGATGGGGTGCTGAGTGTACATTACTGAGAAATAAAATGAACTTTTTTGATTTTTGGAAAATGGCTGCAATGAAACAAAGAGTGAAAAATTTAAAGGGGTCTGAATACTTTCCGTACCCACTGTATGTCATTTATTTGGTGAAGTCGAAGGTCCGAGGGAACACTTTCTATCAGGGATAACTACCTAGACACCACACCGGCTCTCTTTCCTCTCCTTTGAGCGTGGATCGTCTCATGATCCGCTGCTCTTTAATCCAAAACCCCGTCTTCCTTTTCCAAAGACTGTATTTCTGTCATATGTAATACCATAGACTGCATTAAAAAAATACATGTTTCGGCAACAAAACGGAAAAAGCTGATGAAAAACAAAAATGAAGAAGCTACCGGATGCTGCATCTACGTCCGCTGCCGGGTGCCATATCCGCTCGTCTGCCGCGTCTGCACAGCTGGAGGAGGGCTGGTGTTTAGATCACAGGCGCTGACATGTTGTAGATTTATTTGGGTTGGCTATTTTATGTGTTTAGATAATACATGTTCAGACGGCTGATACCAAAATTCATAGAATCTGTAACAAAATAGGGAAAGAAAACATAAACACATGTCGTCCCTGGGTGGGCTCGAACCACCAACCTTTCGGTTAACAGCCGAACGCGCTAACCGATTGCGCCACAGAGACAACTGTACATAAAATTTATACATAAACTTATAAAATATTTCAGTACAGTCCGACCCCCTGGCGATCATGTTACCTTCCGCTGCAGTAGCGCCCCCTTGTGGCAGCCACGATGCAAAAATTGCGTCATCTTAACTCGCATTTCCCTTTTCCACCGCTAGGTGGCTAATGAGTCCATCCATCGTTAACCTCTTATCCTGTGTACAGGGTCGCGGGGAGAGCCTATCCCAGCTGACATTGGGCGAAAGGCGGCGTACACCCTGGCCAGGTCGCCAGTCCATCGCAGGGCCACACATAGACAGACTTACACTCAAAGTCACACCTAAGGACAATTTAGAGACACCAATTAACCTAGCCTGCATGTCTTTGGATGGTGGGAGGAAGCCGGCGTACACAGAAAGGCCGGGGCAACCGGGGTTTGAACCCACGACCTTCTTGCTATGACAGTGCTAACGACCGCGCCGCCCTCGTGGCTAATGAGTGCGAAGCTATAAATGTGAAAATGTTATTTGAAAACGATAAAACCATTAAAGACATTAGACGATAGCAGCTAACAAGACGCGAGGAGACATTGGGCAGAGGCTCTAAATCGTTACGTGGAGCCTAACATTAAACAGTGTACTTTCTATGTCGGAAAACAAATGCTAAGGTAACCAACTGCATCATAAATTAAGTGCTGCTACAAGCAAACATGTTCAGTACTCAAGCTAGCTAGATTAGTGACAGTCAGTGTTGGGCAGAAACGTGTTACTGTAATATTACTTTTTCCAGTAACAAGTAGTGTAACTAATTACTTTTCTGAAACAGTAACATTATGACTAGTTACTAAGGCAAATAACGCTGCGTTAACTTACTCGTTACTGAACGCACCATCCTTGACGTGAATCGACGAACAGGTGTTCTGTCGATTTGTGCTACCTATCAAGATGTGCTACCTAGTGGTTCTGCGCATGCGTATGACCCACAAGCGTGGTTTGTTTCCACGCCCATAAATCTGTGCTACTTTGCAGTTGGGAATGCCGTCGAGAAAGTAGCTGATCGTCAGTAACATCCTGGTAACATAAAAAGAAAAATCATTATTAGTCTATCAGAATACACTACCCCTGATATCTTAAATAAAAATGGCATAATATAGCATTTCAACATGCTGATGGTGAAGGGGGATGGTAGTGAAAGCAGTATTTCCCATAATTTGGATTATTATCAACGCTGACCGCAACATATTGATTTTGTATTTTTTTTTACTAGGCGTTTTTAAAATACTATTTGACTGAGGAGCTGTATTGAGAAGCATATATTCGTGCAGCACCTTCTCGCACGATCCCTCTTTCTCTCTCTCCTGAACACTACTGCACAAACCTGTCCAAACTAGAATACCCCCCTCCCCCGCAGTCATTCTGTGGGAAACACCGGAAAGTAACTAGTAACGTAACGAGAAACGTAACTTGTTACTTTTATCACTCAATAATAAGTAAAGTAATAATATTAATTTTTTAAGGAGTAATAAGTAACTAGTAATATATTACAATTTTTGAGCAACTTGCCCAACACTGCCAGTTAATAAACACTACGTGGAGCTAGAAAATTGATCACGTGTTTCACTGGAAAAGGCGTTGCTTCACGCTTATTCACGTAACGTTAGTTAGTGTAATTTTAGTTACATTTCATCAGACAAATAGTACGTTTATGTAACCTACCTCTTAACGTTACCTAAATTGAGATTTATTATATTAATCTTATTATAATTAATAAGTTTAGTCTTACAACATATTTTTATTCTTTGGCGTTCTAGTCAGTCTAGAGACATTCATGCTTATCTGTCCCGATTGCTTCATATTTCCATCCATCCATCGTCAACCGCTTATCCTGCGTTCAGGGTCGCGGGGCTTCATATTTCTATTGTTTAATTATTGCTGTATGATTCTCTCTCCCCTTTTTAAAACCTCATTGGTCTGCTTTTGTCGTTGCATTACACTGTACATCACTTTATTCAACAGTGGTTGTTTATAAATGTGCTTTATAAATAAATTGACTTGACTTGACTTAATGACATATTTATATGTTACACACATCCATTACAGGTTACCACAAACGTTTCAGGATGGTACCCAGACTACATTTCATCCTAGTTCTAGCCACCAGATGTCACTGTGGTACCACAGTCCATGTGTGGTAAGAAGCTGTACAGCATCATTTCAGTATCTGAGTATTGCACTATTTCATGTAAATGCCCATTATAAAAACAGATCTATAACACATGCAAAATAGCCTTAACGTAAAACATCAACAATTACAATTCTAAAACAATGAACAAACTTATGAAACACAAAAGATTAAAGGTTTACCTTTTAGTTGTAAACTGACACAGACCCTGTCTAATGATGGATGTGAGGTTCATGATTTAAAAGAGGGGGTGACTTATGAGTATAATTCTACCGAATCAAAAACTATTTCAATGTCTTAAATCATCACATGAGACAAAGTAAAATTACGACTTTATTCCCTGCATTAAAATATCTACTGCATGTAACAACTTCATTATTTTACAATAAAAGACAACCACTTCTGTCTATACTTGGTGTCACATCAACTACCTAATATTTGTTTTGATATTGGGCTATTACAATCTGTTTTTTTTTGTTTTCAAACATACGCTTGGTGAATTCAATGACAAACAGTGTAAACAGTTTGCAGTGTTAACTGCAATGAATAAAAACATCAGGCAGGCATCAAACACCTTCATGATTCCCTGATTTTACTTCACACACACTACATCCCAATCCAGAGGCGATGAACTGAAAAACGTTTGCAGCGTCAATGTCACTGCCACTGCCAGGAATTATACAGTCGTGCGATTCTGCATTCTCAGCAGCCCCAGTGGCCTAATGGATAAGGCACTGGCCTCCTAAGCCAGGGATTGTGGGTTCGAGTCCCATCTGGGGTGTGTAGCAGAGTGGCGCAGCGGAAGCGTGCTGGGCCCATAACCCAGAGGTCGATAGATCGAAACTATCCTCTGCTATAACATTTTACAATGACTAATTAAACTCTCGCCACTTGTCTAAAAGTGAAGCACAGCATACAGGAACTGTAGTAAAGAGCATAATATCACTTGATTTGTAAACATTGGCTTGTTTTAGTTTTGACACAGAAAAACTGGGACTTTGTGTGACAAAATTCATCAAGACTTCACTGAGCTTTACGCATTCTGCCAGATACAGATGCCCTGTGGTTGGTCAAGTTATTTAGGACACAACTGTTGGTCAGTAAAGACAGTTTGGAGTTCATGGTGTCTTTACTTTTCTCCCAACTGTAATCTCCTCTTTCATCCACATTTTCCTCTCCTCCTTTGTCGTCCTCTTCCTCTTCAACCTCACTCTCTTCATCACTGCGTTCATCTTTTTCCAGCTGGAGACAGAAGCAGACACAGGGTTTAAACATGTATGACAAAGATGAGAAACTATTTTAATCTTGGACGTTGAAACACATTTAGGAATTGTCTTTCCATAAGAAAGCCACTATGCAAGGATTGTTAATGTTAGTTAGAGTTTATTTCAACTTTACAGCTGGTTCTCACCTTGCCTTTCAGGAATTTATAGACCATGCGTAGGATTAAACCAGCCCAGAAGATGTGAAGAGCCTGCAGCACCATCAGCAGGACGTTGAAAAAGTAGTAGCCGGCAAAAGGTTCAAACGCTTCCATGGACAGTACAAGGGTGGTATGGAGGATTCTGTAAATAATCAAATAATTTAAGCAATGTTGAAAAAAGTGTTTCTGACAATGGACTTATGAGTCTTCCATGCTACATTAAGTACAGTAGTTAAACATTTTATCCACAAAAAGAGTAGGAGTAAACCTCACTTGCTGGGGAAAATCACCAGTCGAGTCACAAGGAAGACCACAGCAAACACAACAAACAGTGTGTCACACGTTTTCCTCCATCCAGTGCCGTAGTTGAACATCTTGGCAGACTGCAAAAAGATCAAATGATTGAATTGTTCAAACAAATACAAACCATAATTGGAACTAAATGTGAAGCGACCTCGCCACAGTGAACAAAACATTAGTGAAACATTATGCAAAAAGAGTCAATGAGCCAAGATCAGGATAATATATAAACGTGTCTTCAACAAGGGAAAAGTAAACAAGAGCATTTGTGCTTGATGTCAGCTGATGAGCCCGTAACATGAGCAGACTTCCACACAGTGCAGGCCACGGCTATGTACTGTATATTTTAAATGTTCACATGTGTTTGCCGTTGTGTCCTTTCCTTTAGAATCCAGCACAACTTGGGTTTTATCGAATTTTTGTTTTCGTTTTCATTTTCGTTTTCATTTAAACAAAACTTACCTCTGGCTGCTGAAGTGCTTTAAGCTATCAGGACTCAGTCACAGGATCTGCCTGCTGAAATAAGTTAAGTATCCTGCAGGCTACTACGCAGATATCAGTCCAGATACTTGTTTTCTAAGAACAGCCTCAAGCACAGTGTGAAGCTTTGGCTGTTCACAAAGACAGTGTTTCTCACTTTGTTAGGGCTACACAGAGGCAGGAAAGTGACCAATGTGAAGGTGAATCAATCTTGATGTGCCCTGAAGAGATTCATTAAATGTGTAAGGTCCCATTTGGCGGTTTGACTACGGCCCTAGAGTCTGAATAGATGACATGGGACTCTTAATGTAAATATTGTTGTTGAGTCACCAAGGTTACGTTGAAAGCAGCATTGCCCAGGGATTTGCAAAAACAAGTCTAATTTATCCTTTTAGCACAGTGGGAGAGTTTGTGAGATTCAAAGTTACCTCGAGCAGGATGTCAGAGGAGTCATGAAGCAGCATGACCAAGGTGCCGACGCGAATGTAGTTGGCACAGTAGGAGAAACTGAGCAGGAAGATGGTAGCCAAATGGTGGATCACCTGCTCTTTAAAATCCTGGCAAACCAAACATATGTAGAATATCTGTCCTTTGTATGTCAAAAGATGAATTTAAAGTACTGCTCTTATAGTCACTTATTAACTATGTGTTAGTTGAAGTTCCTCATTAAAGCAGAAGTGCAAGCCATCAAATATAAAATATGACCAGGCTGAAGCAAATGTAAGACCTTGCATCAAAACAGCAAATGTGTTGTGTGCTATGAGGCAGATGAGAATCACGAATGAATAAATGTTGAGGTCCTCACCTTCCTCTTGATGTCCACAGAGATCCGGAGGAGCAAAGAGCCATAAAAGCCCAACTCTAACATGTAGTACCAGTAGTGAGCTCTCTCCATGGGCTGTGGACAAAACAGTACTCAAAAGTCAGTAGAAAGGGAATCAAAAACAACTGGACATTTACTGGTGGCACCAAAAGGAACTCTCTATGGAAGGATATCAGTTTCAAATATGAATATTTGCTGTTTTATGGAGTTTTCACTCATAGTAAACTGAATATCTTTGGGTTTTTATTTTTGATTGGACAAAACAAAACTTTTGAAGACTTTACCTTGGGCTTTGTGAAATTGTGATTGTCATTGTCCATCACTTTCTTAGGCTGCAGTGTAGGCTACATTTTAATTCACACACAGACTACCATCCCTTTCCATAGACAATGAAATCAAAAAGGACTGCAGTGTCAGCGTCACTCCCACTAAATGAATAATAGACAGTGGTGCGACACAGCATGGAGTAGCAGCCCCAGTGGCCTAATGGATAAGGCACTGGCCTCCTAAGCCAGGGATTGTGGGTTCAAGTCCCATCTGGGGTGTGTAGCAGAGTGGCACAGCGGAAGCGTGCTGGGCCCATAACCCAGAGGTCGATAGATCGAAACTATCCTCTGCTATGTTGGCTTTTCACAATGATTAAACTCATTGTGAAGGAAACATATTAGGCCATCACTGTGTGCTTGTTTTACGTTTCCTCCTTAAATCACATTGAATCTGTTTCTTTCAAACTGAGATTTCACTCAGACTAACCCTAAGAACAGATCACATTTAACAGATTCCGCTTAAAACAAGGATACATGTTATAATATAGGAGGTCAGACACTGGTTATCTGAAACAGTGAGAACTAATGTTTTCACCTGAACTGGATACTGCCTCCAACATGCCCTGCAGTCCCAGAACCACGGTCTCTGTAGGGAAAAGATAAATACTGTTTTAAGAATAAAGCCGCACCAGTAGAAATGCACAACATAATGAATTACATGAATTGTGATATTAATAAGCTTTGATTCGCTGACAAGTTGAATTTCTTAGCAAGAATAGTAGTGTTTTGTTACTATGATATTACTATAAAAAGGGTTTTAAACTCATACTTACATCAATCAAGCAAGTCAGTCCGGCCATGAAGGCTGTGAGGTAGAAAAAAAACCTCCAACTGTGAAATAAAAGACTTGACATCAGATATTTTGAACGCTTGAACAAAAGGTCCTTTATAATCACAAGGGTTTTTTGCGGTGGGTGGTGAAGTAAGTGTTCTTGAGGGAAGTCACCCGTAAATTGAACAATGAAAGGGTTTTGGAAAGAGAGCACTTACGCGGCTTCACCAAACTTCTTGGTTTGACAGGGTCTGTCTTGGTTCCTGCGAAGTCTGAACCAGGTCTCAATCTGCCTCTGGGTTTTGCCACACAGCGACATCAAACTAACAATTTCACTCTGAAACAACAATGGAAGGGAGAAATCGATGACCTGGAGAGGGATGGTGCTGCATTGATTGCAGATGGTTCGGTTTTTTGCAGTGTTTTTCAGGAACCAGGAAATGTTACCATCACCACACTCACATTCCTCTGCGTTTTTCACACACATCAAGAGGAAGCAAATGCTTAAAGTGAACATTTGAGAAATTTAAAAACCCATCATCTTGATCCTTTTTCAGTGTTCTTAGATTTTTAGACTAACTTGTGTTGGCTGTCTGCTCCTCTGGGTGTAAAACGACTCCAGCTTCGGGGACAGCGCAGCAGTCACTTGTAATCTATTCTTCACCCCCAAACATCTGGCCATGGGTGGGGCAAAAAACCTGAGGGCAATGAAAAACAAAGAACATCTTGATGATATAACATCCAGTGTGGGACAGTCAGGGTGCAAGCCTGCGGTTGTTTAGCCATACTTAGTGTACATATTAAGCCATTTAACAGTCAGTCCAAACTAACAAATAAACACTTTAGAAGGATAACTGAATGCTATAGTGTATATACATCGTATTTGTTACGGCAGGTAACAAAGCAGTGTGTGCCTATACATCCTCAATATATGTACGTATAGTATTACCACTATGCCTGACACATTTGTATTTAACCTCTTGATGCCTGAATTTATTTACAATAAAAAATAAATTAGGTATGATGCAAAGAAAGAAACTTAGTATTACAGCACAAGAAACATTCCCGAGAGGTGTGAAGAAGTGGAAACAGGATACATGTAAGAAAAAGTATACACAGTGTGCTAAAATGTACTGTATTTGCAAAACCAATAGTGCAGTTTTCTGATATTCCAGATCAGAGTGAAACAGTAAATTCAGTGTAATTGGAATAATATGAGCAGAACATATAAACATATACCTAATATAATAAATAAGAGATAAGATAATAAAGCAGCATTGTATTGGAATCATGTAATGACATAACAATGACATTTAAACTAGGTTTAAAGAGCCTTTTCATTTCACAAACTCTTCACTCCTGTGAATGTTACAACAGTGAACACACTGGAGATTTAATCAACCATCAAAATTCCTCTCTCTGTTTGTGTGTGTGTTTAAAAAGTGCCTACGAGAAGGCTTGTTTGTACTCATAACAAGCCCACTGCAACGGTCACTTGGTCTTTACTACCTACAGTTTCTCTTACACATTTTTGCAAGTCAGGCATGTGTTTCCTTAGGTTTTGTAAATTAAGTTCAAACTGAAAATCATCATCTGATGAAAAAGCCTTCCAAGCAAACTGAATTTGGTCTAATTTAAAATAACTAAAAGACTGTGGGGACTGGACTCTTTGTATCACAGTTCTCTGTGTTTTATATCAAACTCACTCTCCCATACACATCACTGTGTACTTTATGATCTATGGTGACAGCAGCATTGATATATTTTTATTTACAAAGCTAAACTGTCCCTCACCACAGCTATTATGATTTTTGCCCCACTAGAAAGAGTGGGATTGATTTTCCTAAACTTGTATCTGTTGTCCCTTGTCTGTTTTCAACATGCTCTATTTTATTATTTGTAACCTTATAATGGCATGCTATCTTGTTCTCTCTCCTTTTAATGTCAAGGGACTTCCTGGTTAAATAAAGAATAAAAAAGAAAAAACTGCAATCCTCTATTTAGGCAAGACCATTTCTATTTCTCTCCCCCTCTCTCAACATCAAAAAATACTGGCTTTTTCAATTGTGATAAAAATAAAAAAAACTTAAGATGATTGTGTTCCTTGAAGGAGGAATGTAGGTAGCCTATCATTTCAGGTCAGGCTGTAGGCTATAAGTGTTTCATTGTCAAAGCAACACACCAATGCAGAGACAACAATGGCCCTTCCTCTAAAGCCTACAAAAACAACCCATCACCCTGATCTTCACAGAACAAAGAGAGCTGTTGTGTTTTACCTCTCAAACACGTAGCGCAGGGCGACAAAGCCCAACGCGAGGGGCAGAGCTATGAGAAGGTCCTGGGGCTGAGGTCGATCAGAGTCCGCCAGCTGGTCCATGTCTCTCCAGGTCACACCTGGAGGGAGCCAGTACTCCTGCCGCCAAACGTCAGGCAGTGTTTCCATTCTGCTGCGGATGGACAGGCAGTGGCGAAGAAGAAAAAAACACGGTGAAGATGGCACAGCCCAAGTGAATCTCTTGTTTGTTTGTGTCTTTGTGTGTTAGCAGGCCACAGTAGGCAGGACGGCACGTGAGAGCGAGAGATGAAAAGAGAAGGCTACGACACAGATTATGAACAATAGTGTAACAGGCTATCTGCCACATCTGATCTTGGGCTCAACAACAAAAATGGCATCAAATGATGCATTACCAAGTTACAGTAAAGCTATAAACAATATATTAAGTTTAACATCCTTTAGGGATGTTAAACTTAGCCAACAAACAAATGTCATAAAAAAACATATAAGTTGTTTACAAAGCTAGGAAACAACAAATGCCCTTCAATAAAAGTAGGCCGACACAAATACCAGAATAAAATAAATTCCACAAACATGCAGGTCTATATGGGGAACATATAACTGTTAGGCTATACTATATCTTATCTAAGTTGACACTGAAAAACAAACAGCGCAGCTAGAAATAGGCTTTTCAGAATGTAACACACCAAGCTGTGGTCAAACTGTTGAAAGAAATGCACGTAGAACAGAAGCTCACCTGGTGGCAGCTCTGTGGAAATGATGAACTGACCAATCCCAGAAGGATAAAATCCACCTTAAACTGCTAATTTGTTTCAGCCTTTTCTTTGACTGGTGATGCCCCTGCGTACTGCTCAACCCTCAAGCCAGAAAATAAGCGAATCGTTCACTGGACACACTTCAGGTGTCAAGTTAGCCGGGACAAAGAGAGGCTGCGGCTGCTAATTTCAGAATAATAGCCTTTTTGAGAGACCGTTGCAAGTTGTGGCCTAATTGAGTTTGCAAAGAAACCTGTCTGTATTTCTTTTCTAAAAGCACTTTTCCCGAAGACGCAAAACACAAACAATCAAGTGCAAATAACTTATGGGCAATCACTTTAATTGTTATTAACTCATGTTGCTCCACAATTCTGTACAGAATCCACAACAATTATTGCTGAAGGTTAACGTAGGTGTACCTTTATTCTGAAGGCTTCCGGTATTCTCTGTGTTTTTCTAACTAATCTAAGGATGTAACTTGATGGTTGAGCCGTGCGGCTAATGAAACACCTGGGGCGTCTCTTGCTCAAAGCGACGGTCCATAACCCATTAACTCAGCATGGGTAACAAAGGAAACACTGGGCGTTAGTCTGCTGTTATACAGTTTACAATCTGAAGAGGTTTAGGCTTGAAATTGGCGTTTAATTAGCGCTGTAACATACTGTAAACATGCATGTGTAGATTTAATGATAGTGTAGGCTTACCCACTAAGGAGTTATGCCACTATAGCCTGCTGTGACCATAGACTGTATATAAAGGCTGTGACCAGGAGAAAAGTGTCTAATGCAAGTTACGGTTAGAAAACTAGATGTTGCTGCATTGTAACTGACACCCTTCTCCAGTTAAGCTTTTAGCGTTAACCTGTAATTTCTACTTGTGGTCACATTGGCAGCTTGTCAGCAAAATGGCCGTAGTCTTTAAACTTAAGTTCACATGATGTGCAGTAACCTATATATTATATTATTATTAGAGAAATGCTTGATTAAACCTACTGCCTCAGTTTGTGTCTCGTGTTATTGCACTCAAAAGATTATGCATGAGTAGCACAGCCACCCTGATAGATAAACCATTATATCTCATTACATTTCTTTAAATTTGACCAGACACTGTACCTACTAACTTGTAGCAAACATAAAATGACTTGAGACATCTTTGAGAGGAAATGCCAAGTGTACCTAATTGCATTTCCTCATAGTCCATTTTAGGTTATAGTCCACTCATGACAGACATTTCCTGGGTTACCACTCTCTAGGAAAGCCTCTGATGACACCCACAGCAACAAACCCGGACACTACCAGGACATCATAATCAGAAGGTAAACACAACTGTCATCCCAGTATGTGCACGGCCCGACACTCAAGTTCACAAACTTTACATTGAGGAAATGTGTGGGCTCAGTGTTTGACTGCTGTATCACAAATTCTAATGACACACACCACCTTAAAACACACACACACACACACACACACACACACACACACACACACACACAAATACACAGGCACACGCTTCTTCCAAACACATGCCAACACACACAGACACACACTCCAGTCCTCCTCACGCCATCATCCACTTAAATGGTATTGTCATGAAGCAGGTCGTCTGCTGCTGATTAACTTTTTTGTCATGCACATCAGTCCGGATCACAACTGTGTTATGTGACAAGTATAGATGTATTTTTCAGTCATGTACATGTAAAGTGTGTGAAAATGGACTTTGTGTGCACTGGGAGAGAGAGTTTCATGTGTATTTTACCATAGACAAACACAATTTGCATGTGTGTGTGGGCTGTGCTTAAATTGTGTTTGAATGCGCGCGTGTGTGTGTGTGTGTGTGTGTGTGTGTGTGTGTGTGTGTATTGTAAATCCAAGTGTGTTTCTGTGCATTTCTGTGGGATGGAGTCACATTACAAGAAAAATAGCATATACACACTCAGGAAGGTATTTGCATATTGTATACACCTGCCTGGTGAGACACAGATGTCTTCTGCAAATACAGGAGAGTGAGAGTAAATCAAAGTAACAGACTTTTTACTCTATGTATTTTACTGTACTTTATTAAGGTACAGGTTTTCTTAATGTCTTTTTAAATAAGAAAGTAAAATGTGTATATTTCTGTTGTTGATTATTGCTATGCAACACACTTCTAATAATTAAAGTAAAATTTAACAGTAACATTTATGCACGCCCTCAACAACAGTAATATTGTGACATGTTGGAAAAGTTACATAATAGAACAATTTCTGCAATGCATGTCAGGTCTGAGGTCATGTCTTTCTGTAATACAGCCTTATTTTCATATCTGCATGCATGCACGTGTGTGTGTGTGTGTGTGTGTACAGTATGTGAGAGGTTGATGGGAACTGAATGCCTTTGTTGTTTTATCAAGGAAGTAAATTGTCAGAACCCACTGAAGCAAAATCTGTCCTGTTAATTGCTGGACTAATGAGGTGGGGGTGTTACATCGTGCTTCCAATGATCTGTTGGAGCTTGTTGAACTGTAAACTGTAGAAGGAGTTTTTTTATTATTAACAAAATACTGTTTGTGCTAGGTTTTTGACCACAGATAACTTGCCCTGACTAATTTCCTCACTTATACCCTTTTTACTGACAACATTAACATTATAATTAAGTTCTGTTCTATGTAGAAATACAAATAAATAATTAGCTATTTGAAATATGTTGATTAATACAGTATTGAAAGCTTGTCGCAGTTCAGGCAGATTGAAATGCTATAACTGAGGTTAACACTCAGAACAGAACAGAACAGAGCATGCTAACATGCTGAAGCTTAGCAGGTTTAATGTTTACTATGTACACCATCTTAGCGTGTTAGCATGTTACATTAGCTAATTAGCGCTGAACTGGTACAGTACACCTGAGGCGGATGAGAATGTCATTAGTTTTGCAGGTATTTGATTATAAACCAGAGTGTTGGACCCATGAAAATTATGACCTGATGATGGCGCTAGATAAAAAGTCACCAAATTTATTACAATTCATCCTGAAGGGGGCACATGAGTGTCTGAACCAAATGTATCCATCCCTACAATAGCTGTTGAGACATTTCACTCAGAACCACAGATGTCAGCCATTCCATTAGCATTTTTTATAAGTAATAAACTTTGAGCTAGCTAATACTAGATAATATCAGAGCAACGCTCCGATGAAAGTGCTGTGGAAATGGATTCTGTATATATAGTTAATCATTTATCCAGCATAATGAGTTTTGAGTTAAGGATTACTTATTACATAGGATGTGTAGGAACCCATTTGAGCACTGATTGATCCCCACGGTGATCAGTGGACTCACACTTGTAGTTCTCCAGAGTCACAGCGAACCAGATGGCTAAGTTCCTGAGTGGAAGTGCTCACAAACTGAAGAAAAGGTCAGGGCGATCAACCAGGGAGGACAAAGATGAAAAGGGAAATCAGTTTTGAATGATTAATGAGTCCCATGTCATTCTTACCTAAATGGCTTTAAATATTCCAAACTCTTGTTTAGTACCTTTTCTCTTCTTAGTGTGATGACCGTTGAAAACGCCTTCTAATGATAGAGAAGTTGGCTTTTATGTATGTATATTTCTCTTGTTCAATCAAGCAGAGTACTGTGATGAGGCTCTATGGTGGATTTAAGTCACTCAGCGTAGGGATATTTCATCCTGGGGGCGGAGGTAGTGGAGGGTGGGCTGACTCTGTGAGGGTCTCTTGTAAATGAACTGACTGTGTCTCTTTACAAGTCTCCAATTGATTATTGGATTGATTTCATTTGCTCTAAATCTTGCTAATATTGATTTTAAGGCAGCAGTGAGGACGGCCTTTTCTCAGTTAAAAGTTTCTGTGTGCTGCATTTGCGTGTGTACTGAATGTCTGTAAAGTAATGAAACTTTCTAAAATCAAGATGGAAGCTTTTATTTCTTAAAAAAAACTGAATGCCACATTAGGAAAATATCTAATTTTAATAAGCAAGAGTCTACATCCAGGAAGTTGGACCATAAACAACAGTTTGGTAATAATAAACAGTCTTTTGTTCATCATTAAGGAAACAAATCAACTTTTTCACAAATCAGTAAAATATCATACCTAATGTTTGTTATAAAGAGCTGTTCATAGCCACATTTCAAAGGACAGTATAATAAGGGCAGAACCAATATTACAAAACAAGTGGCTAAAGGAGCAGTAACATCTATAGTATGAAATAGATATTAGCTTTTTTCACATTCCTACAGGCACTGTTGAACAGATTTGGCTGGTGCACTGGACAGGACCTAAAGGCAAAAAGGATTAGGCTGAGGAAATTGGTGTACATGCATTTCATAATCATAACTTTATATGACACATATTCAGTCAGCGCTGTGAACCTCCGCACTAATACTCATAAGCCTCTTAAAGGGACGGCGACATGGAATTGCAAAAACCCAAATAAAATGTGTTATGCATTATAAACTTTACGGGATAAATTTGAAATTTAGGACACAGTGAATTTTGAAGAAAATAGAGTAATACAAAACACAAAGTGATTCCCTCAAATTATAGAGGCTTTGGTTAATTAAAAATAATCTTACCTGAGGATCACCTTAGGGGTGGTACAAATGCCTCGCATGGTTCACATTAAAAATAAATAAAAATAGGTTTCCAGTTCCAGAGATACAATGACATCTTCTAAATGTTTAAAAAGCTCAGATGCAAAAGGAAAACTGACATTTTTACATTTTTAACAGTAAATCAACATAAAAAGTTGGCAGTCTTGTCTCTAAATCTGTAGTAACAGCACGTATTAGTTCTGTCTAAATTACTTCCATGTCTGCCCTAAACTCAATTAATTTTCTCTTTTATTCAATCAGGACTTCTCTTGCAGCTGCTCTCTTCAGCCCTGGGATTTGTAAAAACATTATAGAATTACAAAACGGCATGATAAACGTAATGCTGCGATAGTGATCACTGTCTTCCTGCAGTGTTTGTCACTCTAAAAGCTGCAGCGTAACATTGTACACAGCATAAGTCTCCAATAATACTGATTACTGTTAATTAAAAATGGATGCAAGACTTCTGGTGTGTCTGCTCATTTTCTCTCTGCCCTGCTGCGTTTAATCCTTATACAGGTACTGTTTAATGGTTTTTAAGCTGTTATCTTGACAGCTTGGATTACCCCAACAAAACAACATACTGCAGTTTCTTTAATTTTCAGGAGCTGCAACTTTGGAAATATAAGCTTCAAGCAGGGCATGCAACAAACAGCACCAATCAGCACCAATCACCTCAAAAGAACTTTTACACATCCATCTCCTTGTCCTCCAATCATCCTCGTCTTTACACCAATGCATAATCAAACTGCCCTCTGTCCAGCCCCTCCTTATGGTCCGTCCATGATGATGCCGGCATGCTGCTGTAGGGATCTAACAAGATACGGATGCAGCGAACAACGAGAAAGAGCAGCAGCAGTACCAGGAGGCCAACGAAACACAGGGCCGTTCCATGCTCGGGTTGCCCTGCCATGGGCTGCAGCACCGCTGGGCCCCTGGGGAACCCGGGCGGAGCAGGGGAGGAGAGCTCATAGTCCACAACCCAGTAGTTGGAGTCACTCATCTTGGAAGTGAGGGAATGTGAAGGTTGAAATCGTTGACTTTTGAAGTTGTATTTTGCAGTCAGAAGCTCTGAGGAATGGCATGGCACTGCAGGGTCATGTTTGTTATTGGGTGTGACGTCTAAAGCCAGACGGAGATCACATAGTGAAATCTTGGAGATGTCAACAGATTGAACTGAACCCCAGTGTTTCCCGCAAGCAGGGCAAAGATATGTGTTAGTTCCAGCAGAAATAAGGGGCAAATCAGCAGTGCTAATTAATAAGCCCTCTGGTGAAGTGAGCAGCAAGCTGAGGCATGCTCAGTGAGGTTTAATTAGACTGATTGGTGTCCACGTGTCCCGCTCTTGTTCTCCTGCAAAGGCTCAGTTGCTCTAAAGAGAAGCTCAAAACACAAAAGCTGAGGTGAGTTTGTCAATATTTTAAGTGTCATCCAATTGCAACCTTGAAGGGGTATTTATTGTGATTAAAAAGTGAAGTATAAATCTCAGTTGAGTGGCTGAAGATGTTCCATAGATCAGTCAAAGTGCAGGATGTAAATGATCCGTGTCGTGGTGGTTCAGAGAACGTTTTTGTATTGAATCACTTGAATGGTTTGGCCGTCATGCAGTGAGTTGTTCATTTACTCAAAGAGCTTCTGTTTTATTATATTTTCAGCTTTATCCGGAGTCACCAGGAACCTCTTCATAAGATACCTAAGAGAAAAAACAGTAAAGATAAGAACATGAGTAAGTGAGTTTCCAGCATGCAGAGGTTCTGAATGGAGGGAGAAGCTGGATTAATTCAGGGGGTTCAGAGCTCAACAGGGGCCTTGGAACATGTCAAAGATCATAGTTTTTAACTGTTTCAGAGCCCCAAGTGAGGTGGGGCTGCCAGCACATGTTGTAAGTGAAAAACAAAGTCTCACTTTAAAACCTTGCCTATCTTTTAATCTTTCTTGTGAGAAAAATAGCTGAAACAAGGCAAAAGCACTACCCTTCTCCCCCAAACTCAGGTACAGCATAGTATAAGATAAATAAATCAGACACTCATGAGAGAAGAGATAAAATGTGGAGAAATCCCTCAGAGAGTTGCTGCACTCTTGCACAGAAACACTCTCCATAACCCCTTTAATGGGCTGTGGAGTGGAGAGACATTTCCTGTGGTAGGTCGCACTCCTCAGTCAGCAGATTCTATTCCAGGAGGCTTGGTCTCCACCCCTTACCAACCCGTCGATCCTTGCAAAGACACATTGATAGCTGCCCTGCTCTCCGAATGATGGGACTAAAGGGCCAAGCAAAGCCTTAATAGGAGACATGAAGACATAATGAAAGAAACTGCCTGCCTCAGAATCAATTATCAAATGGCCTGCGGTTACATCAAGCCGGACAGCTTAGGTAGCTGCATGTATAGAAGGAAGCTAAATTAAGACTCAATAGTCAATGGAGAGCCATAAAGTAAGCATGAAGTTTACACAACAGGACAACACATTAGTCAGCGTCAGTAAGTGCAAGCCACTTATAACAAGGCTGCTAATGAAGACTTCATAACCTTGCTTTTCCTGCACAGATGATTTTCTGTAGTTTTAGGACATGAAGACATGAAACAAAACAATACAAGACTGGAGATTTGTTTTCTCTTAAATCCTTTTGAGGTGCTTTATCCCATGACACACCTTCCTCACAAGTGTTGTGGACCCCAGTTTGGAAGTACAATGTCAACAATTGTCACAGAATCACAGTTTTACATTTAAAGCAGCAATAAAATAGGGTTAAAAAAAACTTTACAAAAGCTTGCCAATGATTTCTGACGACAGGAGGACATGCAGTGACATATGGCATCCCTCATGGCTCTAATACCTGTAATACCTCCCTTTTATACCTGTGGATTATGACAGCAGCTTTGAAAATGTCAAGGACTTCTTCAAATAAAAAGAGTGAAATGATGTTGTCTAACACAAACCCTGAATGCAGGACTGCCAGGTTAAACAAAGCCAAGTAGCTCTGTCATGTAACTATTCTGATTGTATGCCATCTATAAATGTTAGATGAATAGCCTCATGTAGCATTTTAACATGGTTGCCTCTGCCTTTCTTTGTCCCAACTGGGAGTGGTCTCTGATTAGCCTACATCCTCAAAAGACTTTCTGTAGTTTGATGTTTATTCTTCTGGTAAAAAAGCAACATTTCTTGAAGAGAGAAATAAGTGAAATTAGTTTAAAGACATAGAAAGACAGGTAATTTAAAATTGTCTAAATGCTCTTAAAATAAATTAGAGAGAAGCAGATTATTTTATTTAACCATCACTTTTTAAAACGTAAACTAATCCACTATATTGTGATTTAAGTGACAGCCTTGGGTGAATCTGCATTTCTATTGTGAAGGTTTGGTCCAAGAACGTAGAATAAAGTTGCCCTGATACCTTATTTGAAATCAGTATGTGATAGAAAAAACAATCCTGTGGGTAAACTTTTAACATTAATATTGCTTTATGATGATGCTGTTTCCACTGTATGACATGTTAGCAGGACAGGTGGATCACATAAATAAGGGACACATTCAAAATGTTTCTTTCTTTTAAAACATCACCTTGTTATACATTTTTCACAGAATAGTTATCCCAATGTAATGTGACATGAAGTTACACAACAGGACAAAGTTACAGTCTGCATAGGAGACCTTGCAAACACGTGATTCATGAAGTGATTCATAAAATACCCTATGACCGGCAAGACACTCACAGCTCCACACTGACCCCTGCATACTAAAGTTCACTTTTAACAAACACATAATTTCAGTGACAAACAGGAGGATCAGATTAGAGAACTTACTTTCCGGCTGATATCACAGGTGAAGACGTGATCAGAAACACTGCGTGAGGATGCAGCAGCAACACCGTGGACGGGGTGAATGTCACATCCTACAGCAGCTTCTCTGCTTTGTCGAGAGCTTTAAAGCCCGCTCAGTTTGAGGGATCCGCCCTACCGCCCTCCCTCCCTGCCTGCCCACTTATGACAGTCCCTGCACACATAATCTTTTCGTTTGGATGAGTAAAGCGCCGATAGCCGCGTGTCTTCTGCATTATATAAGAGAAGCGCGTCGGGCGCGGACACTGAGGGGCCACTGCAGCCATGCAGCCAATTGGAAGTATAAAGTCGTATTATTTTATTTGTACGGAGGTTGAGAGGCTTGGGCAAAGACATAATGGCAATGAGTTTTGTTTTGTTTTTGTTTTCGAGGTTTGTTTACGAGTTTTCGATCAGTTTTGTTGTTGTTTACTCCAAAATAACCCCTCTCCTATTTTCTTAGATAATGATTCCGTATTAATAAAAATTAACTTTTGCACTTTGACACATGGAGGCCTACGGGTTGACAGGTGAGGAGGCATGAACAGTTGAAAAATGTCCATATATTAAGGCTGATTCCAGTATTTCTGGACCCATATAATTCTCCACCAGAAGGTTAGTCCTGGAAGTGTGGAGGTGGCTTTGAAACAGCATGATCAATTAAACGTAGCTTTATTTTAAGGGTCCATAATTTCCTAGAAAGTGAAAAAACTATGTAATCTGGTATTAATAATAGGGTTATAGATAGAAACAACGTTCTGAAACATTATAGTAGATGTGTTTTTTTAGGAATTTCCTAAAAAGTATAATTGCTCCAATTAAATAAACTTGACGAAAATATAATTACACTATCAAACTATGAAAAGTACACAGTAGGCTGTATTCTTGGTGCCTTTAGGGTTGGGGGGACATTGAATCATGACCTCAGTATTTTAATCAGACCCCTCGCCACTCTCCAGTTTTGTTGAGTGGGTTGTAGTATTTTTTTATACAAATCAATTTAGTAATAATGTAAACAGAACAGATTAGAATCTGAAGGTTAAACTAAATGAGATCCGAACGATACACTCCGCAAAATTATCAGGTAATAATGCATGTAACACCTTTAACCTTTTCAAAGCCCTTCAATTTCAGTTTATATTGATTCCCCTCAACTGGTTTGTTTAGGAGGCCCCACAAGTCAAGGGCCGCTTTGCCCTGTTGCTAATCTGCACTTCCCAAATGAATAATGTTGTGATTTGTTTGCAAAAAGTAGGCAAAATCTATTAAGAGTTTCTCATTGATAACAAAATAATAAAGCGTGGGCTACTTTACTAAGGAAGTCCCATAGATTGCATGTGGTTGGAATTACTATTACACTTGGGTGGGTTGTTTAAATTTATTTTGTTACATATCAGACTGCATTGCAAGTTTTGCTGAACTACAAGAAATTACATGATCAAGATGTGGAAAATAACAAATGGAGCAACCTGATAGCACCTGTTGCTAAGCTCCAGATGCTCACTGTGAGAAGTAATTAATTGACACAATTAAAACGGTACAAACACTAGGACAGACTGCAGTACTTACACATCGCCCCTCCCGAGACCGCATGGATCTCCCTGTAGGTTTAATTAATAGTCAGTGGACTGTAATACTGTCCTGAAGGGGCGCATAATGAAATCACACTAAGCAATGCTCCAGCAGGTCACCCAGTGGGGTCTCCACCCTGCAAGGTTAAGAAATCCAACATTTCCTATCCTTATTGTTACAGATGGCACATCGGGAGGTCAAGCTGTGACTCAGGTATCTGGACCCCATGACAGCAGGTGTCATTTTAGGCTGCAGCCACATCTCACCTCCTTCACCAGGACTGGCAGACACCTAACCATGGTCCAAACCCTAAACTTGATCTTTTGTAAGATTATTATAAATTATTATATATCTTTTGCTATTATTTAGTCACAATCATAGCGCCACCTACTGGCAACAGGAAATGTTTCTATACTTTGATGAACTTCTCTTAGCTAAATCAAAACATAGTTGGTACAACTCCTTGGGGATTACAGGGCTTGGTAATAAATGATAAGTGAATTAATCTCTTGTGATAACTGTACCAAGTTCAGTCTCTTTTGTTTGAGGAGTTCCCCAGGAATTTTTGTCAACATGAAACAAGATAGAGGGAAAGAAGTCAGTGCCTTAGTAAATGTAAATGCTCCATATTTGTATAGCGCCTTTCTAGTCTTTTCGACCACTCAAAGCGCTTTTAAATTACATCACATTCACCATGCACACCCATTCATTCACTGAGCCTAAGTGGTCAAACAGAAACTAACGTTCACACATATTCATATATAGGCCTAACTAACATTCACCAGAGGCAATATCTTGCCCAGGGACACTTCGACACGCACCCTGGAGGAGCCAGGGATTGAATTGATCCGATTAACTGGCAACCCGCTCAAACTCCTGAGCCACAGTCGCTCATATAGTGAAACAATATTTTTTTTTAGAATTTAAATCAGTTTATCCATTGTGATCAATCATTACATAACAGTTTTTATAAAGCACAGAAATATCATGCATCAGCTTTTCCTGCTCCAAAAATGTTTAGCAATTATCGTTAAACAGATGACATTTATATTTAAGGGAATAGTTTGATATTTTGGGAAACACACTTTCGCTTTCTTGCAGAGAGAAGATAGCACTTGTTCAGCTGTCCACTAAATATGTAGCTGGAGCCAGCAGCTGGTTATCTCAGCTTTGCATAAAGACTGGAATCAGGCGAAGACTGCTGGCCTGACTGTCCAAAGGTGTTTGTTTAAAAGACAAAGACCCCGGTGTAAAAACATCAAGTTATACAGTGGTTAATTGTCATGGAAATTATATTCTTGGTGTGGGGTTGAGCAAAGAATTGAGTTACAACAAGCCGTTGTCTTTGAAGAATTTATTTAACAAAAGACAATAAACAGAGAAGTACTTAAACACATATACAGCTGGTCCAAAGTCCTGCCTCCTATGGTGGCATCAGGCGTCTGGCCCCGGGCAAAGGGATGCATCATCATTTACACAGTCTAGGTTTCTATGTTTTGAACAGAGATCCTCTCTCAGCCTTGAATGAACATTCCAGGAGAGGAGAGGAACAACAAGAGAAGGAAACACCAAAAAAATCTCATAGCTCTGACCTAAACCCTAGTAAATGTGGACAGACTAACATAAGGAGAGGAAAGGTTAAGAATAAAAAACACAATACACTTATATCTACTGTATAAGCCATAACAAGAATAGTAATAAAAATAAAAATATTAAAAAATCATACCTAAAAGATTAAATGTGAGAGGACACAATTTTCTGCCATAACATTAATGTGTTGGACTATTTCATGGCTGGGTGCACTTTCTGCGGTTTTCCTAGCAACCTCACAGTGATGAATACGCATGCTAAAATGCCAAATTATTCCTTTAAGAGAATACTGTACAAACACACCTGATATATTACATCAATATGTTTCACAAGCACGATTTTGATAGTGGGACCAATCATATATTTCCAAGCAATCATTGCCCTAAGTTGCATGATTTCGTGCATAGTTAAAAAAATAAAGTCTCAGGCACTCAGTCCTTTTTTACACTCAAGAGCGACTCCTTTAAATGTTGTTTATTATGCAAACCAAAACAACCACAAAGGTAAATGAAAGTATCAAAATAAGCAATATGAGTTTCATGACCTTTAAATACTGACTAATCTCTGCTTACATAATAGCCTGACATTGCTGCATACACTACACTGAAAGCCTTTTCATAATGTAGGCTAGAGAGCAGCTTGATGTATACAGAACAGCGTAGTGTGCAACTAAGAACATACTGTAATAGCTAAAGAAGTAGATAAAAGAAAGCACTGCACTGCCTCCGAGGCTTTCTCTACTCCCAGGCTGTTGTGTTGGTGGATCCAACCCCATTCATTGAGATACAATAAGAGTGTTCATTGCTCCGGGGACAAAACATGGACGTTTTCCAGAAGGATGCTCTTACTGTATCCTGTGGTTTTACTGTTAACTTGTGCTACACATTAAAAGAAAATAAACTGTATGTGAAAATGTGCTGGAGAAACCTGATAATGACACTATTAATTGGCAAGGATTAACTTTTATTTTGCTTTAAGAGCTTATGTTTGTTCACACAGAGACAGTAACTCTCAGTAGGTTTCAATCGCAGTCAAGAGAAGTGAGTGGACTTTGGAGGACTGGGTTGGTTAGTAGGGCTTCCCTAGTTGTTCATCACAACAGACAGCCGTGGGATGAGGTCCCCTAAATATTGACTCTGTATGTGAATCTACAGGCATGCATTATTTAAAGCCTGATATATCATCCCTATACTACCAAATCCATCGGTTTATAAACCAGTGTCAATGGCCAGATCCATGGACATCTATCAAAGCATGTCAGTTTTGAAATGAGAAAACAAATTGCACACACACACAACATGCAGAGTTTTAATCTCACTTGTGAGAACAAACACACACAAAGCATACAAAGCTGCTGACTCCGAGAAAGCTTGGACGAAGCAAATCATAACACACTGTTTATTCTGCAGACAGACGTATTACTGGATAAAAACAGAAAAACTCATGAATAGATTTTGTTTGGTCAACTCAAAAATGAAATAATTATGAATATAAAGTTGAAGTATGGAGTATGGAGTTTCTCAAAATCATGGCAAAAAAATCATTTTTCTCAGGCAAATCTTGTCATTGCATAAACTATTGTTAACACTATCTATTTTTTAGACACACTAACAAGTTAGGAAGCAGAGGGCGGAGTCTGTTGTCATGTGTAAACCAAACTACTCAAATATAAAGAGCTGTTAGAATTTATTTTCAATCAGAATAAATTTAATCTTAAATGGCTGGAGCATATTTGTGCCCTGACTTAATATAGACTAATACAAGACTAAAACCATCCCGCTAGTGGCCTCTCAAGGTTGTAACGATCATTACAGCCCAGAATGTGAAAGTGTTGTATAGAACAAACATAGTGGTGATTTGTCGAGCCTTAGGAGTAGTGGAGCAAGAATAAAGTTTCTCCTTAGGGTGAGGCTAGAAGAAAGGTTATATGGTCATAAATATAAAAGATTTGTCCCCTTAGACATCTGTGCAAACCTTAATTTTTAGTGGTGAAAAACAGTATTTTGTGTGCCAACATGACATTTTGGCTGATAGAGGCTCTAGAGGAAAGTTCATGAACAAAATAATACTTGAGCACGGTGCGACCATCAGGGGTGGTCATGAATTCGAGTAAGTAACACCATCTCGCTTGCTTTGGCCTTCAGGAGCTCAGTTTCTCTTCAAAACTTGTGAACGCTTTGTGTGAAGGAAAGACAATTGCAGTACAATCATAATGTGTTCAATCTTCGGTGATATGTGAGAAGAGACAGAGTCACAGTATCAATGTCAAAATCAGTCAACACAACAATACAGTAATGTACTTCAAGTTTTCATCCTCATCTCTAACCCTTGTAGAGTCACATACATAAAAGCAAACCAAATATTTTAATACAACAAAAAGCTGAAAAGTCTGCAACATGAGACGGCAAATGATCCTCAAACAATAAAGCTGCCATGATGACATGTTTGAATGTGGTCTCGCCCAAGCTTACAAAGAAGCAGTATTTGACATTTAATATACTTACAAAGCGTTAAGAGACGTAGATACAATACATTTCTACTTATTGAGGATGTACAGAATATACAGGGACCGGGAGCCCAATGCACTGCTGCATTTCAAAACAAACTGCAAATACAAACAAGGATTTTCTCTCCAGTTGTGTGTGATTTGTCAGGTTATAGTGCATCTGGCGTGCTGAGCTACAGTACATATGACAGGATGGACCCTAACTACACAGATCATCACATCCTATAATGTATGGTTTTATCTTCATCTTACTTGTTGTACATGTATTTAAGTTCTATAATTTTTCTGTCGCAAAAGCCAGCAGGAACCAAGCAGAAACCACCACAGCTGAATTTTGAAGCCAGTGCTAGAATTCTTTAATGTGCATTTCTTTTAATGGTCAATGTTAATTTGGCATAGAAAACTTCAACCAATTTCTCTCTTAAAAGATGTAAGACAGTGTCTCAGTGGTTAATTTCAGCATCTCTTATCTGTGTTTTTAACTGACTAGTGTTGTACTCGATTTAGTATTACACTTCTATAAAGTTTGTCGACTCACAGTTTAAAACGCATGGTTGATTTTGAAGCAGCAGATGTTTAGATATTATGACTTTTATTTTACTTTTAGTATGAGTCAATCTCTAAAAGAATGCAACTCAATGGCATCTAATGTTAGACCTTTCCTTCCAGGTGGACGCTGATTTCGTTGCGAAGTTCGTACCACAAGTTTTCTGATAAAAGTCTTAAACCCCAATCTGAGGTAACTCTGTTGAAATAATCTGGCATATTTGTATGCAAATTTTCACAGGCAGAGTGGACTCCTTGTAAACTATAAACTGATCTTCAAGTGTAAAATTGTTGAAGTGCCCCTTTAACTTGGGGCATGGGACCTGTTTGCCTTGATTTACAAGGTATCTCATGCTGTACCGCTCAGCTATGTTAGTTGCTGCAACAAGGCTCGAATTTTAATTTACCGTTTACATTATTTGACAATAACAGTGGTGAACATCATACCAAGCTTCAAATGTCCCTCTCGACACCAATGGGTAAAGTCACAGACGCCATGTCCATTTTTTTTGTGCCACCAGGCCCGGCATGGATGGACTGTGCCACTGGATGAAACAATGAGGGAAATGGCACAGGCTCCTCTTTTCTCCAGTTGGTGAAAAAGTTGGTTCCATCAATTCCAAAATGATTGTAAATATTCACACTCCACCTGGAAACCCAAACACTGAGCTAACCAGTGCAAGACACTACGCATGTATACTGTTGGATGCACAGTTCTCTATGGAAATATCATATGACGGTGGTTAATCTCTATGTTCATGTATATTTCTGCACCTGAATCCTAGGTAGCGATTGGAAATGTGAGTGTGTGCAAATAGTCTCTGGCATAACACAGGAGCATGGGTGCGCTGCTCTCAGATGTTGATTTGTGTGAGTCAGCACATGCAGGTGTTCCAGGCACATCCTTCAATCTTCTGCCCTTCTTCTCGGTTTGGATGTCCCATAGCCGCCTTTTCCCCTGCGTTCCTCCTCCTCCTCCTAGAGGACCTGCTCAGTGCTAGAGGCGGAGATGTCCAGGAGTCTCCAGGCTGCGTTGGGGTTCAGCTCCTCCTGGTCACGACACAACGCCCAAACATACATCATCCTCATCACCTTCCCCTGTCAAGGGAAAAGAGCAGCGTGTCAGTCCTAAAGAGACAGTCTGGAGGTGTCTTTCAGAATCAGAACGGTGAACCATAACTCATTAAATGTCATTGTGATGTGATTGTGTGATGCAACTTGCTAGACTAGGCACAATATGTTAATATTCATATGGAATATTTTTCACTGTATTACTGTGAATAAGTTGCATGAAGAACAAGCCAGTCCTATTGCTGAATCAACCCTGTGAAATTCATAGTAATAAAGCCTGAGTGTCAATGGGACACATGTTATAAAGTCCTGATCTAATTTCAGCCAATGGAGTTGTTCACTTCCTTGAAATGACTCAGATTATATCAAGTTCATTATGCTGGTGCAGTAATTAGGGGTTTACTGACCGGATCTCCTTCCACAATGTCTCCTTTGGGGCTGCGGATCACCATGACGACCTGAGCCTGGAAGGTGATGATCAGCACCGGGCCCTGGTCCATCATCTTACCCATTGCTAGCTACAACACAGGGAAAGACAACGAACACACTTGTTAACAAGAGTTTCTGCAGCAGTTTGATTTTGTAAAAGACTTGTAAACAGTTATTAATGTCTGCTTGTGTGCATATATATGAAGCGAATGCTCAGAGAGAAAAGGCTGAATGGTGAGAAGGAAAAGTGAAGAAAAGGTAACAGCAAATATTGCTTAGGTAATCTGTGAACACAGTACAGTATAACACGTGTGTGTGAAAGCACTTACATCTATGTTATCAATGTCAAGGATCTTGGACTGAAAGAGCAGTCCCAGCGCTCTGGCCTGCTGGATGGGGTGAGCCAACTGACTGTACGTCTGAGGACAGGTACAAGAAAACACACATTTGACTTGAAAATGTGATCACAGAAAGTGCTCCACCATGTTCCATCATGTTCCAAGATGTTTAAGGATATAGGGAATTGGTGGCGAAAATGCAGCAGCATTGAACTTACAGCTTCATAGCACCAGTCTTTTAATACATCCAGCTCTCCCCGGATCATAGCCTGCAGAAAGGATGGTGACACTGTGTTACTCATGACTGCTTAAAGGTGTATTTCACAAGTCACCTATAAGTCATCATCATAATAATAATAATAATAATAATGACTTATGCTTCAGTCAAACCTCTATCAGAGGCAGTTTTAAAAATAGAAAGCAGACAAAATTTTACACTGGCATGGTAAGGTCTAGCCTAAATCACAACAGATTTTCATTTCATTAAACCACATTCAGTGCCATTCTTTTTCATTATTATATGCTTGTAGTGTATATAAAACTGCATCATCATCTCTTGTTCTATAACCATGGAGGACACATTGCTTTGAGTGCTTCCTGCAATCATTAATTTGAATTATGTCTTTAACTGCTCAGCTTGCTTAAAACTTGCTTTTAAAAATCTGACAGCTCCAGTATGACTTCATTGATTCTAACAGGAGAAGTCACACATTTATTTACTGAATCTGATTTAAAAGTTCATATTAATGAAGCACCCCTTCTTATCCTCCTTAGCAGTGTACCTTCAGGTATTGAGCAAAGAGAAGAGTGTGAATGAAGCAGCCAGAGTCATGGACAAGCTGGAGGAGTCTGTTTACCTCCAGTATGTTAGGGATTATGTCTTTCTCACACTGTTTGAGAAAGGAGTCTTTGTCAAAGGTGGGGTCTGCCTTCACGATCTCTGTCAGCACCTCAGACATTTCTGTCTTAGAGAAAAAACCACCTGGAAAACAAATCAACAGCAGAATCAACAAAAGAACTTGGTAATGGCATTCCTTTATATTAGCACCTTCTTCCTTCCACAGTCAATAAGTAATGCTGGGTATACACTGAATTCCCTCTTTCATTGTCTTAAACTCTGTTCTCATTGCCTCCTCATTCTAAAATACGAATCTGCAACACCGATAACAGCTATGGCGGAGCATTACCTAGGAAGTCAGTGACTTTTTCAGTCATAGCTCTGGAAGCTCTGACGAGGGCGTTGTCGCTTTCATCATATTTCATCTTCATCTCAAAGAACCCTGTAGGAGATAAGATGAAAAGAAAAGAATGTGTTTTTCAGTCATAATGGAGGATAAAACTTGCACCAGTGAGGCCACATGGGGCTTTGTCAAGTTAATCACTTGTTACCTGAACAGGTGGTTTATTATGTAATCTACCCTAAAGAATCTGGTGCCACCTGCTGACTTTAAAAGAAATTACACACTTGCATACTGTAGGTGATCTATTATATAACACTAATTACCCGGTCTCTGATCACAGGATTTTCTTACTGTTAAAAACTACGTTATTGTCCTTGAAGTCCTTCCACTGCTGGAACCACTTTGAATCCTTGTGGAGAACGACACCCATGGCCTCTCTGCATCACAAAACACGAGGAAATCACTTCCATCATCACAGGTCTTTACAACAAGTGCGGTTATGGATTAAATAGGGAACATACACCGTCCAAGTGAAGATATATCCTTACAGAATAGGGGGGAAGAGGGGAGGGGGTGGGGCAAGTTGGAGTTCCAAAAGTTACTCACTCGTCCGCCTCGAACACTCTGGAGTCGCTGTCTGCTCCTTTGGAGGAGCAATCGCTTCTCTTCCTCAGCTGAGAGGGCGCTCTGTAAGGGCCGGCATCACCAACATCTATCTCCTTCTTCATGGTCTCCACACCCTACAGGGATACAGTACATGTATTTACCAATCAGCGCAGGACTTTTGGTTCAGTACACGTCCTGAACTGAATCACTGCAGTCCAGGTGTTAAATTTGAAAGTAAGTTTCATCTGAATGCTTCGGTAGTGTGACTAAACTAATGCTTGACCATGCTAATCTGCCTCTAAAAATCCAAAACTAGAAGACCCTCTGATATCCACTGCTTGAGATCACTGTGGTTTCTGAGTTAATTATATTTCTCTGGAAACAGCTATATTCCCAAGTAGAGAACACTCAAAAATATTTAAGTGAAGGAGCATGACTCCTCCTATTATGTTACCTTCACATGAACATACTGACCTATTTTTGAGTGACTTATTTTGTACAGCACAAATTAAGGCTCATGAACCACCTCTTACTGTTAAGATTTTTCCCCACTGTATCACAAAATGATAAATCATGAGTCAAAATCACAGCAAGTATCAAACCATGAATTTTAGTAGGGAGCTGGGTGACAACAACAATGTAAAGATGAAGATGATGCTCCCACAGTGATGCTGTCATTTTGAGGGAGAAACCTTAGATACTATTATGTTCTCTCTTCTGACCTGTGAGATAGCCTTGAAAGCACCAGTTCTGCCCAGTTTTTCTCCTCCTTTGGAGACAGACTCTGCTGAGTGCATGGCTGTCCTGGCTGCCTCCTCCACACCTTCCTTGATCTTCTTCCCGATGTCAGTACGACTCACCTCCTCAAGACCCTAACACCATTACATGCACACACAAACAAACACAAAGACAGGTGCAATTAGTCAGCCAATATAGTTAAATATACAGTATTTCACTTTTCCAGAAACCAAGACAACTTAACTTTATTTTCAATTTAAGGCTTTATTTAAAAAAAAATACATTTTACAAAACATGTGTAACTGAGATTTAGGGAAAACCTGTAGCAGCTAATTAGACAAAATTTACAAACTGGAACTATTCATCACAGATATGATAACTCCAGTTTGAGAGGGTTTTATATGTATCAGTTTTTAGAAAGTTCAGACATCAAGATTGAACGGTTTTAATGAGGCCAACATGAACCCATGATGAAGAAGTGTGAGTGTTTTCTTGGTAAAACTGAGGAAGTGCTGATCCCGTACCTCCTTGACGGTGTCTGAGAGGGAGCCAAATGTCTTCTTAAACAACTCTGAAGTCTTCACTGTCTCAGCCTCTATAGATTTCTAATGCAGGAAATAAAAAATCCTGGTTGATGCAGATAAATTACATTTTTACACAAACAAATGACTCTGACTGTCTATATAAACCCATGGAAGCTCCAAACCAAATAATGTCCTTACATATTTCCTTCGGGCTTGTTGAAGAGCATCAGACTCCTCAAGCCTCTTGGCCTCTTCTCTGAACTTCTTTATGTTGTCTTTCATTTCCTGATTCTTACTGAACTCCTGACGCAGGCCCTCCACAAACTCTCCCAGGAAACCTTTACGTCCTGAAGAATATCGCACCTTATAAGTCAAACAGAAAGTGGGACTTTAGTTGGACAGACAGACCATTCACATATTTCCACTGGGAAGTCCTTCTTTATCTGTCTGTGAAATTGAAAGAAGGAGTCCCTTTACTATCTGGCATGAAAGAAGGAAATCAGCTGCCAGATCAGTAAAAACATTTTTCAACTTTTTATCTTAAACAAATTCTTACTGATCATTTTCCTTAATGTAATCGACAATGAGAATGTGTCATTTTAAGATGAATAGGAGTTGTCACTGTATACCTGCACAGCTGCAGCTGGGCTCCACTGTAACCCGTAAACATCTCCTCTCCACACCGAGGAGACCAGAGGCCGGGAGCAGAGGGCCAGGGCACGTCTGCCAACCAGCTGCAATTATAGAGAAAGTCACTATCAGTAATCGACAATATGTATGAATGACAAGTGGTTAATGGGATACTAATGAGCCATGCCTCCACAATAATGAGCAAGGATATAAAACAGGAAAGAAGAGTCATTCTTTTGTGATGCTGCTCGTAAGAACCCAATTTATTACTTGTTTTGGTCGTTTGCAGGGCGGTAATTAGCAGCTAGGTGTCTTGGCTAAAACTGGGTTATATTTAACAGGTTAGTCATGTTAGACAACATCACCAGGTTACCTGTAACAGTAAACATAACTGCATCACCATAGTACCTCCAACTGGAGGGATGACAACCATTATTTCAAAAGATATTCCCTCATTTGGTGTTTTGATGATGGTGGTTAAGAGCACTGTCTAACACGTTGGTTGAAAATCACCTACAAACGTTTAACTGAGTTGAGATCAATCCATTCAGTGATTCCTCATGCCCTGTGGATGGGGGCATTTTCATCCAGTGATCCTTCCCTCTAAGGATACAAGCGGACCAAAACAATGGCAGACACATGCGACCCACAGTACAACAGAGCCACTGGAGCCCTCACTGTAGGGGACAAGCATTGAGATCACTGAACAGTCTTTTGTTACTGAAGCTCCATCTGTGCCCTTTGAAAGTCATTTAGATGTTTTCATCTTGCAATCTTGATCCAAAACCCAGTGTTTAATTATTTCTTGCAGTACATCTGTTTGTTTTTGTTATGCTTCTCAGTTCATATATTCAGGTTTCTCCTTTAATTTGTCACCTTCCTGTATCTCCATGGGTAGTAGATTTAATTATGGGTGGTAACATTTCTGTGACTGTAATCCTGTGTGTGTTGCTGTAACACTAAATTCTGTGACCCCAAATATGAATTTTACCTGTATTGTAACTGCTCATGTTTTTTGTGTCAAGTATGTTTTATTAAAGGAGGGTTTGAAGATGAGGATGCATTCTATATTTCTATATACAAGGCAAGAGAATGCAACAGATAATATCAAACATAACCACCATAAACACAATCTGTACCAGAGAAAGCTGTTATCACACCATAGGATAGTTGCCACTGTGCTCTTTTGAAAACAGATATGGAATCTGAAGTTATGATTAAGGCAGGATCATGTTCAATAGGGATATTGAGAATATCAGGGAATTGTTTTATTGTTTTTTCCCCCAATACCTCTTAATCCAGGGACATTTCTTGCATTAATCACACTGCGAGGAGATTCCTGATTACATCTTGTGAACAACACTATTTTGATGAGTGTGTTACCAGAAATGGTGACGCCATAGTATCACAAGGGAGTTAAATATTTTGATAGCAGTGACAACAAAATAGCATCTGTCTGTAACGCACTAAACCTAACCTGATCAACCAACCCTACCCTTTGGTCTTTCCCAGATAGTTGATCCTCTAGTGTCACATAATCTGAAGGGTTTAAGTGAACCAAAATCAAACAAATCAAAATTTCAGCCCAGAGCACCATGTGTCGTAACAGCTGTCCAGATAAAGTATGTGACTGACTAGGAGGAAACCGTTTGCACTGACAAGATAACAGAAATGCTTCGTCAGGTCAAAGAATCTGATTGGTCACAGAATTCTGTGTAACACCGGTATTAATAAAGAAGACAAGAAATTATACCACCGTTTTTAAACCTGTAGTGTTTTACCAGCGGAAACGATGCGTCAGTACTTCGCTTCATGTTTGGAGTCTAAAGGCGTTACTTTTTAACCAGATGGTACCGGTTTTAAGCCCGACATCTTTCAACCTACAAGCCTAAAACAAAATGTTAATTTCAGACGTTGATAGGTAAAACAAGATCATTGAGAACCCTGCGGAACCCTCATCTGATGCAACAAGGCCTTCTAACGCACATCTTGAGCTGCTGCTGCATAAAAAAACACCCTATAAAATCCACTTCACATGACCATACACGAAAAGACTAATTACAATGCCGCGTGCGCCTATTCCCTTCACCAAATTATCTGCAGGAGACTTGAGAGCTACAATGAAGGACATGAATGATTGTCTAACCTCGTAGCACCGACACACGGAGGCTGCCATCTTGATCTCGAAATGCGCGGAGCAGCACGTGGATCCTTGGTACAGCAGCTGACCTTCCGCTCAACCAATAGGCGCAGAGCTGGGGGGCGGGGGGCGGGGCCAGCTGTCAGCACGACTTGAAAGTGGAAATCTACCCTTTTTATATACAGTCTATGAATCTACCTTATAAACCTTATAAATTGTGCTTTTATAATAATACTGTACAATGTCATCCACAAACTCAACTGTCTCCCTCAACAAGAAATCAGCGCAGTTAAGACTTAAATTTGTGCTATCACTAGTTGACAGTTTAATTTTGCTTTTAATTTGAATAATAACACTTAATAATAATTTTATTATTAACAATAATTATAAATTAGACCCAATATATCAGAATAAATCCCCATTGGTACTCCCTGTTACATGTCCTTATTCTCTTTATTTTAGACTTGCTCCAGAGTTGGATTTCAAACACTGTCACTACTATGATTACGAATTATCTTAAAATATGACATATGTTATTATCTATTTTAGTTTGTATTTTGAAAAAAAGTCTTATTTTATTAAGATACTGTGTAATTTCTATTAGAAAGACATGTCTGCCCTGTCTGTGAGGAAATATGGCCTATATACCTTAATAAATAATACTATGGAGCATTTGTTCATATAGCCTACACAGTCAGACTCTCATCCAAAATCCAACTACAGTAAGTCTATGTATGTAGTCATTAGATCGGCCTACTACATAAACTTTTGAAACAAAAAAGTGTCCTGTTTCTTTTTTTTTTTAAATATCGTTTTATGTTTATCTTTATAGGCTAATACAAAATTTATGACAATGCAAGCACATGGGCAGGCTCGGAGATGCCATTTAACATATCAAATATATATATATGTATACAAACAAACAGAATAAACGTACATTCATGCCAATAAAGCTAATTTGAATTTGCACAAAATCAGTACACTTCTTAGGACTTGCTGGCTATAATATAAACAAGTCCAGGCATTCATATTTGTTTTTATAATGAGACCATCCCTCATAATTTTCAACTTGCTCTATGATTTGAGTATTGCTTATAATTTCTTTCCAGTCTTGAAGTCAGTCTCTATAGTGCAAAATATAGGCCTATCCACCAGAGCATTTGTCTATTGTTTACCTCTTAAACATGGTTTATCAAAACACGATTCACTGGCTGATAAAACGGAGGTAACACCGTTGTAGGACACGACAATTACGTTGACATCCTTTGTGGTCTGACCCTGTTTCTCTTTTCATTCAGAAGTAAATGACTGTGTACGTCTTGACTGTGGGTTCCATCTGAGCGCTGTCTGCTGGCATGCCAATAAAGATCGCCCCCCTGAGGAAGGTATTTGAAGTGCAGGGACTCCTCCCCTCCCTCTGCAGAGTTGGGAGCTCTCTCCTTCTGCGGCCAGCTCGCCTTGACAGCCAAAACTGGCGCAGAGTCTCAGCACAAACCTTTACCATATTTTTCTGGCATATAACGACTGTTCATACCCATACTTTTCACACATCCTCTTCCGGAGACAAGCGTTGGAGCGGCCTCGTCTAGAATGGGGAACCGAGACGATGAATACGATTTCTTGTTCAAAGGTAAAAAAAAAAAAAAAAGAAAAAAAGATGACTGCATTCCCCCTTTACACAGGCTTTCAGCGACGAAGCTGTGCTTTATACATGCCTGTAAATGTCTTATTGTGTCTTTTTAGCTGACCAGATATCTGAATCTTTTAAGGAAGCATATGTTTTCTGCCAGGATGATAATCGGTTGGTGTTATTGCAACATAACGCTGTCATTGTAACATTACAGCGCCTGCAGCTATATTTATAGGTATAGGATGCAACACCCTATCCGCTTCTCAGCCATTGTATTAAACTTTCATCAACTCATAGAGCAGGTTTGGTGGTTTGAGTGGGTCGTTTCCTCATTTAGGCTACTGAATGGTATTTGATGATTTTCTACTCATTCCAACTCGTGAGGTTGATTAAAGGCCTCTACCTCTCCTGATCAATAAGCTTCATCTTCAAATGAGGACAGTTACTCAGCCGGCTCTCTCTGAAAATGCTGCAACTCATAACTTTGTGTGTTAGCGTTCTTATGGCAATCAATAGGCCTGATCAATTGTCACCGAGATGGAAGCAGAGCCAGACTCAGGTCTGTTTATCTTTAGTGCTCAGTTGGATCCAGAATGCCTTCCTTTGATCGTGCTATCAGCTCCTGTGGGCACATTAACATCCTGGGCCTGAGGAAGCCAAAGGGCCATTTAGATGTAACAAAGTATCCTCTGTGGGATGAATAGGGCATCTGCCGGAGGCGAGCGCTCTTTCTCCTTCTCTCCCTCCCTCTCTGTCTCTCTCTCTCTGCCCGAGCCATCGTCTGTGTACCCGGCCGAAACAGGAAGGGCAAGGCGGCCTGAAACTGTCGATTCAGGTTTTGATGAAGCCTGTTATCAGCTTCCTGCAGCCCGATGTCGACGGGGACAAAGTTCGGCTCTATTTCCTTTTGTCGAGGGAGACAGAAAATTAAAAAAAGGCTCCACCTCTGCTGCTGCGAGCAGCTGGCCACCTCGGCCCGGTCCATGAGCCTTAATCAATCACTTTCCTCTGATGTCTCACAGCCTAAAGACAAGAAGGCCTGTTATTTAATCAATCCACGTTGACAGTTTATACTGTGGGGGCTCAGACCCATAGCTGCCCCCCCCCACACACACACACACACACACACACACACACACACACACACACACACAGTGACTCTGTAGTTAACTTGTGGTTCATTCAGACGTTTTCAAAATAAAAGGTCTCACCTCTATATAGTTATTTCTGTAGATGGCTCTTGTGATAGAAAGAAAGTTTTAAATGATTGTTGCTAAACCCTGCACTTCAAATTTAAACCTACCTCTCAGGGACATGTCAGCAGGTCATTTAGTGAATATCACCACCCTCGGGGTGTTTTGGCCGGACTGAACTCTTGATTTGAAAGGTCAAGCGTATGCAGTCTATTAAAGATGCAGAGTGAAAAGCAAACCCCTCATTTATTCACTTGGGGGTATTCTGCTCAGTGAAAAAATCCTTCCCCTGTGCTCCATTAGTTAGCTGTTGTGGTTCTGCAGAGAACCATCGCCGACTAAAGCACCTCTTTATTTATTGGATAATCCCTCATGCACTTCAAGGCTTTAATTCTTGTTGGAATTATTAGATGGGTGGGTGATGGGATAAATCAAGCAACCTCTTCATGGTGGTTGGCTACTAACGGTGACACCAAAAACAGGCTGTGCATTTGGTTATTATCAGTGAGGAGCGCTCAGGCACAGCCTAAGAGTAAGATGGACACTATCACATTACAGTTTATTGTAGCGTAGTGTTCAATACAATACACACGAATTATCAAACAATTTGTCGTACCTTTTGCTCTGGATATTGATATTCTTTTGTCACCTTGTCCATTTTTGGTAGGCCTATATTGTAAAGCCATGCATCACACATAAACATGAAGCCCCTGGATTTTATCGAAGTCAACGTTTAGAGGCACTGCTTTATGCAATATCAACATTTCTCGACTCTATTAATATTCAGCCCGTCCCCAACCTCGCGCACCACACGTAGTGCAAACACGCTTGTCTCATCTTTTCCTTCCTTCCCTCCATTTCTCACCCCTCTTTCCCTCCACAGTTGTCTTAATTGGGGACTCGGGCGTGGGGAAGAGCAACCTTCTCTCTCGATTCACACGAAATGAGTTCAACCTAGAGAGTAAGAGTACCATTGGGGTGGAGTTCGCCACGCGCAGCATTCAGGTGGACGGCAAGACGATAAAGGCTCAGATCTGGGATACAGCAGGACAGGAGCGCTACAGAGCCATCACCTCGGCGTGAGTCCATTTCGTCCCGCCTGTCATCTGAAACCCCTCAGTGTGGGGAAATGCATCAGCTGTGCAGTCACAATTGACACTTTATCTTTCAGACTAGATCACTTAAAATGAGATGGAGGTTTGGATAGGTTGTGCAACTTTTAGTTAGAGGTGGATGGCACTTTGGTTAGTAGGAGTACTGCTCAATTAGAGGATATATCTTCTTGAGTTACACACAGAAACCCAGGAATCTGATAAATGTCAGTGTAAAATATCTGAAATATAGAATTGTACAATATGAGTCCAGTTCAAGTGAACATTCTATAACAGCTGAAAAATATACATTGGCTGAATGACACACTGTAGTTGTTAACATGATAATATGACATCCATCAATGTTTAGTTAAGTAAACAGAATGCAGATTAAACAAGCTACTGTATATTCTGAACTAGTCAGTGTAGGAGCAACAGAAATATATTTGTTATGGATTTGCTAGGAATATTTTTAAGACTAAACCACAAACAAAGACATTTTTTAAGGACCTGCTGACACCCTGATGCTTCCCCTCATATCTAGTGAAATGTGTTGTTACCTTTCTGTCTTTGTTCCTGTAACAGATACTACAGAGGAGCGGTCGGGGCGCTCTTAGTGTATGACATAGCCAAACACCTGACCTACGAGAATGTGGAGCGCTGGCTGAAGGAGCTGAGAGACCACGCCGACAACAACATTGTCATCATGCTGGTTGGCAACAAGAGTGACCTGCGCCACCTCAGGGCCGTGCCCACAGATGAGGCCCGGGCCTTTGCAGGTACTGAAACTCACAAAAAAGCTAAATATTGGAGTATGGGGAGGGATTTTGAAACTTTTTTATTTTGTCTATTATGTTTATTGTTTAACCTGAACTGTGTTGTGGCAAGAAAAGAATGTGGGAAAAAACAAAACATACCTTGTTTTCCTCTTTCCGTTTGTGATATTAACATTAATTTCTGCTTTCTTTCTTACGCTTCAGAGAAGAACAATCTGTCATTCATAGAAACTTCAGCCTTGGACTCAACAAACGTTGAAGAAGCCTTCAAGAATATCCTCACAGGTAAGGAGGTGAACAGAGGTCAGAGCGACACTGTTAATATACTTGAATAATTAGACATTAAAGCACCTTTAGAATGTTGACTTATCTTTTCATACTGCTGTAATGATTAATCAGTTCAATTAGTTGTCAACAAATAAATGAATTGGCAACTATTTTGATAACCGTTTAATCAGTTTGTTAATTTTTTAAGATAAAGTTATCATTCTCTGATTCCAGCTTCTTAAGTGTAAATATTTTCTGTTTTTTTTACCTCTCTAGGACAGTAAACTGATTATCTTTGGGTTGTGGACAAAACAAAACTTGATCTTGGGCTTTGGGAAACACTGATCGACATTTTATGGAAAAACAACTAATTGATTAATCGAGAAAATGATCGACAGATTAATCAATGATGAAAGTACTCATAAGTTGCAGTCCTGTCAATCATTCCCAAATCATGGTCTAATAACAGACCATTACTATGTAATTCTAATCTGAATCGGTGTTGCTTATAAGACTTTACTATTCAAGCTTTAAGATGTGTGCTAAATCTTTGTGTCAAATAAGATCTGTTTTGAATTAGTGGCTGACATTAACACAGTGAGAAAAAAAGGTAATTTCTGACAGTGAAACTCTTGAACTTTGCTTGTGTAACTTCCTCTTACATTGGGAAGTTCGTTTTATTTGCCTTTTGATCTGTCTTGTGTAAAATCGTAATTCAAGTATCAACAGTATCTTAATTTAAAGTATCTCAGCCCTGTTTTCACCTTTGGCTCTCGGTATCATTTTGGGGTTTTCTCTAACATCTTTGTACTGGTGTGCCAAATAAGGGCGATGAATAGCTGCGACTCCCACATCAACCAGGTTGTTTCACTGTTACAGGTACCTGATGTGGTTAGAAAGGTTATCCTGTAAGGCAATCTTTGCCAGTCCACCCAAAAGGAGCAAAGTATTGAGGGGCAAAATGGCTGATCTGTTTCCATTCCATCTTTTCAAAAACAGAAATCTACCGCATCGTCTCGCAGAAACAGATTGCTGAGCGGTCTGCCCACGACGAGTCCCCAGGAAACAATGTGGTGGACATCAGCGTGCCACCCACCACGGACGGCCAGAGGGGGAGCAAACTGCAGTGCTGTCAGAACCTGTAACCCATGGCAACTGTCCCTCCTCACCTGGGTCGATTATTAATTGAAATCCACAGTGTTGGTATGCTTCCACCCGCCTGGGGTGCAATATTGTCTGAATCTGCACTTTTTAGATCAGTGGAGTCAGTTCCGTTATGCCACAAACGATCAATCCCAGTAAGAGGTGTTGAGGAATTGATTTCAAATTATAATCTGACCCAGGTACAATCTGCTACATCCTGCATCCTGCAAAAAACAGGACTGACGGTACCACGTACTGTAAGTACCTACCACAGTTACCCATAGTGTAGCAGAATAGTTTTGCCTGAGACCTTGTAAGCGTAGACATCCCCCTGGTAGGCGGCTGTTGCCACATGTTGGGAGGACTGGGTTTGAATCCTGCCTGTTCCAGTCGTACCTGCAGTCCTGTTTTTGGCTCTCCTCCCCCTCGTTCAGTCTTCATCTCAAAAGTGGTTGTGACGCTGCTGATGCTTATTTCATTTTTGTGTAAAATATATTCTTTTTTTGTTTGTTTTGATTTTGATAGCCTGTCTGCTCACATACATTATATTAATGCCATGAAATTAAATTTTACAATATTATATTCTGTGTCCCCCCTTTTTTTTTTGCGGCACATACACACTGTACGCCAACTGATGTTTTTCTTTTATGTATTACATGATCAGATTGTGGATGCATCAATGCATTAGCAGCATTTTAATGTTGTTTCAGGTCATGGGGGAGCTAGTTTTACCTACTTTATTTGAACTTTTTTTGTGGAATACTGGATCATTATATCGCTTAAGATCTCAAATAGTTAATTTAATGAAACCATCTGAGAAGCTTAGAGGGGAAACCATTTTCTGGTGGAGCTGGTAACAGCTCATCTTAAACTTGATATGGGGCCCCTACCAGCTACTGCTTTTGTAATTTACTGCCAGCCAAAACCAATCCAGCAATGTCTGTATGCATTACCAATGTCTTGTGTTTTATAAACATATCACATTTTTAGGTCAAACTTCAATCTGAAAAGCAACTGTTAACTACTGTTGTAAAATAAGTGTAGCCAGGTTTCCCTCTGACATGTAGTGGAGCAGGAGCATAAAACAATACTCAAATGAAAAGTACCTGAAATTGTATTTAAGTACAGTACTTGCCTAAATGTCATATTAATACACTGTGAATGTCCAACAGATATTGAAATGTTAAAGGTCTCCCAGTACAAATGTATGAAATGGGAAAATAATTCAAACTATTTAGACAAGACCATGATATCTCAGGACATGATCCCCCACAGTGATAGATCTTTATATTTCCAAAGACTACATAAAGGTGACTAGAAGCTGAAATACCTAAAACCACCAGACAAGTCACACTTCGCACTGATTTAGTCCAAGAGTCCCTCATTTTTTATTGCACAATAACCCAACTTTCCCAGGGGATGCAGCAGGAAGACTACAATAGCACAAAATACTTTGTTTAGCATTATGCTGCATACATTGATTGACATCTCAGAACACATTTCTCTTTTGCACCTTTATTTTTTGTACCAGCCTGCTCTGATACATCTGTGTTTTATATATGACAAAAAGTCTGTAATCTCACTATTCAGAACACTGTATCTCTTCTATTTAAAATTGCATCTCTTGTGATGTAGGACGTAACTACTGGTCATTGCTAGGCAGCTCAATTAATGAATGCATTTACAAGTGGAGCAGGGCTAATGCACTTTTATGACAAATAGAGAGACGTCATCCAATTGTAAACACTTTTCCACACGATCAATACTATTTCCTTATACATTACTGCACTGCCGTTTAACGACTGCAGTTAGTGTTATCCCATATACTACAATCTTCACTAACCCCGTAACATGTGTGATAAATATGTGATACCTTAGCTGTTGTCTGTGCAGGACCATTATCAATGACAAAGCTTTATCAGGAAACTTTAAAAGGGTTCCGATTATAGACAAGAACATCGGTATGAGCGACAGACTTTGTCAATCATGTTTTTAGGTTATCATCCTCTGCCGGGCTATTGGCTGCCCATTGTTCAAATATGGCTAAATACATTGTGAAGGGGCATGGGGGAATTATAGGTAGTGAATATGTTTCATATTATACTGTAGTAGCATGCTGAATCTGTTATATCCTGCTACATTAGCCTGTGTCTTAGTATTTCATAAGTTTATGTCACGAACATACAGTCTGGCTGGTTAGTCCATTGTCCATGTGTTCAGTCATACACATCCCAGCACTCGCTGTCCTGCGACAACTCTGTGTTTCAACATCAACCGTGACTCCGGAATGAGTTCCCAAAACCACTTTTGTGGTCCGCCGATACTGTAGTAGTTTACATCAAGTGCTTCAACAAAAGAAAACAGAAGGAGAAAGCAGCTCCCCCCCTCTTAGAATGGTCCGTATGAAGTGCAAAAAATTCATTAATATGATTAATTTTGTTTTTAGAGAGTGTTTCAGTGGGCCTTTTTTTTTTTATTATTCTGCACTCATACGATGGTCTCATCAGTCATTTTCTTGGTCGACTTGGTCGGCACAGAACGTTGGGTGGTGTGCGCCCCTTTCATGTCGGGCATGAGCAGGCGCACTTTCTGATTGGTCCTCCTCCACTCCGAGTACAACTGACAGTGATACCGAAATGACACCTGAGATTGAATGGAAGGAGAGTGGGAGGGGGAGATACAGGAGGTGACAGCGGAGGAGAAGACAGATATCAATATAACTGACATCGAGATACTTGAGACAGAGTAGTTCGGATACAGAACAGGAACAATATGCTGACTGAAGCTGCAACTGCTGCACAACACGCCGCTCACAAGCTGTGAGCCAAAGGGTTAATCCTTATTTGTCATTTCTGATGATTCTTTTGTGGGAGATTAAAGGATTAGGTTTCTGAAGAAGGTTTCAGATGTACAATATATCCTATATTTTAAAGAATATGATCCAGTTAAGGAAAAGAAGCTTATTCTTAAGAGTAAAAGACAGCTTATTCTTACCATTCTCAGTGAGTTATGCATGTATGAACTATCTGGTTAGTTTTTAAACAAATGATCTGTGCCAGAGATTAAGAAGTTACATATGCCCTCAATCCACCCTTTGACTTTCTTCAAGTGCTATTCAACAGTAACATAATTTTAACAACAATCAACAGCAGAACATAAATCTGTGGGTTTGGTTTTCTTTGTATTGTGTGTGTGCCAGTTTACACTTGTTTTCCAAATCTAAGTGGGAAACCAACATGTGGGTGTGAAGATGCCAGAGAGATAAACATGTTTCCTCATAATTACAGGAGAATATCTTCAGTAATACATTAGTTACCAGTGTCCAGAGTATGTAGATGGTGAAGAGCGCGATGGTGAGGGCAATGAGGCCAACAGCCTCGAGTCTGCTCTTCAGTTGCAGGTGGTCTTGGGCTCCCCTCAGGCACAGCCAGCCGGAGATGGCTGCCAGGGGTGTGATGAGAAGGAAGCAGGCCATGTCGCATAGCAGCGTGCGCTTCTCACTGCGAGGGCCTGGGTCCTTCAGCCACTGAGCAAGGGCAAAATGAAGAGGTCGTTGGTCCAACTGAAAATCAGCTTTCCACAGTATCACCCTAACCATTGTTTATTTGTGTGATGCATCTTAGAACAGATTCGTTTTAACAAAGGGAACTCACAAAACTACTTCTGGAAAGCATGGAAACTATTTTTGATATTGGTTGACGAGACTTAAATGTCTGCTTTGTATGTTTGCTGCTATGGTATGCCCTTAATCTAAGCAAACATTGATTTTGTACTCTTGATACTCTCATAGCCCTCCATCTGTTTTTTTTTTTATTGTTATGAGGAAATGGGAAAATAAAGTAATTTTTAAAAAGTCAAGGGCAACTGGACTTGGTTGAAGATACTAGAAGACGTTTTGTCTCTCATCCAAAGGACTTCTTCAGTTCTGAAGAACCTTCTTTGGATAACTATGACCTGGATGACTGAAAATCTTCACAGACATAATTTAAAAAAAGAGATTTTAAAAAGGGGTGAGTTTCCTCAATAACTAATATGAATGCACAGATGCTACTGAAAACTAGTTCTATGAATAGAGAGCTCAAATTACAAGGTCAGGCAATCATCTCATATCCTGAGGATGCCACTTGTTGGAACACACACTGCAGGTCTTAAAATGAATCTCACAGACACTTACAAAAAATATTTCAAATACCAGTACAAGGCGAAAGTCTTCCTTACTCTAGACAAATAAGTCTTGCTCATTTCCACCTCTTTTTGTACCTACAATAAAAGCGTTTATCCTTGCAGTAAAAACCCTCTAACCTGAGTGAGTGGTTGTGGTCGTCTTTCAATAGTGAATTCTGTGTGACAGAGTTCACAGTAGCTGGTGTTGGAGGAGGACAGCCACTTCTCCAAGCAGCTCTTATGCACTTTACCCAGGGTGCCAGTGCAGTCACAGGGTGAGAGCAGCGTCTCCCCTCCAGCTCCCTCATGACAAATCCGACACATGCCCACATCACTGAGAAGCAAAGCAGAGAAAACAACAATGTGATGATCAACCAAAGTACAGTGTAATTACAGCATATTCATTAGGGCCTAAGTGATTTCCTCCCCCTTTTACCTCTGCAAGCTCACTGCTTTGACAACAGTGGAGAGTGGGCGGCCATCTTTAGCCGTAACCTTGGCAATGTATTGGGCCTGGGCGGTAGAATCAGACTCCTCCGAATCCTTGGAGGCATCAGATTCGGCGTTCCCGGAGTAATCACAAAGGGAGCCGGGGAGGTGGCAGCACCCTGACGAAGACATGGCTCAGCTGAGGGTGATGGCGACGAAGATGATGGTGGAGGCGACTCTGGTCTGATCAAAACCCAATATCCTACACCTCTCCTCCTTTTTCCACCTACAGAGCAAATGCATGATGGATTATGAACAGGTGACAAAGTATGGGTGATTTCAAATAGAAGTACAGCATCATGTTATTCTTACAAGCCTCTCAAGATCTCAAGATTCTTTACAGGGCTCAGTGATGCCATGTGGATGCAGGAGACATCCCACTGACAAAATTAGGACCAGCTAAATTTCTCAAAAGCTGGGCACATAAATACTCACATATTTACCAAAATCATCATCATCATAACAAAGGCAGGTTGTGAGGCCAAGTTATGCTCAAGCCCCACGGAAAACTGCTAAAATAAAGATTGTTAAAAATGCCAAATATGTCCTGATACAGGGAAATGTGTTTTTAGGAACAAACCGTGTACCCATTCCATTATCTACTGATACCACTATATTCTTGATTCCTTTAAGAAAATAAAATTATAATATTACATAACTGTGGCAATATATTTGTGTATTTAAAGGCCTGGACGATTAAGCAAAATAAATCAAACTGGGTTCACGTCATTGCGATTTATGCCTTTCTTTAAAGAAAAACATCGGGCATCTTAACACTGTTGTCAATAACATTATATTAACTAGACTCCAAGAAAAAAAACCTCGAACTGTGAGTGCATGAGCATTTTCTATTTATTTTTAATGAGTAGCTAACATTTGAAATTTCACAGCTAGCTGATTTTTCTCCGAGGTGTACATGATTGATACTGTTATCGTTAATGTAACGTTACAACCGCCGCCAGAAAAGGCATAATTGATCTCAGTACAAGAAAACAGTGTAAAGTAGTTGAACAGATGTCAAACAACAAGCTGATATGTGATGTTGTTATACAGAAACGCTGGTAAACAAGGTGAAATATAAGACCTTAGCGTAAATTTACTCACCCGACGGCCTCCCTTTTCTCGCTTGGCCTTGGCCTTGGCCCTGCGTTAACCAGACACAGGCTAGTTGAGCTAACTGGACAACCCTAGCTACAAACTATGACTTTGACATCTAACCAAAAGCTGTTGATATGAAGGGATACAAAAGACGGCCACGTGCGCTGCATCCCCTCCATGTCGTGTAGTGTATCTCCTTAGGGTGGTTTTGTCTGAAAAACTGAAAAGAAACGGCTGTTTCTGTCAGGATTACCAGACACGGCTAACGTGGCTAACAGACTAGCAACGGGCAAACCTACCTCAGCATCCCTCAGCTGTGCACTGGTCATGTGACACAATGATGCCTTCACAGTCATTAGTGATCGTGTAATAACGGACACTTCACACACCCATCAGTGGCAAATAGGACTTGTTCACTTGTAAGAAGCACTTGTATATTTCTATTGCCAAATGTGCTGGTAACGAGGTCAGAAAACATGGAACGAACGAAAAAACGAACGAAAGTCCATCCATCCATCCGTTGTCACGGATTTACATTTACTCATTTGGCAGACACTTTTATCCAAAGCGACTTACATTTGAGGAACAACATATAAGCATCAACAGAGCATCAAATACAGATCTACAGCTGACAATACATACTAGTAAGAGCAGCAATAAATACTAGTACTTGAATCTGATTCCGGATGATGAAAGTAATGCATGTAATCACTTCATTTTGTCCAGTTATTTCACTTAAACATCAGTTAGCCCAAGAGCGTAATGTAACCCAAGCAAAGCAGGAATAAAATATTAAAAACACCTGTTCTATATACATTTTAGTTACTCCTAACGTTTTGATATCTGTGATCAATCACACAAATAACGTTACTGCTTCCGACCTTTAAAAGAGCAGTTTACGAGGACGCCTGAATGCAGCGTACGGTACAAACAACAACAACAACAACAAAAAGTGTTTCTAAGATTGTGTCGACATTCTGTTCCTAAAATGTTTAAGTGACTTTTTATGTGTCAATATAGGTCTGATTTCAATAAGGAAACGACCGTTGTCCTCTATCGAGAAAACATCTGTACTAAGTTATGTCAAAATAAAACCGCTAGGTGGCAGGATTTAATCAACCCTCTCAGGGTGTCGCAGACAGGACGGTTGGGACAGCTGCTCTACAGGTGAGGTACAGGACTTCCAGGGGTTCTTCCAATAATTACATTCATTAGACATTAGTACAATGGCAAAATGCAACAGTGACAGTTTGAATGTTCAACATAGGTTTCTATGAATATGATGCTACTTCATACTTCCACTCCACTACATTTCAGATGGAAATATTGTACTTTTACTCCACTACTCTTATGGCAGCTATTTGTAGTTCCTTTGCAGATTAAGATTTTGAAAACTATGAGCATATAAAATATGATTCATTCCTGTTCAGTGAGTTTCATGACCCAACAGCAGTCTAGATAAAGTCCATAAAATCACCTCAACCAACCAACAAAATTGATTATCAACACCAGTGATGATAATCAAGGGCATAGAATTTAGTAGGGTCATGTCCCAACCAATATCCAATGATTACTGAATTGTCCCTGTAATTTTGATTAAAATAATGAAGTGTTGTATTGAAGTGATACAATTACAATAACAAAACAATCAAGAATTGGGCTACACTGTTCAACATTGTTACTGTACATTAACCAACTGTATATATAACCTAATCTGTATACATTGTTTTACTCTACTTACCACAATGGAGACTGCTGTTCATGGTGTACATGCACCCTTGGATTTACTCTCTACATTCTCTAACTCTGCCCACTTCCCTTCTATATGTTTTTAACATATTCACATTATTATACTGTAGCCTATAATATCCATATGATAACGCCTTCAAGTCCAATGCATTTTTTAAATTTTGAAAGATTATGTCCTCCCCTCTTATATGCCTCACAGTAGACCACTGCCTACCTTTTTAAGACCCTCAACTTTATTCCTAAAAATCTCCCTCTGGCCAATGTTTTTATTGTCCCCACCAACAGTGACATGAAAGATACACCCTTGATAATCCAATAATATCACACATAATATAACACTAGGAGAGGCCTTATAGTTTTGCTGCCTTTAATTTAGTAATTTATCTAAATACTTTTTCACTGATCGACAGAGTTACAGGTGTGACTGCTTGGCAGGCGAGTATTGACTTTTTTTTTCTCTTTTGGCCAGACTAGTTTATACAGAGGTTCAAGCAACACGTTTTTGTAAAGCAGGTTCAACAACACATCATCAAACATAACAGATTCCAAGAGCAGTTGCACTAGGCCTGTTTGATTCACACAATGTTCACAAGTCAGATGATATGATGGATGGATAAAAGGCCACCTTCCTGCCACCTTCCTTTGTACAATGTGTTGTATTTGCATGTAGGCATGGCTGATCCTGTTGCTACCATATATACTTTGTTGAACTGGCAGAATCACATCAGCAAATAAGAACTCTCAAAGGTCTGCTTCTTGTTAGCGTACAGATTGAGTGGCATTTTACTGAGTCAATAGTAGTGGAAAATGTTTTTAATTAGCTAAGGTGATTGACTCATTTGACACTTCAAAAGTGAAAGGTCCACTCGACCTAGATCTTCACTGGGTCCCTACCATCGTCATGCTTTCGTTCTGTCACTTTTGGACCAAAACTGAGTATTATGTTAATAGTTATACAGAAATAAAATTCCAATTTAAGTCTGCATTATACAGAAACAGTTCACCTTCATGTATTTTGAGATGTCCCTTTAGTGTGACCTAAAATAGCAACCTCTGTCTGTAATATTTAACTATTAGTTAAACAATATCTATTTTTGTCAAATCGACCTGCCTTGCCCTCTACCCCTGCCTCTTCCTTTTCATTCCCTTTGAACCCAAACACTGATAAAGAAGGGGTGCACTCACTGTGAGTGTGATCTGCGTGTGATTACCAAGAATGGGGATCATCACACACACACACACACACACACACACACACACACACACAGCTACCTCAGTTTCTTATTAGTTATCCCACCGTGTGTTCAGTCAAAGTCCAACAGAAACACTGCCTCTCCGCATGGGATATCATGAGACATGTGTTAGTGGACTTTAACATAGCCAGACACACAACTGCGCACGCAAGTCATTTACACATCACACATTTGGGATGTTTGAGCAGTCAGCCACCATGTGAAAAGATAAGAATAAAATATATTTATAATACAGTTTACATTTAGCTGTAAAATTCAGGTAATGTTTGTGTGTGTGTGTGTGTGTGTGTGTGTGTGTGTGTGTGTGTGTGTATATGTGTGTGTAAGTGTGTGTGTGTGTGTGTGTGTGTGTGTGTGTGTGTTGGTTTTCCTTGCATTTTGGCTTTGGAAACTGGATTCATGATCCATTGAGTTTCTGAGTCTGGTAGCCACAGGTTGAAACCGCGTGGACAACATATCTTGGACACAAATAAACTGTTAATTTATAGTAATTAAATTTGTTTTGCATTTCAGTTAGATGTAGGTCACAATTGGAAGTTTTGTGAAGGATTAGATTGGCACACACCTACAAAATAGTAACATACAGTACATACAACATACATTATATCTACAGTACCACCAAGAGAAACTGAGAGGGAGTGAGACAGCCACTGTCTGAAACAGAGAGGCAGACAGATGGAAATAAACACACAGATTGCATAACTTATTCACAGCGTTTGGCCTTCAATAACAGTATAATTCAAAAGCTGCAGTTTCGTCTCGTGACCCTTTAAACTGTCAGCAGGAGTCCTCATGAGCACCAGTGGAAAGCAATTATTCAGTTTCTCTCATTTAACTTGACAGCGCTGCCTTTCTCACACTACAAATGCAAAATCCATGTCTAACTGTCCAAGGCCTTGGGATCATTTCATTTTAATATATTCTTCAGTAGCCTACTTTGAGAAATGCACACTGCACTCTGGTAATTCCACTCTCACTATCGCTACTGATGTTAAAATGTTTAGTTACTGTCCATAAAATTGGTCCATTCTGTGACGGTTGAGGGTGGTTTTGACTTATTTCCTCTCTTATTTCTCATCCACTCAACTGCCAATCAATACTGCATTGGAATTTCATGTAATTTTATTCAGGATCATTCTGACAATTACCATGCTTATTTATCATTAGAGCTTTATTTTGATGTTTTGAAGATTTAAAGATACTTATGGACCAGCAAATTACATACAGTACAGTAAAGAGGACCTCTGTTTATCACATGAAGGAATTGAAAAAAAGGATTTGTTCCTGAAAAATGCTTTTAGTTTACAAATAAGTTCCACTGCATTGATAACAAATCCAAGAACTGAAGAAACAAGATGGCTAGTCCTACGAAACTCCTGTTTATGTAGGGGTCAAACTCTCACTGCGATTGTATTTTTAAAAATATCAGGCAGCATTTTTTTTTTCTTTCCAAGAAAATACAGGGATGGAGATGAACCATGATCTGGAAAAACAAACAGTTTCAGTAAATAGTGCACTTAAATGTTAATGTTTGATTTGAACGGCAAACACCTTTACTTTAAAGGGCAACTTAGTTTTTCAAACTGGACCCTATTTATCCATGTCTTTATATCTATGTGACTAATCGGGACAACATTATTGGAAATTGGTCCAGTATTGCATTAGTGTGGTTGACAGCAGCAAAGCATGGGCTGCAATGTAATCCATGTCAAAGTACGTCCACAAATCTACTTGTTCTTGCCACTGACAGGCTCAGATTATTATTATTGTGTCTGACAGTATTATGGAAAGGAGCCTTACAGAGATAGACCTCTTTTTAAAGACTATGATCCTGTTTGGTTAATTAGAATTAGTGCTATGTTGCTTTCGTCAAAGTCACCAGACTCCGCTGAAAAAAATAGTAATTTTACCTCTGTAGCCTACTTCTGCCTCGATTAGTTGGTTTGTGTCATTGTGTGACTTGGGTTTTTTCAAACCTTTAAAACACCAAAGTCACACAATAACACAAACAAACAAAAACATCAAAATCCCACAACAACACAAACAAACTATTCGACCAAGGCAGCAGTGGACCAGCAACAGCTGTGTTCTGCAAGGTTAAATTACTGTTTATCAAAGGAGTCTGGTGGCTTTGACAAAAGAACTATAGTGACTGTTTCTGGTTAAACAAAAAGGATCTTGAGACTTAATAACAATCTGAGCCTATCCCAATTAGACAGATAGACACAAAAACATGAGAAAATAAGGCCATGTTGAAAAATACTAAAGTTAACCTTTATTTCAGCAAACGTGTTTTTTTCCTCCTGCAAAATCTTTATTCAAGGCCTAACTCATTCATTTCATCTGAGTATAGTATTATGTAATACACAAGAGGTACACCACACCCTTTCATCTGACACCAGATCACTCTTTCAGCATCCATCCTAAATCTCTGAGTCATGAGATGTACATAACAACTCTAATGCAGGACATGACATTATTGGTTTTGACCCCACAAATGTGACTAGTGAAACCACGCACATGACTCCAACTTGTCATACTGTGCTCTCAATTACAAAACGGTATGGCTTCGTTCAGCTCCATTATTGAATCACTAGCTGACTATTCTGAGTGTGGTCAGCTGATTACGTAGCAGCTTTCAGAAATAAAAAATCCAATTTTGGTTAAGACTGTCACATTGGGGAAAGAGAATTAAACTGCATGTTCCCAGTTCCATGCTGAGTGCTATCAAAATTAAAGTCACATTTAAAGATTTTGGCCCAGGTGATCTTGGCCAAATTCTTAGTCAAGGGGAAAAGGTAAGAGTTCAAGGAGTATGTTTGTAGCCAAACTGGCAATGATAGAATTGGCTGCGTATTTTTTCACACTGGATTTGAAACTGAGGTTAAAGAGCTGACTTCCAGCTTTAAGGGTGTGAAGTTGAACACCCTCAGCTTTACTTGTGTTCATATCCACAGTGTGTAAGAAGGGTAGTTGATAAAGACAGTCTTGTCAAGGTAGGCTATATGCAATTATATATCACATATATGGTAAATTCAATTGAGAAACCCTACTAAATAAGTCAAGTCAAAGATTATTATAACCCGATGTCACAAAGTATGTCTCAAGGGGCTGTACATAAAATAACCATGGTGGGTTAAAATCAAGGGGATGAGAGGCGAAACATCCTCAAGCATCTTCAACCAAGTTCAGTTGTTCTGGATTTTAACCTTCCTTGGATAACTATGACCTGGACGACTGAGCATCTTCACAGACAACAATAACAACATTACCAAAATATATACCAAAGTACAACATGACATAAAATACATGTAAAACTATATAAACAAAAATTTAAAAATATTTAAACACATATAAAAGTGAGGTAAAATACAACAATACACAATATGCACATAACTCTTATGTACATTCATACCTGGACCCAAATGAAAAAACACACAAATATATGTAACATATAGTACATATACTTAGCCATGGACATATAAGCAGGATAACTGTAGTTTAATACTAAGGCAGACTAAATGAGGTTGAAGGCTGATGAAAATACATGTGTTTAGAGTTCACTTTTGAATGAGTCATCCGAGCTAGCCTCTTGAATTTGGAAAGGAAGAGGATTCCAGAGAAGAAGAGCTTGGTAAGAGAAGGCCCTGCTGCCACCTACTGATGTTTTATTTATTTCTGGAATAGTCACGAGGATGGCATTTTGTGATCGTAAGGCCCTAACAGGTATGTGAGGAGTGACAAGAACAGGTAAGTAGGATGGTGCAAGTCCAAGTAAAATTTTATAAGTTAAAAGCAGCATCTTGATGTCAGATCTAGCAAGTGCAGGGAGCCAATGTAAAGGAGTAAGAACAGGGGTAATATGACAAAATGGTCTAGTCTTGGTGTCCTAGCAGCAGTATTTCATACAAGTCGTAATTTGCCAGTGGTTGATTTAGTCAAGCCTAAATGAGACAAATGCATAAAAGTGTGTCAGCATCAACCATGGCAAAACTAGGATGTATCCTGGCAATATTTTGCAAATGGAAATGTGCAGTGTACATTGATTCAATCCAGTACTGATATTACACAGTCCTGTGTCCTGTCCATTGGTATGCAAGATTACTCACAATGGCTTAATACACCCAGAAATATTAAAAGGACGTGTTGCTTTTATTAATTGCATTTGTCTGCCTGGTCATCAGTCTCATCTATGTTGTTTTCTGAATTTTGGTTGTGTCGATGCCTGACTGTGATTGACGTATTTGTCTCAGGTCTGTCTTACAAGACTTACAGACAAATTGAGAAGCACCGAGAAGGTAAAGAGGAAGGTCTTTAGCTTGCACCTAATCAAAATGCAGCTCTGATTCATTCAATGTTGAGCATACCAACAGTGCATGATCAGGGCGGTGATAACGTGACGTCACGCGCAGGGGCTGACCAATAGCAGCGTCTGTTTTCCAGTCTATGATTGTACAGTAAATACTATGAGATCTGCCCCCCTTTTCCCTTTGACTGCAGCGGTGAAAGCAGAGGGGTTAATCAAGCGAGAGAAGCCCGTGAATGTGCCATAAAACTGTTTGTTAGAGCTAAGACACTCTTCCTCCAGCAGTCAGTTCAGCTCGCAGCTCTCCGGTGGTTTAGTCGAAGATAAGAAGCCGTGTTAAAGGGGGAACCTGAGTAAGCTGAGCGCTACGGAGGGGTTTGTCGGCCCACTGCAGTCTGAATCACCGGAGACTCGCCCCGCCGCTGGTTCATCATCGACGTTGTTTGCCCATCGACGTGCGCATCCTCTCGGAGGCAGAAAACAAGAAGGGACGAGACCCAAGTCCGCCTTTGACCCTCTGCCACAGCCCCAAGGTGTACTGTTTGGCAGAGCATGCTAAATAATGAGCCAAAGGGACACACTGGTTCATTTGTTCGCCGGAGGGTAAGTCAGACAACGCATTTCATTTGGATGTTGTTTTTAACTTAAACAGTGTCAGCATTGAAATGTGACTCGTCGCCTGGTATATTTAGCAAGCTTAAAGGCCGTTTAGTGTGCAGCGCTTGCATTGTGCTGCAGCCCTGGCAGCTGTGTCGGCTCAGTTCCTGTCAACACTTCAAAATATGTCAATTTGTTTTATGAGATATTAACACAAATGTTACAATGAGAGTGCGTTTGCGCTAATATGTGACTTCATGGATACCAGTCGTTACAGCTTTTTTTTTTGTCGTGTCATTCTTATAAAAATCGACATCAAGATTATACGCTTTTATTTCGAAGGCAAATTCAACTTTTTTTCCGGGCTCGTTGCTGCGCTCTCTCGGTAACTTGACTGAGTTTTGCAGCAGCAGCCACATCAGTGTTATTTTCTTCAGAGATTTCGCGTTTTAAGAACCTGACAAATTAATTAGATGCATGAAACTAAATGTCAGTGGCGTGTCTAGTTGTATGCGGTGTCAACGGTGTAATTTCTTTCTGTATATTTAGTTTCTTTATTGATTGATTTACTAACAGTTGCTGAACCACAACTCCTGTTACTTAAAATTAAAGGCCATTAAGGAGTTTACACACCTTCACACGTCAAGCACTACCAGATACAGCATACAAGCAACTCTACAAACGTCCATCTAATAATATTCGTTTCCAAAAACAATTTTTGCTCTATTGCGTAACTGCCCAAACTGTCTACAATTCTAGTAACATTTGAATGTTTGTTTTTAAACCAAGGTTTGTTAACAAATAAATTAGGCCACGAAGTAAGGGTGATAAAGTATGACTGCTTCGGGTTTACCTTGCGGCCATACAATACTTGGGCCTGCTCGACAACTTGTTCATCAAAGAAAATTTAAACACAGATGTAAGATTGAACAGTTTGTTGTTGCAGTAGGTCTGTCTTGTTTTTAATCCACTGTCTTAAGTTTCTCTGCATCTTTTACCCTCACCTTCACCTCTGCACCAAACCATTGACCTTAAAATATGGTGATCCCATCACACCACATCTCGCCTGTTGCCTCTCTTATCAGGGATTATAAAATCTGGGAACAACACAAGACACATTGCTATCTTGAAAACGCAAAAATCTTATTTGCTTTCCCCAAAAACCTGAGCTGGAGGCCTCTGCACAGTGCTCCCTCCCACAGCCACTCTGAGACACACACACATAGGCAGCATAGCCCTGAAAGTAGGCCAACGGTCACTGCTGCCTGTGAGCATGAATGTGGGTCGGGCTTTTGAAAAGTAAATATAGCTGGTGATACTCAAAAGAGGTATTCACTGCCAGCAGCCAGGATGTTCGCATACACCACTCTAGGGTTACAACTAGTATTCACTTAACCCAACCTAAAGAGCATTCATATTTTTTGTCACTATGATAGTCAACAAGCACTTTCTGTCTTTGTGGTGGTTTGATTGTGAAGCTTTGTCTATACAAGTCCTATTGTGGAAAGAACCAAGCTTTTGGTGAAAGCAGAGATGGATCAATGGCCGTACTTGTGTATCATTGGGACAGAACATTACTTTGACATGATGTCTGGTTGGGCTTATAGAAATAAAGTACTAATTTACACCATATCAATGAATCAGATTATACAATGATATTTACCTGAGCTCGATGCTTTATGTTTTTTGATGAAGGTGAAATTGATTGCAATTAAAGTTGTTTTAGTTTATTTACATGTCTGACTTCAGTCAAAATAGAGGTCAAAGTTTAAGCAACATGATCACCGGTTTCTTCATTTCATTTGTAAGCAGTCATGATTTTATTTACGGTGTGTGTGTGAGAGTTCAGCAAGCCAGCCAAAACGGTCTTAATTTTCATGACACCTCATACTCACTTTCTCAGATGCCAAAAGTCCCTGTCACACTGAGCTGTGGTCAGTTTCCACTGAACTGCACTATCAAACCAATTCATATTGTCTCTGATGACAGCTGACATGTTGCAGTATCTTGTGTGTCTGTTCCTAGATAATTTGAGCTAAAAGGAATAACAGATTGTATTACTGGTGATTGGGGAAAACTGGCAAAAGAAATAAGCAAAACATAGATGTTACTTGGACCAAATCTAATAATAACAATACTACATTGCTTTTGAAGATACTCAGATGCTTCACATGACAGATTGAATGAGTAAAAAAGAACCTAAAACCAAAAAAGTTATTTCTTTGATTTTAAATATTTTGACACACATATCGCCTTTACAAATATTGTGTCTCCTGCTATTTGAAAATTGCAGCAGGCAGTGTTGCAGTTTCGATAAGATTTCAATTAATTGTTTAGCCCTAGTACCAGCACCTCTGGAGAATCTCTTGTAAGAAGTTCCATGTTGAGGGTGCACAATATGAAAAGGAAGTTTTGTTTCTTCACACTTTCATCCTGAACCCTTTCACTACTTCCTTCTAGATGTGGTGGCACAGTGGGCGCTATTTTGACTTGTCCTCTGGAGGTTGTGAAGACCAGACTGCAGTCCTCTTCCATCACTCTCTACATCTCTGAAGTCCAGCTCAGCACTGTCAACGGAGCCGGTGTGGCCCGCGTCGCTCCACCAGGGCCTCTGCACTGTCTCAAGTAAGGAGAATGGCACAAAATGTTAACTGTACTAATTTTACTTTATTAGGAATAATTTCATAAGTTTAACTACAGCATAGCAAATCTTTAGATTTAGATTTGTGACAAAATACAGTATATTAAATTGTCAACATTGTTATTTGGATATTGTGTGGGATTTTGTAATATTGTAAAATAACTTCTGTGTTGTCTTTTTCTGAGTGATAGCTTAGTTAGTTAGTTAAATTAGACCTAAGGCAGCCTAAATACATACAATGTTATAGCAAGATGTAAATAGTGGCAAATAAAAGCAAATCTGCAGTGCAAATTCAGGCAAAGACACAATTGACCAAGTTGAATGTGTCAGCCTATGAGAAAATTTGCAGTTATCCTGAATTGCATTACACGCACAATGGATGTGCAATGACAGGAGGAAAAGGAAGAAAGTCTGAAAGGTACAAATGAAATTCCTTATTTTGTAATCAGTGTGTAAGAGTTGTGACACACACACACAACGTTTGTTGTCACAGCAAACGTTCTTGTAAGTTAGTGAACATGTCCGCTGTCCGCTGTTTATGACCAAAAGACACAGACTATGGTACTCAAAAAGGGAATCTACAGTAATAATGAAAAAGCTCCGACAATGGATTTAGGCTGTTGCATACCCATTCTCTAAAATGGGTATTTATCCTATTGCCCAACCTATTTGGTGCTAAACGTTTGTCAAGTCGGTCAACATGCTGCTACGAAATGGGAAAATTGTTTGCAAAGATGTTTAACCTGTTCTGGGGGGAATGTTTCATGTCTTTTTGGATTGCTGGTCAATTTCTTTTTTAGCTAAATACTTGTTTAATTGTTAAAGAGCAGTATCTACAACCAAGACAAGTGAGCAATGCAGCACATTCAAAGTCCAGCCTAAAGTATAGTCTATTAGTGGCTGTTTATTATTTGGCTGTTTCAGGTACTTTCTCTAACCAACTATTGGGAAACCAATAGAAATCCACACTTAATAGTTCCTTTTGCAATACAATATGTCATTCCTCTTCTCATTAGACATTGTAAAGTTACCAGAAAGATGGGAAGTGAGAGTGTAGGGGAATCCAACATTGGTTAGGTGTTTATTTGGAACCTACTGAAAGCCAGTGGCTGCATAGTCATAATTGTTAAAGTAAATATTCAATGTGGCCACAGTGCTCTAGTGGCAACCCATTTCCAGAACTGTCACAGAGCATGTCACACAGCAGTGTTAAAGGTGGGGTAAGGGGTTCTTAATCCAATAGGTATTTTTGTCAAATTTAGCTAGTGGACCGTGAGGAGCACGGCTAGCTGTCCGTTCTGTGTGTGCGCTGAAAGCAATTTGTTTGTACATAGTCCTGGCTCTGTAAATGGGTTACAAACAAAGTGGCCCGCATGCTGCCACACAACACTATTTCAGCCGTTCCAGCCATGATTTGTGTGTCGGGAAACAAATGACTTGCCACAGACATTCAGCTTACTTTCCAGTTTACCGAGACATACTGTTGTTGTGATTTTAGCTATAGCTGCAGTACAGCTGTGAGTATCGCTGCCTGGAGCTGGTGTGCTGTCCCTGGGACAATCCTGTCCACTCTGCATGTTAGCTTCAGAGCAGTGACTGTATCGACAGTATGCTAAACCCACAACCTAGTTAATGTTAGCTCCATTACTTGCTGGGTAGGTGTTCGCTCTATCGTGGTATTTGTCTTGGTGTTGGAATTCTTGCGCAGTTCAGTAGAGATCCTTATTTCCTCCAAGGTGGCTAACTCTTCTTACAGTTGTTTGGCTACAGAATGGATTTGTTCTCACTGACTGTTGCAATATTTGGGAATGTTTTCTTTGTCAGTTTGCCTGCAATAACAAGGTTTTGTTAACAATGCTTTATTCAGATATTCTGTTTAATAACATTGTGTCAATGCCCTCTTTTTTTGCAAATGTTAATAGGGGCAAATGTTAATGAGGTATTGTTTGGGCTATTAGACAGTGGTCTGGTGGCAACATAAACCAAATCTTTTGTGGTCCTTGAGATAAACAGCCACTATCAGAAACTGTACCATACAGAGTGGAGCAGGGCACAAGAGTGAAGAGCAGTATGGCAAGGAAAGAAAATACACAAGTCAAAGTGGGTCAATATGCAGGCAGTGCAGACATTGTTTGAATTTAGAGTATGTAAACTAATACTTTAAGTTTTTTGACTGCTCTGTATGTGTTATATAAGTTTAGGCAATTACTCTGTAAGTTTTACTTCTTAAAGAGATGCCATATACTGTAAATATTTTCTGTGTTGGAGTATTTAGTTAGCAGCAGAAGTTGGCAAACTGTCACAGCCAGGGAAGAAAGGCACCGCCCACAAACCCACAAACTGACAAAACAATATTGCTACATAGCTGCTCCAGAAAAGATTGGGACTATATCTTGGACAGCTCAAGTCTAGCTTTTATTGTAAGAATTTAATCTATCCCAAAGGACCAGTTTATTATTTGGCCCAATGACAGTTTTCTTGTCTTTGGTGTCTCTTATTTCTTTCCAGGGTGACTCCATGCTTTGAATGTACTTTGTGTCACAATGAAAACTGGGTTAGATAGAACAGTTGAACAATCTTTGAACTCCGGTCACAACAGAAAATGAACATGTGAGCCATTTTACAACACTATAAAGGCTCACGTGTTCACCACCAGGTCCTGGCAGATTGCCCAAAAAGTATATTTTATTGGTCCATCTGCATAGGGCACCCACATTGGAAATAAATAAATAAATTTAGCTACAAACAGAGATGTTGTGACAAATGAAATACATTCTCTATGCTTTGATCTCTGCAATTTGGTGGATTTCCTTTCTGTTTCATGGTGCCTCATAAACATCAATGTGAAAATATTTGCTCTGTATTTTTTGTCAGCATGTAAGGGATTTTTTACGTGTGTGTGTGTGTGTGTGTGTGTGTGTGTCTGTGTGTCTAGAGAATGGATTTTAATTGCTGAACATTAAAGGAATAGTTTGACATTTTGGGAGATAGCTACTGGCGCTAGTTTCATATTCAGAGCACAGACATCAGTGGTATCAGCATATTACATGGATGTTAAATGTAATCCTGCTCTGTATTTTGATGGAATAACCAAGATGAATTGAAATCTAAATCCCTCTCTGCAGGTTAATTCTAGAGAGAGAGGGACCTCGGTCACTGTTCAGGGGACTGGGACCGAATCTTGTGGGTGTGGCACCTTCCAGGTATGTATCATATTACCTACAGTATTCTGGGTGTGCTGCGTGTCTTTTCCTGCCTACTTTAACCTTTATTATCTCTTAACAAATACCATAAACGTGAACAGAATGAAGCCAAGAGGGAAAAAAAGACTTATACTTGCATATCTGAACGCCCAACACGTTAGTACACCCTGGACAGGTCGCCAGTCTATCACAGGGCCACACATAGATGAACAACCACTCACGCTCACACCTAAGGACAATTTAGGGTAACCAATCAACCTAGCCTGCATGTTTTTGGGAGGTGGGAGGAAGCCGGAGCACCCGGAGAGAACCCACGCAGACACGGGGAGAACATAGAGTAGGTCACCATAATCTCTAAAGAAACCTTCAGAAGGAACCAAAGTTGTCAGTACTAGCACAGCCTAATATCAGAGAGTAAAGGAATTCCTGTGTCATTTACTTCTCTTATTACATCAAACCTAGGCACATATTTTTGTTGAGGAATGTCTTTGCTAGACCTTCTTTGTTTTTTTTTTTACTCAAGCTTCCTGCTCACTCAGAGCTTATGTTGGCAGCAATAATAGCAGACCACAAATAAGGAAATGAATGGCGTTAAAGTCACAGAAATGCAGTAAAAATCTGTGCTTTAAACCCTACAGGAATTGAGCAGGTTCCCCCTCTCTTAGCTTGGCTGGTCAGGGTTGCATAACAGCCAGATCTCAGCGGGCTCTGGCCAGCTGTCACACTCTCATCATGTGACTGCTGTTTATTATCAAAATTGAGTTCCTATATTGAGTTTGTGTCTAATCCCCCCCTGCCTGACCTGTCTCGCTAGCTACTGCTGTATTACATGGCCGTTGTCATCCTCCTCCCCGTTGGTGCATTATGGTCTCTGTCTATCTATCTGAGTCATCCTTTCCATACTATTATCCTCTGTCCCACTCGCTCCCGCCATGTTTGTCATTCTTCTTCTATATTCATTCAGACTTGTTCTGTCCTCTGCGTCCGTTCACTGCCTTTGCTGTCTCGCTCTGTCTGGCTCAGTCTCTCTGAGGGGCGAGGTGTGTGTGTGTGTGTGTTCGTGTGTGTGTGTGTGTGTGTGTGTGTGTGCTCGTGTGTGTGTGTGTGTGCTCGTGTGCTCCGTCCATCCCGTGGGCTAGTTGTCCAGCTGTAGAAATGACAGCTATAGCAAACTCTGCTATAGGAAGAAATTGTTACATAAGAACTGAGCCTGATGAACTCATTGACCACATATGAGCTTTCTTGTGTCTCTCCATGTCCTGTTAAAGTGTGCATTCCTGTGTGTTTTATGGTCTGTTATTGCTTGTGTTTTATTGTTTGATTTAGGTTTTACAATGTTGTTGCTTATGCTTTGTTGTTTTTGATAGTGTTATTTTTAATATTTTACTCCTGTAAAGCACTGTGTGACCTTGATCTGTGAAAGGTGCTATATTAAATAAACTTAACTTACTGCCTTACTTAGATTTAGATAGGCTGTCTTATGGTCACATATGTAATGAGTATTTAGTACCCGATTGTATCATTTCACTGAAGCTGTATAGCACTTTTTTTTTTGGCTCTGCTGCCACATCAAATGGAAAATTTCAAAACTTTTTTTATGATTGTATTCAGATTAAATTTTAATTCACAATGGTTTATTTGGTATCTGTGGAAACCTAAGGATCTTAAATAGAATTTAAAATACATTTTGAAGGGCATGACATTTAGACATTTTCATATTGTTTACCAGCAGCATGGCAGCCATGTTTTTTATGTCACTGGTGTGTTTCAAGTACATACCAAATTGCACATATCATGTGAATTAGACAGGGTAAAGCTTTTTGATTAAAACTGACTTTTTGATTGGGTACTCTTGAGCTACACTTTAAAATCTTCACTTATGTTTCAGAGCCACCGCATTTTTCGGTTCAAATACGAGCAGTAAAATCTCTAAATAAATAATGACTCAGTTACTGTGGACTTTATTACAGTGGAAGATTCCAGTTAAAGAGAGATGGCACATTTCCACTCCTTTTAATCACAGTCTAATTTAGGTAAAGTTCATCTTCTAATGAAATATAAGTTATGTAAATAAAATATGTATTACTATTTATCTACAAGTGGGGTCTGGGTTGGCTTCTGAGTTTCTCTTCTGTTATAAATAGGAAACAGCACTCTGACGCTGGAAAGCTAAAAGAAATGTTCTGATGCTAATGAGAGCGTGGTCCTCTGGGTATGCTGCTGGCGTTCATTAGAACAGCTTACACCAGCAACATCACTCATTATTTGTGAGAGATGCACATACAACATTCAGACCAACTCACATAAATCATTCCTTGTGCATGCATGTTCTCTCAATTCAGAAGGGCAGGGAGGGGGAGGTCCACTGGTCTAATTCTACTGAGTTGAAATGTTGACTGAATCCTGTGATTTTTATTTAGTGAGGAGCTGCTAGACTCATGGGAGTTAATCTGCTACTTAAGCATGCTATGAGATTGAGATGCACACACTTGCATGCGTGCATGCACACACAGGCGCAGATAAACTTTTTTCAGTGGCTTGCTTTTAGACTGCATATTAGATTATTTTAGCTTAGCTCTATTACATGCCATCATGGACAATTTAGGCAGTGTTTTATTTCGTGCAATTGAAATAATGTTTTCATATTTAACGTAATGCCATTCATTTTATAAATCATGCAATTTTGCAATTTGTCGGTCTCTTACTTAACTCTGTGGTTCCAGTTAGTGATATGTAGCTGCAAATGTGTCATTTTGATCAGGGGTGCCTCTGTTAGGACTGCAGAAGTAGTAGTTAATCTTCCGTCTTAAGCAGTGTTTGTAATATTTAGACCTCTGTCTTATTTTTCTTTGCCACAGGGCAATCTACTTTGCGGCCTATTCAACAGCTAAGGAGAAGCTGAATGGGGTGCTGGAGCCAGACTCTACCCAGGTGCACATGGTGTCAGCTGGGATGGCAGGTAATGATGGCTCCTTCTCCCCCTCCCTTCTGTCTGTTTGTCCTTGTCTGTCGCTCAGTGTTATATTTGCCCGTTTGTCTGTCTGTTAGTCTGCCTGGGTAGTGTACATCACTGATGGAATTTATAAAAAAAAAAAACATGTTAAAGAATTATTCAGTTTGTCTTCATCAGAAAGATTTTTTTCCTTTTATCTTCTCATCTTTTTTTTTAAATCACAGTTTGAAGTATCCCAGAGTTTCACTTCACCCTCCCCTCCCCCCATTCAATATACGTGTGTGGGATGGTGGGATCTTTACAAATTCAAATGCTTGTGAATACCTAAAGCATGCTAAAGCTAACCAATTATAACTGTTATAAGTAGGTATTGCATAGCTGTTTCATGTATAGAAATATTAAATTTAAACAATAGTGGATTTACCCGAAAGCACAATTTGAGACTCTCAGGATCAAACTGACCTTGACCTTGATTGTGGTGAAAACAGCCTCACTTTATTCACTGTGAAACCAAACCATGAAAGATACATTTATCCATGTTGTAAACAATGTACTTGCTATTATCAAATGATTTCAAAGTAAATAGTTAATCTCCCATCTGGAATTTCAGGGGGACAAAGCACCTTGAAACTATGCCAGTCACATAGTTTACTATTTACTTACTTTTTTCTGAACATTTACTTTCTGTAAATGCACAGTATCTTGTCCCTTCATGGTAGCCCATGTACAGTTGATAAGATAAGTCCTTATATCAGGACTAAAACTATCTGCACTAAAACCAAAGGAGACACAGCACCCATGCATTTTCAGGCTATAATGTGCCACTGCTGGCATTTATACCATGCCTGTGCTGTATATGTTTTTATCTGTTTGACAAAAAGAAGAAAACCACATGGTCCTCAAAGTTTAGGTTGTGCTTTCCTCCTCTCCGAGCCCCTTTGTCCCCCATGTCTTCCATTATTATTTTTTTCCTTCCTAGCCTCTTTTTCCTCTTTTTATTCTTTCATTTTGAGGCCTCTCCAGAGGAATTTGTAAATGGTTTAACATCCCAGTTGTTACTTAAACAGTGTGGTCTGGGCCCCCTTCTTTGCTCTGTGTGTATAGAGGAGAGAGCACGGCCCCCAAAGGTCTACCGGGGCCCCTGGCACTTGGGCGGACACGTCAGGTAGCACTCCATTTCTTTACACTGGTATGATGAAAACCATGGTGATTTTTATGAATATTAGAAAGTTCATAATGGTTATTCATTTGTAATGATATTACCATCGCTTATGGCAAAGCGTTTGCTTCTGGTTTGTAGTTTAGGTTTAAGGTTTTGTTACTGCTTAGTCTTGAAACGCACCTACTTCCCCTTAGCCTGTTGTCTTGTTCCATCAACATAGTAAAGGTAAAGGAATGACACGTACTTCTGTGGATTTTATGTTGTCAGCACAAAAGAAATGCTAACCTTGTCACTGCTACGGGAGGATGAAATCAATTTGCTCCATTTTGTCCTTTGTCATCGTCCATCAACACCATTAGTGCCTCAGTCATTTCTTTTCAAGGAGAATCTATATCAATCCATCATCCAAAATGCTGACACTATTTCGGCATGACTTCCTCTTTTCAAATGAGTTGAATTTCCAGAAGAGAATTAGCCCTGACTGTTTAACACAGGTAATACTTGAATGTGGGCAAGATGCAGTGATGGCACACACATGGAATCGGTTGAACTTTAACACTACGTATAAAAAAAAGTCAGTGAGCTGTTAGTAAGCCATCTTTTTTTTTTTTTTTACATGTTGCAGACATTTCTTCATCAGCATGGCAGCATTCATTTATCTATTGTACCATGAATGAAATGCAGCACAAATATCACACTGTCACTGGACAAATAAACATTTTGTCTCATTGTTTCAAATGCAATTCTTGCATATTCAAGCTTATCAGCACTGAGAAATAACAGAGTTAAAGAAAGCCTTAGTAACTGAACAGCTACATGTTACCCCTAAGCCTGGGTAATTGCTTCCAGTTTTGTAAAGTAGGTTTGTGGAGTCACTGCCTCTCATGGCCTCTCTTCTGTGAATTGTGGTCTTGTTGCATTCTGGGAAGGGAGGTGAGTCCCACTACTTCACTAAGATTTATTTTCCCCTCAAGTAGTTAATGTAAAGCATGTTTGCCTTCTCTGAATGTAGGTCAACGTCCTCAGGAGAAATTGCACAGGGATTATGTGTCTATAAAAGGATCATAATGCACAACATGCAGCAGCATGCCCATATGCAGATGCAGCTCTTATGAAGCTCAGGACTAGTTCAAGGACTAGTTAGACTGTATGTATCTAAATTACCAAGCAGGCGAGTGTGGTTCACTTCCATTACTGGACATATTTCTTACAAGTTACTTTTGTCATGGAATTTTTTGAAACATTTACATTGAGACCTTTTTATAAATGCATTATAAGTTGTATAAAAGGAGAAAATGGTAATGCATCTTAAAGTTATTAATTACAATAATATGTTTAATCATAATCATGTTTATTAGGCTGACCCATGTTATAAATAAGGAGCATGTTGTATTTTGACAAAAGGAGAAAAATAAAAAATTAATTATAATCTGTTAATTTCACAGTATATATTGACACTTTCAGTAACTGTAGGAACAGTAAAAAAAAAAAAAAAAAAAGAGTAGTTTTTCAGACATTTCCAGTGTCCTTTTGTATGACATTGAAGAGGGCTTGTCCCATAACTCCTTCAGGAGTTTTTTGACGTGTTATTGTGGAAACAGGCTGCCTCTCTGGAGACACATTCTTCTCCACATTGTAATGTTATTTTTGAATTTATCCCAGTTTTTTCAGAATCCAGTTTGGACAAGAGAATCATTTGGGGCTGGCTGAGTTGCATTCATTGTTCCTGCTCATTGATTTTGTTCACTATGATCAGTCACTTCATCCTTATGTCATCACAAAATGGTTTCCTCACTCTTTTCATCGTCATTGTCCACCACTTAGAGTCTGTTATATGCAACGAGACAAGGTTAGCATTTCCACCTGCCTCTCTTTATTTTCTACCATAACTCAATAAGCATTTGATTTGTTTCTTTTGCTAATATTTAGATTATAAACTGATGATGGCACAATAATTATGAAGAATACTCCTTCAGTTTTATTTTCTCCTTTGTATTTTTCCTTGTGTTTAATCTCACTGTGGTGAGATGGAGCTGCAGTTTTGGATTGGGTTGGTTTCTGTTCAGTCAACATTTTCTTTATTCCAGATGATAAAAGGAGTAAAGGGGGGGGATACGGGGAGGGAGTGAAAGTAAAACAATTTAAGAGTAACACATAAGAGTAAATTAATGGGGATGGGGTTTAGATTTTGGGGAAAGATGGGGGGAGGTCAGTCCTTCACCCAACTCTTCTCCAACTACCTGTACGGCACCAGTGGGTTGGGATGGGTGGTTGATGGGGTTGGGGGTGGATGTGACTGCTGCTTGTGTGTGACTGTGGTACAGAAAAGCCTGTGTCTATTTTAGGGCTTTACTGTAAAGCTTTCACCCCTGCGTGATTGGGTGGGAGACCCCCGCCATCTGAGCCCCCCATATCTGCAGGCTACTAGCTGCAGCGGGGAGGAGCTGGAGGAGCTTTGCCCCTCCCTCGTGAGTACACGCCATAGACGCTACTTCCTTCTACTTCCCTCTTTTTTTCTTCCTCCTCTTTTCGTTCTCTTCTTCTCTTCGACAGACCTGTGTCATCCTCTCTTCTTCACGCAGTTGCCTTAATGTAGGGCTGTGTTGCATTGATACACTAGATGCACCTCAGGTCTCTTTATAGACTTGCCCTCGTCTTAGTTGTTTTTCTGCAAATGGCCATGTTGCATTCCTCTCTGTTACCTCATTTGCATCAGAAACTTTAAGAGACACTTTGTGTCGTTTCATAATGATACAAAGTGCTCTTTAATTAGCTTTACGTCATATATATCCAACTTTACATTACTGTATATTGCCTAGTGTTCCTACTTAAACAAAAGCACAATGTCTGTTCAATACATCATCCCCTGTAAATAACTCAAACAAGCACATGCACAACACTCACATCTGCTTAATATGTTCTGTGCACCAGTGCATTTTTGATGCATTTTCAGGGATCCCATTGTTGAGTGGCCCCATTTTCAAACTAAGCTAACATTAAGATTGGCTGTGAAGGCAGATGGACATAAAGAACAAGGTTGCCCGTCTCTATTAGGAAGAAAAGTCTGCACTAAATGTCACGCCAGAGACTTTCCCCTTTATTCTTCCAGACACCATTTTGTTCCTCTGTGCTGTTGTAGTTCTGCTCTTAGGGCAAGCCTATCTTTAGGGTCTAACCGGTTTGTTAAATGTCATAGAATAAACATAAAGACTTTCATTCATTGACTAATAAGAGGCATATTCATATTGCTGAACCAACAATGAGAGACGATTTAGAGCAATGTCAAAACTAAGAATCAAAGCCACTGTGCTGTGACTTAAAGTTGCTGAATGGCAGATTTGCTTAGTTATATGTATATTACAAAGCACATTGAAAGTGTAATAATAGTGTAACCGTCTTTGTAAGCTCTTTAAGATGAGCTTCCATTAGCATTTCAAAAAATGAAAGACTCAAAGTTTTTACAACAATCTGACACACTCAAAGGCCTAAAATGAAGATGCTGCTTGGCATTATTTTCCAGTGTTTGAGTTAAATTACTTATTAAGATGATAGATGAAAATAAAAAAGCACTCACAGCTGCTGCCTTTATGCACTGTTGTTCATTAAGATACTTCAGGAAGAGAGCTGTTGTTTACATACACCTGTAGCATTTCACATGAAGAGGATCAATATGTCAATATGGAAAAGCATTCATTTTTGTGTGCAACTCATTTATTGATTTTTCAAAAAAATAAATTCATACAGACATGGTCTCAAATCATGTATACAATAATTCTCTGTAATACTATTCAACTAGCTCATAGTAAAGTAAAACACTGAAGTGAGTTGATCCTGTTTAGTGAAGTGCTTTCTCACTGTCCTTATATGTTATAGAATTTTCATTATAGTTGATTAGATTGTGTTCTTCCAAAAAAATGCATCTGTCTGAACCTCTGACCTCTTCTGAATTTCCTAGGGTTCACCGCCATCACAGTCACCAATCCCATCTGGCTGATCAAGACCCGTCTGCAGCTGGAAACCAGGTAAGGAACCTCAAATCTTCATGTGTCATACGTCTAGAGGCTACAGTGGAATGGGTTAAATGACATGTTCATTTCCCAGTAGTAGTAATAATAATAATAATAATAATAATAATAATAATAATGAGAATAAAATTATTTTGTAATTGGACTGATTACAGAAACCGGGGTGAGCGGCGAATGAATGCGTTTGAGTGCGTGCGGCGGGTGTACCAGATGGACGGCCTGCGAGGTTTCTACAGGGGCATGTCGGCCTCATACGCTGGCATCTCTGAGACTGTTATCCATTTTGTCATCTATGAGAGCATCAAACGCAAACTGCAGGAGTCCAAGGCCCAGTCCAGCATGGACGAAGAGGAGGAGTCTGTCAAAGATGCCTCAGACTTTGTGGGCATGATGCTCGCAGCAGCCACCTCCAAGACCTGTGCCACCTCCATCGCCTACCCTCATGGTAACTTTCTGTCTCACTCACCTTAGTTTTATTCAAAGATGAGGCTAATGATATTCCATATTTTTCTTATCAAAAAATCCCATGAAAAGACCAAAACCAACAATGTGTTAGTCCGTCTCTCAGTATGTGACTTTCCCAGCCTGTCAGTGGTACTTAAGTCTATGCTAGCTCACCTTAGCATAGACTAAAGACCGGAAACAGAGGGTACCTACCTGAATTGTTAAAGCTATTCTGTGAACACGTTTTTAGTTTTATAGGGAGAAAGCTTTGAGACATGTTGCATTTTCAGTGAGGCAGTGACTCACTTTTTCTTATAGGAAGATTAGGAAAATCTCATGGTTGTGTTTTTTGTATTTGCAGTGTGTTTCTGTATTCTGCGCATTGAGCTCTCAGGGCCAGTGTATTTAACAGAATTTTCTTCCTCTTCTCTCAAATTGCAGAGGTGATCCGCACACGGCTACGAGAGGAAGGCAGCAAGTATCGCTCTTTCTTCCAAACTCTGGTGACAGTACCCAGGGAGGAGGGATACCGGGCGCTGTACCGCGGCCTAACAACCCACCTAGTCAGACAGATCCCTAACACCGCCATCATGATGTGCACCTATGAAGTGGTGGTCTACCTGCTTGGCTGTTAGCCCGTCGGGTATGTCTCCTACTTGTTAAAGAGAGAGACAGTTAGCAAATGACTGAGAATCTGGTCTTTTGGTGAGGAAGAGTGAGAACAAAATGTCCGATTTGAAGACCAAAGGAAAAGCAAAGGTACTGTACTGGCCCAGAAGAGGACAAATGAACAAAAAATGAAGAAATAGGAAGAGTAAAGCCCTTTACCATATCAGCATCATCACCTCCAGTTCCCAATATCAGACTGCTGGAACAGATAGAGGACACTACAGTTCACAGAAGAGGTAATATGGGTAGAACGAGAAAGGAGCCACAGACAGGAAAGGCACCTGTTAAACTAAGGTACCTCTGAAGGAAAAGATTTTAAGCACAATTCAGTGGCCTTAACACAAAAGGGTTTTAGTTTGCATCCTTCTTTTCAAGTGAAGAGTGAAATGATGCCTTTTTCACTCTTGGATAGAGATGATCTTGTGAAAGGGGAATGCTTGGAGGCAACTAATTTGATTAGAAATGTAGGTCAATTTTAATAATCCAAGAATCTCTACTTGAAACTATTTGTAGTAGTCTGCACTTGCTTCAGTGCTGTGAGGCTACTGTATGATTAGAAAACTGGTAGTTAAGGAATGTTCAGATCATGTCAGAAGGAAGTTGTCATTTAAAACAAAGAGCGGTCTGTTTAAAAAATCACTTGACTCACCCATCTTTGCACTACAGAAAGCGTGGCTTCAAGCATTCCCCTCTGAACATGGCAGTCGACCCCCCTTGAAGGCCTGAAGGTCATAGCAGTGAGTTAACTGGCCAAACACAATGCCGAGCATGTGATGGCCTGTCACTCAAACACATGCCTCAAAAACTAGCCTGTGTTTTAAAAAGAGTGGGTTGAAAAGCCGACTTTCATTCAGCGTTTTATTCCTGGCTAATCAGTGCCTGGTGGTGACATGCTTTGGCTGAAGTTGGCCTTTAGTGTTGACAGTTTCTTTTTTGTTAAAACTGAAATGAGATTGGTATAGAAGGCCAGCTTCCGCCTGCACCCAATCACTGCTTAGACTACGTATCTACTATTTGGAGTGCCACTACTTGAATATAATGTGACGGTGTGGGAGAATGTTGAAGGAGTTTCATCATCACACCATAATCTCTGTGATCTCTGAACATGTTGGTCACGTTCAGTAAAATGATTGAACTATGTTCAAGAATGTGAATGTGTGTTTGTGCGTCTGCAGTCATGTGTGCCTGCATGTGTAATTAATATATACTCCACATTTCCCTACACTAACTATTGATCTTACAAGACACTACCGTTGGGAGTGTGGAAAAGCTCCCGTGCGATACTGTCTGCTTTCATTCCCACTCTCATGCCAGTCCTTTCATCCAGTGGCTTCCAACTGACCTGATAACATGCACTTTTGTGGCCTTTTATGGCTTGTGCTTTGCATTTTATTGTGTGGACAGTTTGTATATTGTAAAAGGAAAAAAAAAATATTATTGTATATCAAAATGGTATTTTGCGCAACTGTTCTTATAGCAGATACTGTATATTGTACAGTTTAGAGTTTTCAGTAGTTGTGAAAAATGTCCAAATGTGTGTATATAATATAGACTGTAAATGCATATCATCTCTTGTTTTTTTTTTTTCTGAGGCCCATGTGTTGATCATGCTGTAGTTTGCATTTGCAAATAATTTTTGTGCAATTTAACCTTGTTTTTACATAAACTGTTGACATGAATATTGATATTGAACATCTGTACTTGCGTAAAAGCTGACAAATGCTGCAGGACAAATAACTTTCATACAAACATTTGTGCTAGTGCGTCGGTTAGTCATTTCACAGCGTTCATCAAAAGTGTTCCATTTTGTAAAGTTTGAATGTTTCGGTCATTTGTAATGTTTACATTGTTCCTTACTTTCTGTGAGATTAATTTTGGTTCTCCTAGCAACATGTTTTGAATATCAATATCTAACTGAGAGTTCATGAGCTGGAATGAGTAGTGCGTACCACAGCGAGTTGGGACTGTTGAAAAGCTGAATTTGAGAGATCCAGAAATTGAAGAGACAGTAAATGTTCTCGTTTAAGCAATCCATTCAAAAAGTTATTTTCATACATAAGGAAATGTTATCCAAGGACCTTATCAAAATTTCCTATAAATACTTTTATATTGTTAATTATCAAAACATGACTTTTTAAACTTCTGTTGAGCAGAGATAAGCCTCTCTACACCTCTTCTATGACCTAGTCGCTGTGGTCTCAGTTCACAATAGTTTCAAATGGAAATGATAAAGTCTGCACATTTCCCTTTTTTTTTTTTTCTCTCTTTTCTTTTTTTAAAGTAATGTGTTCAACCAAGGCCCGTGTTGTAACTTGTGATAGTTATTGATTTTCTCCATTGACATGTTGCTAGCCCATAGTTGCTGTCGGTGCTTGAAAGAAATATGCTGACCCATTTTAACGTCCAAGTTTTCTTGCAAAACACTAATAACATATGTCTTGTCCTCCATTGTAGTAATACTTGAGGTCAAATTACCAAAATGTGACACGAACACACAACTGGACAAGCAGTGCAAATAATTCATTTTATTTTTTACCTCTCATTTCAGTTTCTGTAATTCAAATTCACTTTGTATTACCTGTATGCTTGGACAAGATAGAGCTTCAAGCAGGGTTGAATGAACATTGTGTTGTTTTTTTTTTTGTTGTTTTTTGCCAGCTCAATTGTTGATGTGTTTTTTTTCTTATTTGTTTTTTAAACACAAAATAAACAAAAATCCACTTGCAACTAAAACAAATAGCTTTTTCCTCTCTCTTCATCTCTTTATTTCTTTATGTATCTTGTTGTAAAGGTATTTGCAGTTTGTCGCACAGAGGTAAATAGACAACGGTCTTGTTTGGAAAAATGTAAATATTTGATTGATATACTGTATATAATAACTATAGGCTCTTTTCAGTGGACATATTAGAAAGCGTAAAATCTTTGAAAGTTTGAATGAAGAAACTAAAAAATGTTCTCTAGTTTCCATTCTTTCTAAGATATTGTTTGTGTGCCAAAGATGGTCAATATAAATAGTAAAATAGATGTGTGTATGTGTGTACATGTAGTATATACTATATGTGTGTATATACACTCAGCAAAAAAAGAAACTTACTCTCACTGACAAGTGCTTTTATTTTCAGCAAACTTAACGTGTTTATAATTGTATGATCATAAAAAGATTTAACAATTTTTATGAAGTTCACTGACTCATGCTGTACCTAAATCACATCACAACAACTAAGACACAAACTGTGAAGTTTCACAGACAGGTGAGTAACAGAAATGGAAAAATGTGTCCCTGAACAAAAGGGGGCTCAAAATCAAAAGTAACAATCAGTATCTGGTGTGGCCCTATGGTTCTGTGCAGGTGTTGTCACATGTGGTCTGCAACTGTGAGAACCATCAGCTGTCCTTCCTGTCTCCCTGTAGTGCCTTCTTAGGCATCTCACAGTACAGACATTGCATTTTATTGTTCTGGCAACATCGGCAATACTAATGCCTCCTTGCAGCATTCCTAAGGCACGCTCACGCAGACCAGCATGGACCCTGGGCATCTTTCTTTTGGTGTATTTTAGAGTAAGTGGAAAGGTCTCTTTACTGTTCTAAGTTTTTAGAACTGTGACCTTAATTATATAATACTGTATGTGCGCTAATAGTGTCTCAACAATTATTCCACAAGTACATGTTCAGTGAACAAGCATGAAAAACATTGTTTACACCCTTTACAATCCAGATCTGTAAAGTTATTTGTTTTTTTTCTTTTGTTATCTTTAAAATATAGGCTAATGTCCTAAAAAAAAAAAAAAGGGACGTTTCTTTTTTCGGTAAGTTTACATACATATTAAAATAAAAATAGGGGGGGGGGGAATAGCACAATACCGTTTTTATTTAAGAAATTACAAGCCATGAAAAAAACATTCATCCATCCATCGTCAACCGCTTATCCTGCGTACAGGGTCGCGGGGGGCTGGAGCCAATCCCAGCTGACATTGGTACACCCTGAACAGGTCGCCAGTCCATCGCAGGGCCTGAAAAAAACATGTTACAGAAATGGAGGTATGAACACAACGAACGGGAAAAAGTCCACGAACTGTTTGTATTTACCCAGTAGCACCGCCTGGAGGAGCCAAATAGCTCCTGACAGAATTGACCAGTGCACAAGTTCAATTTACCGAATTCACTTACTGGTTAGGCTTTTCGTCTCCCTAAATTGCTATTAGAAATGTCAAAATGTTAAGGTTTTTTTAATTTAAAACAATTAAACAAGTCGGTGTCAAAAAGCGATCTCTATCGGTACACAGGCGCACAGGAACACACAGAATCACACTTTGTGCACATCTTCATGATCATTTTCATGCTCAAACATTAGAGGCCAATAAAGGCATCTGTTTCTATTAAGTTCTCTCTCGTGTGTAATACCTACAGCAGAATTAATCAATAAATGTGGGTAGATGGAAATTGGTATAATCCATCATGATACATCGTGGTTGGACTCAGTGACTGATGTAAAAATAATGGCCATAAGACAGTATTGATTCTGCAGTGCAGCTGTTAGGGTTGTTCGCCACAAACGAGGCATGCACTGTCACAATTACAAGACGATGCAAATAAATCAGCACTACTCTGTTTTACTTTATAAAATAGCCTGAATTTCAGATATTACAGCAGACCAGTCCATTGATCTTGTGGTTGTATCTGAATTGACTTCCTCTTAACAGCCTGCTGATTTGTTTAGTGAAAAAGATTTTTTTGGAAACACAACCTGAAATGTACACAAGAACAGAGAAATAAAGCGTGGAGTAATGATACCTTCAAGTGCTGTTGGGATCATTGGGATAGTAATAACTATGAAATGTTTTTTTTCTGAAGATGTGCCTCATGCTGAACATATTAATTGAAATAGTGGAAATATTGAAAGATGTTGAATTGGCAGTTGAAAAAAACAGTTTCTGAAAAAAGTTAAAGTTTCAACATAAGCATTGAAGTGTCCAAATGTGTTGAATATTTTGTTGAAATTCAAGCACAGAAAGGACATGAAATAGGCAAAGTGATATATTGAGCTAGGTCAGTGATAGTTCACCACCAAAAGTAGATCAACTCTCAGTTAAGGAATAAGAACGGAAGCAATGAAACCGTCTGTTGACGTGTCAGTAATGAAAATCAATAATCAACCAATCTGATATGACCAGAAGGATAATAACATGACATAATAACACAGGGAATATGAAAACACATATGCAATAGTTTACATTTCTTGGAAAGCAAAAGCATAAAATGAATACAGAAAATCATAAAATAGATGATCACAACATGTCCTTCAAATTTCAACTAAATAAAATAGTTTGAAAAATGCTGGCAGCTATATCCCTCGACTCCAAATCAGTCAGGTGTTATTATTATTATTATTATTATTGTATTTTTTTGTACAGCTCTTTATATTGGCACAACGGGAGGCTGTATTTACGAGCGGCCTGTTAACGCACCATCAGGGCCTGAGCCAATAGCGTTAGAGCAGAATGCTGTGTTGTGGTGGAAGAGACCAATCAGCGCTCGATCTGCGGAGTAAACGGACACTCACGCTTCGGGTCCCTGGCCGCCTGGATGTGTCGAGCTGCTGTTTACCGTAACAAAGAAACCGTCGCTACAGCTCCCGAAACACACGTAAGTGCGCAGAAACAACGTTGTTGTTATTATCGGAGAAGAGGAATCATCAGAGAAAAGTGTCGCTTGGAGAACGAGTTGAGTTTCTGTTCGGTGAGTGTGTCTCTGTTTACACCGGATGAGCGGACCACAAGGTTTTGGAGCGCTAGGTAATGTGTAGTTGTAGCGCCGGCAAGCAGAGCGCTGTGTTTTCTTTTAAAAAGTACCAGTTTAGTACATGTTAGCCTGTTCATTGATTTTATACTTAACGCTGAAAGAAACGACTTCTTTATCTGCAGCAACGGTTACTTTTAGTTTGTCGCCTCTAGCCACGTTAGTGTGCTAAAGTTCTCCCAACTTAACACCAGAAAGACGTGTTCACAGAGCTGAATGTGCATGGATTCGTGTGTTTGTGTGGTGTGTGTGTGTGTGTGTGTGTGTGTGTGTGTGTGTGTGTCTTGCATTTTCACTTGTCTGGTCGCGCTGATGTCACCTCATCTGTCATCTTACATCACACAATAATGGGATGGAAAGGTTGACTGAATCTCTGTGATGCCTAAATTTGTGTGTGTGTGTATGTGTGTGTTCGTGGATGTAGGGTATTTTTATTATTTATTAAGAATAAGGGGAAACCATGCATTTAGCATCTTAGGAATAACCAAAAGCTGTGTGTTAACCCTTTGTCACAAATTGTATATTTTTAGATTGTTTAATATGAAGAGTTTTTAGAGCCATAATTATTGAGGTAAAACTCTAGTATTACACAATAAAAGGGGGACTTCCAGGTTATATGAATTGCACTGTCAAGAACTCTGTAAAACACTCTCTAATAAAGCAGAAAGTAGCATTTATTCAAAATTATAAACTTCTAATGACCAATATTGGCTGTTTGCAAAAGCCTGAAGATGCTTCTTAACACAAGTGCTACAGGAAGTGCTACTCTACAAGCAGATGTTTTTAGAGGGGTGTCGGCGTATATAAATGCTGTACTGGACGGCATTTTTATAAAGTAACCATGCCTCTCCCCACAGTACTCTGTGAGCTATCACTTCTCTCTGCGGATAGACCTTGACATTTACTCAGCTAAGATGGGTACAGTGACAAGGACGAGATCAGGTTGTAAGGGCAGGGAGGGGAGGAGGAGAGGAAAGAGGAGTAGAGAGAGAGAGATGGGAGTGTAAAAGAAGAGGACAAGAGAGAGGAGAAGGATGAGGGTGTACGAAGAGGAAAGGTGTCAAATACGAGCCAGGGAGGGGGTGAAAAGATAGAGAGAACAGTGGAAACGGGGGTTACGCACTCCCTCCTTACATGCACCAGGTGCAGCATCGCTTCATTTGGTTTACTAACAAGTAAGAGGCAAAAATCTGTGTGTGTGTGTGTGTGTGTGTGTGTGTGTGTGTGTGTGTGTGTGTGTGTGTGTGTGTGTAGCCTGCCGGTTGATGGACGAGCTGTCGGGATAAGGGAGGTGGGTGGTTGGTGGGGAGAGAGATGGATAGATAGAGAGAGGGAGGATTGTATTGGTGACAGGGGGTCATTTATCTGTCTGCTGGATCTGACCAGCCGGTCACTATGGGAGATCAGGCAGCTCACCCGCCTTACCGGCTGTGTCTCTTTCTTGTTCCCTTTCATCTTCTTTCCGTTTGTCCCAACTCTTCGTCTTCATCTTCTGCTTCCACGGCACTTCATCTGGAATTCACAGGCAACTTTTGTTGCCCCCTCCCCAACACCCCATATTATGTTGCAAACGTCTTCAATGCCTGTCTTCTACAACACCTTTTTGTCTCCTGTCCTCACCCTCGCTCTGCCTGTTCTTCTTTCGTGCCCTTTCAGCTCTCAAACTCACTGACACTCATTCACAGCGCGCACATTTCAACTATCTCTGATGCTTCAGCTTCAATGGGAATTTCAACTTCCAGCCTCTACGCATTAACTGACACTTCAAACAAATGTTTACTATGTCCACTGACAGCTCAAATACTCAAACTGACATATCAACTGCTATCACTCCTTACATACCAATTGACACGGCCACTATTTATAGTGCACTTCCTCTAAACCATCTCTGGCACTGCAGCTGAAATTTCAGTTACTCTTTAAGTGTTTGTTCCACT